TGAATCAGAATGAAAGAAGGTGAAGAATAGAAAACAGTGTTCAAAACATGTTAGGGACTCTATAAATACTAAGTCATGCTGTTTAGATTGACTAACACACCCGCCTCTTTCCAAGAGCTAATTAACAACACCTTATAAGACTATTTGGACGTTTTTGTCCTGGCCTATTTGGATGACGTCCTTATATTCTCGCAGACCTATAACGAACATGTGAAGCAGGTTTAAAAGGTGCTCAAGAAACTACAACAGAAATACCTCCTAGTGAAACTCAGCAAATGCGAATTTTATAAACACAAGATAGCTTTCCTTGGCTACCTTGTCTCAGAGAAAGGATTAGCTCCAGATCCTGTGAAAATACAATCTATTAAGGAATGGCCTTAGCTACAGAACGTTAAGGAAGTACAATTGTTTGTGGGACTTGCTAACTATTACCGCAAGTTTATTTTGGGGTATTCTTATACAACTACTCCTTTAACAAACCTTATAAAGAAGGATTAACACTTTAACTGGACAGAAGAATATAGACAGGCCTTCAAGGCCCTTAAGGAGAAAATAACTAAAGCTCCGATACTCGCTATCTTTAACCCAGAAAAGGAAGCCATACTTAAAACAGACGCCTTAGACTACGCAGTTAGCGCATGCCTTACCTAGAAAGGGGAGGATAGAAAAAATAGACCAGTGGCCTATTGGTCTAGAAAGATGACTAGACCTGAGTTGAACTATAATATCTATAACAAAGAGCTTTTGGCAATAGTAGAAGCTTTAAAGGAGTGGAGAGTATATCTAGAAGGGACCAGTTACCCCGTTCAGATCTTCACTGACCACAAAAACCTTCTATATTGGACCACAACAAAGGAACTCAACAGGAGGCAAGTCAGATGGGCAGAAACGCTTTCAGCATACAACTTTAAAATCACATATGTCAGAGGAATAGAAAACGGACGTGCTAATACCTTAAGCAGAAGACCTGACTACGCGGAAGGAGCTAGACCCGCACTAGCCTCAATACTAAGGCAGGAAGGAAACAGCCTAGTATACAGGAAACCTTAAACATTAGTGACTATAGAGATATAACTAAATGAACAATAACACCGGGAGGTTATACGCGACAGGTATAATGTTAAAACAGCGGGACATCCAGGTATTAATAAGACAATTGAACTTATAACCCGAGATTTCACCTGGCCAGGCCTGAGAAAGAATGTGGAAACCTATATCAAGAACTGCGACTTATGTGTACGAACCAAACACAGTCAACACAAACCCTATAGACTACTACAATCCCCAGAACTACCAGACAATATATAGACCTTGATCGCGATAGACTTTATTACAGATCTACTAAAATCCGCATATCCCCTCACGGGAGTGGAATACAACAGCATCCTAGTGATAGTCAAAAGATTGACAAAGTGGGTATACTTTGTACCATTCTTAAAAACAGCGACAGCAACAGACTTTGCCCACGTTTTTATGGAAACAGTCTTCGCATAGCACGGAATGCTAAAAGAAATTATATCAGACAGAGACAAGCTCTTTACATCGCAATTTTAGCAGTTGTTAACAGACCAGTTAGGAACAAAACACAAGCTATCAACAGCATTTCACCCACAAACTGACGGACAAACAGAAAGAACAAACCAAGTCCTTGAACAATATCTACAGTACTATTTAGACTATGAACAAACAAAGTGGGTCAAGTTATTACCAACAGCACAATTTGTATACAACAATTCAGTAGGAGCAATAGGGATCTCTCCTTATTATGCAAACTACAGAAAACACCCAAGACTTTATAACCACAAACTAGGTATAAAGCTAGTAGTAGAAAAAGTAAAAATATTAGTAACACACTTACAAGTGATGTATCAACTACTTAGAAACAACTTACAGGAGATTCAAGATAAAACAACAAAACATGTAAATAAAAAGAGAACTGGAGGACTAGTCTTCTTAGAGGGGGAGATAGTTTACCTTCTACAAAAAAACATAAAAACACAGTAACCAAGCTCTAAACTGGATTACACCAAACTCGGACTATTTAGGGTTATTAGAAGAACAGGAAATGTTAACTATTAACTCAGACTTCCAAAAGAAATAAGGATATACAACATATTTCATATGTCACTACTAGAAAAAGCACCGCAAAATATCAAGACTCCAGGACTAATATATATTCATAAGGAAACACAGGAACTATATTACAAGGTCAATTATATTATAGGAACCCAACTTATCAACAGGAAGCCACACTATCTGATTCACTAGAAAGGATATAAGCATATAGAAAACATGTGGGAACTAGAGGAGAATCTTACACAGGAGGCTTTAAGGGACTATTGCCGGAACCTGAGACAGTGACAACCAGGTCTGGTGGTTGAGGTTCCTTAATACCAGCCAAAATCCAACTAGACAGCTCCGAACCAAGGTTGAAATCCAGAGAGGATATCACAGCTAGCGGCTCAGGATCGCCGGTGAAAGTGTCAAGCTCCTTAAGGGCTCGGGCTTCCTCCTTGATCATCTTTTCTTGGCGGTTATAGATTTTGTCCAGTTTCTTATCAAGGGAGTCATACTCCTTTTGGAGGGAGAGCAACTCCCAGGCGAGACTAGTAAGACAGGAACGCGCTTTAACCTTCTTGCGGAGAAGGTCAGTCTTCTGGTTTTCCAGCGTATTAAACTCAGCATCAGAAAAGGTGCCCCTACAAGCGATGTTCTTTCACAAGCAGCATAAGCAACACGAAGCACCCTTTTGAACAATGCAGTGGGACCCAGAAGAAACACACTGAGAGCAGGGAGCTATTACAGGGAAACCGGTTTGGTCAATCTTATTGGCAAGACATTTTTGGCGATCAGTAGAACTAAGCTTGGCAGTACGGACTGGAGGCATATTCAGCCATAAACAAGGACTTCATATGGAACAGGGGGGACTCACTTACTTATAGGCGTCAAGGACAACTGAGGCTTAGGAGGGGGAAAGTATTACGAATCACGTCCGCAACCTGACCGAGGCCAGTGGCCGCAGGGACGCTAGGGCCTAAGGGGAAGGTTACCCGGAGGAGGACTGGACCCCACGGAAAGCCATACCCTAGGGACAAAAGACAGTTGGTGAGTCACGTGACACGCTCTGTGATCTGGGGTGCTCCCGTTATCAGAGCAACAGATCACACAGAGCAAGACAAGCTACACAGCACTATATAGAGGGACAAACCATCCCGACACTAGATAGGACTTTTGTAGTTAACTTCGTATATTGATTCGCTCTATACACCAGTAGTACAACTGCTACTATTAGTTCCTACATTTACTTTGGCCTAGCCTTGACCCTGATACTATCCCACCAGCTGCTAAACCCAGTTTGGACCCGACGCTTGGAGCGGTTCATAACAGGCTACTCTCTATAATAGTAGACTGCCACTAAATAAAGCTACTAACTAGTGAAGACTAGGTAAGAATAGGAGCGGGCTAAGATAGAGGTTGTACTGTTAACTGTGATATACCCTGTTAATAGTAGTAATTCTGTTTTGCTCAGTAATAGGTAGCGGCAGCCTCCTAGGGGGTCTAATATTTGTGTGGTCATGGTATTATAGATCAAGGACTATAGGGTAAGGCTACTATAATCAGATAATTATGGAGGAGTAAGGAGGATAAGATAAAGGAGAGATGGCTAAAAGAGGTTAGTTAGACAAAAACTTAAAGGGGACTAGTGGAAGGTAGGCGGGGAGATGTCTTAAAGTAGCTTAGTTAGACAAAAACTTGATTAGGCAAGAGTGCTGGCTTATTGATTAGACAAAAACTCGATCAGGTTAGTGTATAATTTTCTTCTTGGCAGAGGCAAATCTCAGTACAAAATGGCGACGACAATAGCTCAACAACCACCACTGGTACTACTCTCAAACTCTGGCACCATGGTCTTATAGTACTAATATATATACAGAACAAATAAAATAGCTAATTTTTGTAGTAATCCTCTCTTACAGCCGCTTGGGTTATTGCCCGTTGATCTAGAGGTGGGGAATGGCTGGGATAGGCTGTTCCTGCGGCGAAGGGTGATTGTTCTCTCCCGTGTCGACTAGGTCTAAGGCAACAAGTTGTTCTTTTAGAAGCTTCAACCTCGCCCCCTTCAAGTGGTGCGGTGGTTTACGGAAGTGGGTGAGGCTAACAATTTTATTCCGTACGACGATCCCCGTTTGACATGGGCGGCATAGGACGGCTTTAAAACGCTGATCGTAATAGAATAAAGGCTCCATAGCTACTACGTAGCATAAATCTCCGCTTCAATCACCTTCAGACAGTCTCGTCCGCGCCTGAGGGAGAGTCAGGAGTACCCTAAGTGCCTTTATGCTTATAAAGTCCTTTTGCTTCCCCTGGTCTAGCTATATCTGGAAATACCTCTAACCGAGATTGGTATGGCGAAGTGACTTTATGGGATAAAGGCACCCTACAACTAGTAATAGTAATAGAGAAGGTCTATCTGAGGTTGCCTGTTTTAGATAGCGCTATTAGCCTAAACTATCCTATCACTTTTGGCGCTGTAGCTTACCCGCACCCACCAAATCTCAGGGTCGTGTCGCTCACCCTCGTTTTAGCCCTAGGTGTTTCTTGGCACGATTTTTGGTGCAGCGGGTCACCCGCAGGCCGGGTAATAGTGTTAGGACCACTTGAACATCTAACACGGAAACTTCCACATCGGTGCGGCCATTTTGGCGGAGAAGGAATTCCGACGCTTGTTCATTGGTTCCGAAAATAACCCCTCCCCAGCTTTTCTCCACCTAAAAGCCTGGTCTTATCTCCCTCCGCTTACGATTGGGGTAGATCCTTGCAAGTTTCTAGAAGAAATGCAAGAGGCGCTTTAAAGATGATGTAATTCCACGTCATAGCTTAAAGGTCAGTACTGGAAGCGATGAAACAGTTTTATAAGCTAAGGGGTGAAAGCTCTCACTGTTTAGACGCGTGTGACTTAGACGCCTGTGATTTTATGGTGTAGTCCCTATTCGGCGACAATGTCAAAGAGCGGAGCACTCCTCGAAGAGCTGGTTGTATCATGCCGTATCCTCGTCGCCCATGACATCCTACAGGATAGCGGGAGCATTTCGGTGCGCAATCCTCGCAATACATCGTCGTTTATTGTCAACGATCTTCCGGCAGCCCTAACAACTAGCGTCGAGCATCTTCGAGAAAGAAGTATTGCTGACGGTAGCCTGATTCCGCAAGTGGCTCAGAATACAGACGACACGAGGCCAGAGGTCGCATTTACGGAGCCACTGGTGCACAGTAGTATCTATGCCCGGTATGCGGATGTACAGTGTGTCATCCATTCGCAAAGCTCCAACTCTATTATCTACGGTCTCTGCAACGCTGTGGGCAGCATGTTGCTACCAGCACATAACAAAGCGGGCTTCCTGGCCAAGCATTGCCCGATATTCAACCCCGCCGATTTTTATAATGCCCTCCCAGATTCATCTCCTCGAGATCTGCGTATATCTCATTCGACACTGGGCGAAGCCATGGCAGAGCGATTATTGAGTCACGATAATTACATTAGCAATGGACCGCGTCATCTACCGGATTACGGCTGTATCCTCCTCCGAGGAAACGGAATGGCAGTATGGGGACGATCTCTATACGAGACGGTGCACAAGGCGATTCATTTCGAGCGGAATGCCTTCATCCAAACCGCAGCCATGTTACAGCGTACACACTCCGATCTCGAGGTGACATACCTGACGGATCGCGAAGCTGAGGACAGTGAGGAAAAGGCATTGCAGGAGAGTGAGATCTTATGGAGGGCATGGGCAGCTAAGGTTGGTGCCTATGATGGCGCCGCATGAGAAATCTGCTCCAGGATACAGCGGGGAAAATAGTGCGGGCAAAATAGTTGAAACAAGCCGTTTTCATCCACTCCGCTGAGGATGGGCTGTCTGTCAAAAGACAGTCCAGACTCCTGTGGATACTTCTTTGCGTGAAAATACAGATAAGCGGCGCATTCCCAGCTATATCGTGGCCTTTTGCTATACACCAGACTTACAACCGATACCGGCAGCAAGAGATGTGTGAATGCTACTTCTAGTTCCGGTCGCTCAACTCGGCCGTGCTGCAGCCTCAGTTCTGTGTAGAGTCTCTTGAATGATGTTTATAACATGGTGCAGTACTTAGCAACGCTGGAGTATGTTTCTGACCGTCTAGAATGGGATGGACGCGATCTGACTGGACCGTAGTACCAATTTCCGTATCTTGAAGTCTAACCCACTCGAGAAGCATCCCCAAGCCAGGAGAGCTGATGATCTAGCAACTTATAGCAATGCAGTTAGCGTTGCCCTTGGCAAGAACGAGAGCTAGGTTCATGGTGGCGCGCTTCTCGAGCGACGTGTGGTGTGGTCCTATCGGACTTGGTGTCCTCGCCTTGGGCCTCGACTGCATGCGGTGGAACATCGTCTTGTATTACGGACAATGATCTAGTGTGAGGGTGCTCGGGCGAGGTTATTGAGCATGCTACCTTTGATAGCTCTCAGGAGTTCATGCATTTCCTTCACGTCGACATGATGTGATATTCCTAAGACTACTTAGATCCCATAACTCAAGTGACGTGCGTTAACAACTTCAGGGTTTCTACGACGCTACACTTAAAGCGTTGCCCTATTGCTATGACTGCGGGTCACCTGAGGGGAGCGGCTCGATAATTCTTAGGGTGAAGCCGTTCACCAGAAAAAAAATCCATGCGAGGTCGTCAGTATATAGAACCATTGTTGTTTTAACACATATCATACACCTATAGCCTTCTTATTTACCAGTCCATCATTTTCCTCGCGAGCTTGATGCCCCACACATCTAGTGTACGCGTCGAGATCTCGCTGATCCAGGCCAGTATTGGGAACCAAAGTAAGCCTACGCCGATCACAATTGCTCCCGATTGGTAGCTCGGCACCCATGGGTTAAGGATCCCGTAATACTCAGCAACAGCTTTCGCCGCAGGCGAAAAAATCATTTGCATCACTACGTGATGCCACAGGTACATCGAAAAGCTGACCTTGCCGAGCCACTGAGCGAGTCGCGTACAGAATAATTGTTGGAGATACGATGTAGATCCTGCGAAGTCTAGGAGCAAGACCAAGAAGAATGCCGATACACAGGGCCAGAAGCTGTCAGCCGACATCGGTGCCCAACCTCGATACTGAGGGAGTGTCAGTGTTGTAGTCAGTGTTTGGTAACCATATGACAAAGTTTGTCCATGTCCTGGATCAGGGGTGCTGAGGAGGTAAAGTAGAATGACAAGGATCATAGATAGTCCAGCTTCTCGGCGAAGATTCCTGCGATTGTTTTGGGTTGGCTTGTGACCGGGCTCGAGATCGGGCATAGTGCTTGTAGCCGTGCGCGAGGGTTGAATCGGGGTGTGCCAGAAGTGCAGCTCAGCGCAAACCATGCCTGCACTGAACATCCATTCGGAAGGATTTTGGTGCCACATCCAGAACAGCATCATAGCCACAAGGAAGATTAGACGCAACCTTGGCGAGCGTCTAGCGAGTCCCATTTGAGTTACAAAGACGAGTATGCTGCCTCTAAACTCAACTGGGATTGTCCAAAATACAGGCTCCCACGGATTGCCCACTGTCCAGTATGAGATGGAGCGCATGCTATTCCAGAACCAGACTTTGAGCTGCCAGTACATGCTTCCCGATACTGGGTACCTCCAAAGGTAGAAATATGGGTGACAGAGGCCGATTTGGGCGGCTATAGCAGCGAACAGGCCAACGGCGAACATCGGGAAGTACAACCTAGGTCCTCGGCGGAAAACACTGCCACCGAGGCTCTCGTACAAGCCAGCGATGTTGTTTTCCCTTGCCATCTTCACAGACTTTAGAGAGAGCACATATCCTGAGATGTTGAAAAAGATGTCAACCATGGCTCCACCGGAGTGAATCAGTCGAAGAATAGGCAGAGAAAGTAGGCTGAAATTGGGTAGCGGTTCGCCTCCAGAGTTGAGAGTGGGATCGGGGGCGCCATATCCCATCTCCAGCCATGGATAGAACCCCGTCGTAACATGGTGAAAGACGACAAAGAGACACGCCACTCCGCGAAGGCCATCGAGGTAGGAGGATTCGTGTAAGCTCGGCGATTGAGCAAAAAGGGACCCGATGCTGTGCAACCTCAGCTTGAACAGCCCGCGCGGGCCAGCTGCTAATCATCGTTAGTGACGGATATGGGCATGTTATCAGCAACGTACTGAAGGCGTCGTGCCAGTGCTTCTTTTCTGTAAGGAGTGCTTCGCCTTCCTGTTCTGCATTATCGCGTAGCCATCGAGGCCGTAGCATCTCCATGATAGCTGCCTTTCACGCGATCAGGTAAGGCTCGAGGCGCTGGAAATGCCCTGCAGCATATATCCATGCTGCGGGGCCACGAAAAAAGGGGACTCCAGAATCGCAGGAAATGTACCAGGGAATGCTGATGGTCCTCCAAGGCACGTTGAACACCGCAATCTAAATTGGCCGCTTTCGCCAGCCAGGCATTAATGGCTAGGATTTTTAAAGTTTGTCGCTTACTCGCGAGGCGGAAAATGTAGTCTCATTCCTAGCCCTTTCATGCGCGTTGATGTCCACGAATTGTTGTGAAAAGGGCCTTCATGTCCAGGGCGAGAACACGTAGTTCGTACGAGCATGAGAAATGAGAATAAACATCTGGCCGACAGCTGCTTGATAGCAGCATTCTAGAAAGGTGCGGTTGCGCGTCTATCCTTGGGTTTTCGTTCCAATGCGTCAAGGGATCGTAGAAAACAGCCCACGAAAATACTCAAGTTGGCACGCTGTACGCTGTATGTAGCGGTGACATGAGCCAAGCTTACACTTGCTGTAAAAGAGAGCTGTCGTACTGGCCGAAGGTGAAGCTCCTGGCCCACGAGGAAAGGGCGAGGTCTGTCGGACTCCTGGTGTCCACTGGGAAAAAGGCTTGGCGACACAGACGCACGTGGCTTGCGGATTAATTCGCCACCGGGAAACGGCCGTGTTCGAAATTGCCCTTGCGGACGTGAGTGTGGGGCTCTAGGGCCAGTCCACCCCCCTGTGCTAAGCAACACTCAAGCTTGTCGATCATACAAAATATTCTTTAGCTCTGTGCGATGCACCAGAGAGTCGAGTAACAACAATCAGGACGTCTGTGCGAAATCGATTAATTTGCCAACGGCGTTCCGGCTAATACGCTGCAAGCTGCTGAATTGTGGAAGGTGAAATGCGACGAGCGACCTACCACACGCCAAAACTGAGATCGGAGCAGATTCACTCACGGTGGCTACGTTATCAAACTACGCTTGCTTGTGGAGATCGTGAGAGCTCCAGGATCTGAGACTATGCGCGTCTCCTTGAGTTGTATAAAGGTCAAACCTAATGGGCTAGCTACTTCATCACAGTGCAGTCCTTAGGCCGACTCAAGGTAAGCACATACTGAGGCCATGCAGTAACAATCCAAGTTACATCGACGCTCATTTTCTGGTGATTAAAGACGATGCCAAAAATGCAATTTTTGGATCAGAGGGGACCATTTACTTGCTTCAGCTCCAGTCGCCAAAAGCTTGTACCTATACCCGGTATCGTTGTGAATAGGGCCTCCCTGAAACCGCTAACACAGCGGCTTCCGACGAGTGATCATACGGTTGACGCCTCAGACCTTTCCACGGCTATGAGAACCAAGTCACCTCATTAACGAAGCTTTTTCGCCAAGACGGCATATACGGCAATTGATATCGACTCTCAGCTGCTATGCTACTATACTGTCTTCCTAGCTTATACCCTTCAATCTAGTATGCACTGCAGTATCAAAGGTCTCTCGGGAGGAGTTAAGCGTGTTGTTGGCCATATGCAAGCGGTTGAAGACCTCAAGGCTGAAATTCTTTCCGAGCTGTAAAACGAATGTCCCCGATCACATGGCCGTTGTTCGTTGCCTCATGTGAGAGCCACGGGCCTACGGCGGACACGTACAGGCTCTGGTTGGATCAGGTTCAATCATGTAGTCTCGGTAACATTTCCAGGCACAGTGATGTGGTCCAGCAGGTTTGGGAGGGCGTGAAAGCTAAGGTGCTTGGGTTCTACCGCTCCAAGCTGGATAGAACTACTAGCTAGCCCAGAGGTCCAGATGCTTTGTGTTCAAGACTTCAACAGTCAAGTATTGTCCGACCTTGCACAATTCCCATGAGCTCTTTCGGTTAATACCTGTCTGATACTTCACCAGCCACATACCAAATGGCAGCTCCTTGCCGCTACCAGACCCTGACCTCCGGGCGGTTCCAAGTTGAAGTAGATCCTTACGGCACGATCCATGGGTTCAGATTGCCTGACAAAAACCTAGATGCGCAGCCATGTGGGATACACAGGGGATTGCCAGGGTTTGGTTCGGGCATGCAAGGCAGCTCGGTGGCTGCGTCGAGCTGGCCGAAAGTCTACCGCAGACTATTGGTACATGCTACGCTTGGTAGAAGAAGCAAGCGATTCCGAAAAGCGGCGCGGTTCACCGGGCAGCCAGCGCAGCCCAATCAGATCCCGAAGCCAAGGGAGGTGGAACAACGTAACGGGATTCGTGGCGGTCTTCTCCTTTCGATGAAGCTCTTATCAAAATCTTTGCTGAGCTACTCCAGGCTCTTTGCTTTGGTGGGCCAGTCCGCAGTGAACAGACTCCTCGACTGGAGATAAGGTTCCAGCAAGAAAGGTACAGCCATCGCTGACGACTTAATTGTACCTTTTTATGTTTGTCACGCTTTCTGCAGCCTAACACAGGGGTAGGAGTTGCTGTTCCGTATCTTCTGGGCATCAAGATATCTGAGCTGCTTCGAATAGGAACATTAAGAGGTGCAGAATACCTTATCGCACGTCTTCCAGCGACATTGTGACTATCAACACGATGGCTGATATAGCGGCCAAAGAAATGGAAGTCCGGCCACTTCAGAATAGTCAAGGGTCATTGACTAATGTATGTGAAGTCCCTGGTCTGGTTCACTTCTCACAAAGGACAGTTTGGAGCGTCTGTAAGAGGGGTTGATCTCAATAACTTGAATGAAGCAGACTTTTTAGCCCTGAAGAAGGCCCTGTACACGCATTCGGTACTCGTCATCAAAGACCAACACGACCTTCTTCCGGCTAAGCAATTTGATTTGAATGCACGCTTCGACCCGGATGCACAACCGACACACGGGCTTGGATATGGAAAGACTCTGAAGGAGTTGGGGAATCTCGCGGTTGGTCTTTTTCAGCGTTGTCATGGAGGAGGTGCTGATGCCCCTTAAGAAGAAGCCCTTTTATAGCATCCCTGGCTCGGGAGGCGTTACACTCGTTGGCGACGGATATCAGGGCGAAGATCATTTCGGTCTCAAGAACCTGAGTTTGTCTGCCATTAGTCACGTCGACTTCCATGCGGATCCCTTGACGGATGCGGAACTGGCAAGCGGACAAGCACGGTTCGTCAACTTTCATTTTGACGGAATTATCTATGGATCACATCCATCACGCGTAACAACATTTCGCTGTGTAAGAACTCCAAAAGGTCCGAATGTGACCGTCAGCTGGAACGATATCTCTCCACAGGCCATCTCGTGTCCACCTGGAAGCACTGCTTTTATCAGTACAGCACAGCTGTACAACCTCTTAACAGACGAGGAGAAGACTACTGCTGACAATAGTTACTGGCAGCCTGCCCCTCATCCATTCGCTTGGACAGGTTCGCGCAGGGTACGTTCATCAGGACTAGGCATGGCTGCAACAGGCCAGACCTTACCGCTTGAGGATCTCCCTGAATGGTCATCCGATAAGGTCTACAAATATCCCATGGTCTGGCTCAGCCCTGTCACTGGAGAGAGATGCTTTCAGATGTTTCCAGAGGTGACTCACAAGCTTTACCTAAAGGATTCGCCTCTTGGTCCAGAGAGGCTCATCGAAGACTATGAAGAGATTCGAGTCTGGCTCAATGAAGTTCTTGATCGGATCGCTAAGCCGGAGTATATTATGGTACCTCCCTGTGAGGAAGGCGATGTGGTAATTTGGAACAACTGGGTAAACGTCCTTCGCCACGATTACTCCAGGACAGTAACGAATATTGACTTTGACAGGGAGTCCTACACAGTGCTATTGAGTTTCCAGCGAGCTATGGCTCGCGGTCAAGTAAAGACCTTTCTCTTACAGCAGAAAACGCATCTACTGATAGTCGACAGTGCACCAGTGTCACATTGCTTCGAGTACAGCTCCCGTTGGTCCTGCGACGACTGCTACAGGCTGAGTTGACACAGTCTTGACTGGGCTATTCAGATGGTTTAAGGAGCTCACTTTGTAAAGTGTGATGATGGCTACGGGATTATGTTAGTCAGGCTACGTTTAGGAGGTGTCGACTTCTCATCATTCTGTGGAGGATGTGAGATGAGCACTGATTCTCCCACTGCGCTAGAAAGGGACTCATGACTTGAAAGTCATTCGACAATCTTCGTAGCGATATGCTCGCATACGGAGGCAACATCGGGGTTTGAGGCTGATGTATTTGGCTGCAGGCTTTACAGCTTTCAAGGTTCGCCCTGTCTAAGAGCGAGAACGTGGCAAGCCGCGCTCCGGGTGGGTTCCGCAGTGCTTTGTCAACTAGTCGATATGGCTGCTTCCAGTAACCGTCGTGTGCAAATCACAAAGATATGTTGACTATATGGACCCTTTTATGCTAACTCATATTGTTCCAAAGGGCAGGCCGCGCTGAAGATCAGAAACTGAAGCGCGGGTGAGCTGCAACATCGAACGAGGATACCTCTGACTTCCACCTTGGAGTGCATCTCAGCCCATCAGAGATATCGCTTGCCGGCTACTTCGACGTTCGAAGCCACCATCTGATGACAGATCTGGCACATTCATATAAAAGAGCTGGAACATGGTTCGGTGAAGATTTCAGCTACGTGAGCTGGCCTGGACGATCAGCCGCTTGAATTGACGGGAAATGTGAGGTGTAGAGAAAGCTTCTGTTTCAGCCTCACTTACCAGAGCAACTGTTGGCTGGCAAGTTTCAGTAGAGACTCACATGCGAAGATCTTGGTGTGTTGCAAGAATCATGTTTTCTCAGCTCCAAAAGCCTTTACCGCTCCAAAAGTCTTGTGCCAAGTGACAGGTCAAGACTTTTGGAGCTGAGAAGACATGCATTTGAAGAGCAATTGTTCATGATATATCCCAACTCTCCTAGCATCAAGCAGTCTGTGGCCATGGCCCACTTTGCCAATGTTCGCCTTCACGAGGCCATCAAGCAGAGAGTGGCGAATGAAAGGCAGAAACGGCACAGAAGCTCAGATCCAGATTTGGCCACCGCAGGCAGACAGGAGGTATCCAACACAGTCATGTCTCCTCCAACAGCACCTAAGAACCTCAAATTCCTCCTGTACCACGGAGTATTTCTTATGAAGGCACTCTAGCACCCCAAACAATGAAGTTCGAGCGACCACGCACCGGAGAAGCTTCGACAGATACGCTTGCTGTTCCGCAAAGATGAGAGCGTGGATCGTCCTTATCGCGACTCTTACGTCACCATAGCCCCAGCAGTTATCACAACAGGGGTGCCATCAATCATAGAACCTCTCATAAGCACTGCGTCAAATCAACAAAGTGGTCCTGGCTCAGCGTCCTTCAGAGAACGTGCCTCTTCACGTATACGGCATCTTAGACGCAAAAGCTCTTATCCTGATCGTACGTCGGACAAGCATGATTCCGGAGACAGTGATGAGTCTCCTCACATGGCAGTCGAAAACGTTAGATCAGAGGCCCTTCTATCATCCACAGTATAGTGCTCATGCGATGTTCTGCACGCTGTGCCTCAACCACACTTATTTACCATCAGATCTTGAAGCTCTGTTTTGTGATTTTTGTTGTCAAACAATGCAGCCGACAGCCAAGCCCGAGATTCTAAAGACATCCATGTCGACCGTTCTTGATGCATCACTGCCAGGAGCGAATACGAAGCCGATGTGACTTAGGACTGGAGGCTCATAGTGTGGTGGCTGCGCAATGTCAATTGAATTAGTGAGACGGGCACCGTTTTCCGAGCGGTTAGCGGAGCATTCACTCGAGGTAAGCGAATACACGCTTGGACAACAAATCGCAGTTGCGCGCGCAACTCCACTCGCGCGAAACCCTTTCCTAAGTCTCACTGGTCAACGTGGCACGATGAGTTGGAGTATAACAAATGAGCCTCATACTACTGACCATTGCAGTTGAAGGTCATTCTAATACCCACTCGTGCTCCACGATGGCTCCCTGTTGATGCTATGACCGAATCTTCCAAATCACAGTCACATCAAGAGCGGACATTAAACAAGAAGCCCCCATCCCCTAGGCCTTAGAAGTGGTATAAAGTCGCGATGGCGTTCTGAAGCATCACGGTTCGTCAACAACCCAGCTGACACCATGACGGCTCTTCATGCTATCAACATCCTGTTTCTCGGAGCTGCCATGGCTGCATCCATCCCTCGTTCACATCGTTCCAATGGAGAGTGTCGTCAAATTCACATCTCGGTCGATGCCGAAGCTCCCGGAGCTGTGTACGATGTTCCTCAGGTAATCGACGACATCACGACTGTGCAGTGGGCGGTGCAAAGCGATACATGGAGCAATTCTCTACGCCCCAACCAAGGTATCCTGGAGAACATCACCATAGCCGGAACATACAACATCTTCGCCCAGCTTTGTGTGCCCACCGGTCACAACAAGAAAGATGTACTCCAGATAGCGACTCATGGCGGTCATTACGACAGCAGGTACTGGGATTCGGGGCACAAGCCAGAAGAACACTCGTATGTCTACGCTAGTCTTGCTGCAGGCTATAGCATCCTCACCTACGACCGTTTGGGTGCTGGAAAATCCGACATCCCAGATGCGTACCGTGGCGTGCAATTCGGCATCGAACTTGATATACTGCGGCAAATTACACAGAAGGCTCGCGATGGGACACTCGCCCCCGAGGCCAAAGATGCTGATGCTCAGATGTTCGGAAAGCCCGGAAAGATTGTTCATATTGGCCACAGTCTCGGATCTGTCTTGACGACTGCATTTCTTGCCACATACCCTGAGGAGACTGACGGAGGAATCATCACTGGATTTGCGCTCAATGAATACTTTGGCACCACGGGCTTCTCCTCATGGTATGCGCAGTACGCAGCAACTGCTGATCCAGCGTGGGATCGAGGCAGTGGCTATATCGTCAACCAGAAATCAGGGATTCAGGTCGTCTTCTTCGGCGGCGATCCATCAACTGCTTTCACAAAGGAGTTGCTCGACTATGGCGATGCAATCAAGCAACCTGTTCCTGTTGGCGAGCTCGTTTCGGGTAGCCAGATTATCGGCCGTCCTGGTAAGAACTTGAAAGCACCAATTCAATACGTGCTGCCCGAGTTCGACTTCTTTATTTGCGGCGGGGATTGCAAAGGCGTGACGAATGCCACGGTATTGAGAGAAACATGGCCCAGTGCGAGTGACCTTGAGGTGGTTATTCAACCCAACACTGGACACGCTCTGCCACTGCACAACAATGCTTCAGCGGGGTTTCAGCTGTCGTTCGACTTCTTAGCCCGAAACGGGCTATGAACGGGCATCAATCGTAGGAGGTCTGAGGCGGTGAAAGTGGTTGTAGCGAGCGGGAGAACAATGAGGAATGGTCAGAGCTCGCGTCGCTAGACTCGTTATGTGTGCGAAGATACTAATAGTCCCACCCAAAGTTAAGCATATTTGCCGGAAGGGTTCCTGAGCGCCGAAAATTGGTTCCTTCGTCTAAAGCCCCGGGTATAGCCAAGAGTCCGGGCTCGCCGCATGGATTGGGCTTCCATGTTCTGTGCAACACCGTGCAAGGTCGTTCTCAGCTGCGTGATCACAGAATGGCAGTCATCTGTAGAGATGTGCTGTGTGTCCATGAGACAAGTGTACTATTACCATGGTCTCCCTGAAACAGGATCGCGCGTCGAATGATCGAATCAAGACAGACTTGCCGAAAGGTCTTGTAGCCGTGTTTGCAGGCGGTACTAATGGAGTTGGCGAGACGACGGTGAGGCATTTTGCGAATCTTGCGACTGCTCCACGAGTATATCCCGTAGAGCGCTCACAGGAAGCCGGTGCACGAATTGCTGCCCAATGCAAAACACTGAACCCAGAAGACACTTTCAAATTCATCGAGAGCGACACAAGTCTAATGCGGAATGTCGATCCACCCTGCCGTGAGACCGCCAGCCAGGAGAGAGAGATCAATTTGCTGTTCTTGTCAATTGAAACGCTTCAGTATGGCACTAGTAAGGCAGACGCACTTGTCATTCTACTTTGTTAATAACAACAGGGACCGATGAAGGGTTGAACTATCCGACGACACTGACGCTGTACGCACGGAGCCGTTTCATCTCCAATTTCGTCCCTCTGATCCGCTCTGCGAAAAGTCTGCGGTGGGTCGTTAGTGTATACGGAGCAACCTTCGAGGGTCGGGTGCTGGTCGATAAGTTCCAGGGCTAGGGCCTTGGGGCTATTCTGACTCAAGCCCATCTGGCCAGTCTCACGACGTTGTCACTCGAGGCCCATCACACAGAAGCACCAGAAGTCGTTTTCATACATAACCCCCCAGGCGCCGTTGAATCTGGAATAGCTCGGGGCTCAATCGGCCCTCTCATGCGATTTCTGAAAATTGTGTGGCGACTATTGGGGTCACTGGTACATATACCGCTTGGAGAGGCTGGAGGTAGGCATGTTTTCCTTTGTACTAGCTCACGCTTCTCTACTGGCTAAGAGTGTCCAGGTGCGGGGGTACGCCTCCCGGACGGCATGCCCCTGGCGACAGGAACGAATGGGCAGCAAGGGAATGGTGTCTACTCGGTCGATGCAAATGGCAAAGGTGCAAGCCCCAAAGTGGTGAGGACCCTTGCGCAGCTCAGGAGTCAGGGCGTGGTGAAGGCTATCCAGGAGAATATCGATCGCGATATGGGCATGGCGCTCTCTCACTCAGAAATGGGAATAAAGCCAGAAAGGGTCGAGCAGTGATGATCCCTAGTCGAAATAATGATAGTTTAAAGTGATCTCCGATGAGCGTTGTGGTAGGATCTTATCGTCGAGCAGCGTCTTAGGGCAGTACATAAAGAATGCCAAGTATGCTTTTGCCCAATCCTGGGGAAGATCGCGCTCACAACATGATCGTTAAGCACTCAGCAAGGCGAACGCGAGCGGCAAGCTGTGAGTGGCTAGAATTGTAGATCACTAGCTACTTCCCGCGCATCCGCGAAATAGTTTGCCTCGAAAAGGGCACTGGGGGTTATGCTTCTCTTGTCTACCGAACAAGGCAACGAGGCAACCATTCCCAATCCTCGACAATCAAACCGCCAGTCCGCTTTCAGGAGCCAGTCCCTGGTCTTGATCGTCTCCTAGCCTCCCACCACTGCTAAGAGCATCGAATGAGCTTTCATAAACTTATCCGTAGGTGCATCAGTGGGATGCTTATACCCGATATGGTAGGGGAATGGCATGACGCACTAGTCCCGAAGAGGTGCTGGATTCCCGCCAAGTTTTCCGTCATTGGATCAATCCGTCCATTCGAGATACTCGACGCCTGATAATCTGATAAGATGGAGTGGAATGGATCACAACGCACTCAGGGTATCAAGACCCGAACAAAGTAGCAAACGAGCGTGGGCGTCGCATGACTATCCCTCGATCTAGACTTCGACGCTCTACTACATCGAGTTTGTTAATCGCGTCCGGCTTCTGGAACTCGCTGCTATCATCTTATGTGTCATTGACCCCGGGTGCTCCAGCCTCATGATATTATATCAGGAACAGCCGTTATCATCATATTCATCTATTCATCACATAGCAACTTACCAACAACCATTTACTACCATCTTCCTACCACAGACTTCTACACCATGGCATCGTTACTCAACTACTTCGGTTTCGGAGCCACAAAGCCCCAGGCGGCTGCCGAACCGGATCAAGGGCCCGTCAAGACCGCTGTCAAGGCCCTCCCCGCAAATTGGTATACATCACAGCCGTTATACGACTTGGAAAGAAGAGCTATCTTCTCCAGAAAATGGCTTATGATCACACACCAAGTCCGCATCAAGCAAGTCGGAGAATACCTCCGTTACGAAGCTGCCAATTTTGTATTTATCCTCTATCGCGATGCTTCAGGCAATGTGAAAGGCATCCACAACACCAGTGGCTTGTCTGGACAGCCTATCGTCCAAGAGCAGAAAGGCACACTTGATCTTAGTGCCGCAGAAAGCTTTACCTTCCCAATCCACATCCGCGTCGATCAGAAAGGTTTCATCTGGGTGAACCTCGACGGTGCAGAAACCCCTGAAATACCATGGGAAGAAGACTTTGATGGCGTCGATACACAGCCTCGCTTCGAAGGCTTCAACTTTAACGACGAGTACGAGTTTGATCACGAGTGGGAGATGACAGGAGACTACAACTGGAAGATTTTGGCCGACAACTACAACGAGTGCTACCACTGCGCCTCGACACACCCAGATCTGAAGGAGATGGCTGACCTTGAGACCTACTCCGTCACAACTCAAGATGGTTACATTCTTCACAATGTTCGTGGCCGCCCTGGCAGCGAGGGTGAGCAGCGGTACAAGGTCCACCCAACTTATTATTACCCCAGCACTTCGATGAATGTCTCGTGAGTACATCCCAATGCTTTCAATGTGCTCAACTAACGTCAACAGCCCACATTTCTTCTTCATGCAGCGATTTGTTCCTCACGGACCTGTGAAGTCCACTATGCGATATGAGGTTTATCGCCACAAAGATGCGCCAGAGTCCGAGTTCCAGTTCATCGCTCAGATGTACCGACGAGTGATGTCCGAAGACAAGGCTCTTTGCGAAGCATCTCAGCAGAACCTCAACCGAGGTGTCTTCACCAACGGTGAGATGCATCCTAGATTGGAGCAAGGACCACTCTTCTTCCAGGCAAAATGCAGAGATCTCGTCAAGGAGCACAGGCAGCGCGAGATGATGGTCAAGAGAGAGATCTGGCCTACACAACTCTCCTGGACACCGAGAAGAACGGTCGTCCAGTCCGCCAAGTTGGAGATCCCTTCTGTCCCAGCTTATTATTATTCCAATTCTAGCGGTATCGAGCAGGGTTCAGCGATTGCAAGCGTTGCAGCATAGAATTGGGTTGTCCCGCAAGGAGGTTTTGTGCCATAGATTCGCATTGAAGCGTTACTAGTACTAGATTGTAAGGCAGTTGACTGGTCCTGCTCTAATACAATTCATCTTCAATTGATTTTGCTGCTCATTCACTTGTCCCAGTTTCAGACTCTCGTTTGCAGACGTCACTGACTAGGTTTTCAATACTGATCAGCTGGTTCGGCACTACACAATAACGTCATCTTCCCATCGCGCGGGAAAGCCTTCAGAGTGAAGAGAAAGTCTTAAACTCCTGGTTCTCGATTTTCGGCGCCCGCCTATGCCTGGCAATCAAATGTTCAGGTCTGTCTAGGGTACTTTGCTAGCGATAGCAACCCTTTCCCTCTTCGCCACGCTCCCAAGACGACGGCCAGTGTCGCTTGAGTCTGTGCCAGGCTGCTCAATGAGTGTCTACAGAAAGTCTGTCCAAGCCATATACACCCGTTCTCGAGCACTAACGAGTTTCGCCACGAGCTGAGTGCGTCAGATACTGTAATGCAAATAGCTGCACTGCATAGGCGAGAACAATATCAAATTGAAGCTGGGCGCCTGAGGCAGACCCGACAAGCAGTTGTGGGCGAGCGTGGGTAATACCGTCTTTTACAGTATCCGATCACTTTGCCTAGCAAAATTATCAGCAAATTGGTACGTAGCGGAATTACCAAGGACCGAGGCTGCCGAACACGAGCTTCAAGCGAGGCTGAACAGCCCCCATGCCTCCATAAGTACATCGACGCTGTGTGCTAACGACAACACCGCCACAGGAGATGGCTCAACATTTGAGATTACAAACAGCAAGTGCATGCTGCCTTTAACATAAAAGCAACCTCGCCGCTCGCCGTCAACATGGCAGAGCAGAAGCATTCTCAATTCATGCGAAGAAGACCCTGACAATGGCACAAGATTCGCATTCTACCTTCAACTTCCTCCCGTCCAGCATGGACAAGGAGTGCAGCAAAGCCGCTGCGACTCTGCGAAGCTTTTGTGGTAACCCGCTCACAGGATTCACGGAAAGTCGTCCGCTAATATTACTGGCAGTTGACAGCATACTCACCAGCACGTCGAGCTCCCCAGTCTCGAAGTCCAAAGCAAGCATCCCTCACGAAGTCCTTGCCAACTGTATTGCTCTCGTCATCTTCTCAACAGCTCGCATTGGCATGCATCTGTCTGGTTCTACTGGATCCGGCATTATCATAGCACGCCTGTCCGACGGCTCATGGGGTCCTCCAGCCGGCATCAAAGTCCACGGCCTCAGCGCTGGGATTGGCGCAGGTGTCGCTGTGTACGATTGTGTATGCGTTGTCAACACCAAAGAAGGGCTTATGCAATTCACAGAGAAGCGCGTAGGGCTTGGATCGCAGGTGTCGGTCGCAGCGGGTCCTTTCGGGGCGGGCGGAGGAGAGTCGAGAGCAGCAGAAGGCGGTCTTGACCCCCAGAAGGCTATCCCCGCCGTGTATACTTACGTGAAGACGAGAGGTCTTTATGCGGGAGTTCAGATCGATGGTACGGTTGTGTCTCAGCGCGAGGATGCCAATGCGGCGTTTTATGGCGAGAAGGTCACTGTGCAACAGATCCTCCGTGGTGAAGTCAGGCCGCAGGAGTCCGAGAAGCTCTGGCCCAAAGCCACTGCTGGACTCATGGAGACATTGAACTCGGTCGAGACCGTCCTGAAGGCGTGATATTAGCTGGAGGAGTTGCTGTTGCTTAGCTCTGTGGGTAACATGATAATAGATGTCTAAGACTGACGAACTGCTTCCAAGCGGAGACCATGTCTGTGGCCTACCTAATTGCCCACAGTACTTTCTATACGCTCTTCATCAGGGCCTGGAGGGAGTGCACAGGTCCGAGCACTGTTTCGTAAGCTCGGTCAGTCGTGGGTAGCCGTTCGGAATGCCAGTCTGTCGCGATCACCGCTGGTACGAACACAAATGGTGATGCAGATATGTCGCTCTTCGAAGATACAATGTTAGTATTGCATCTGCAAGCACTCAAGGGCGCCAAATCGTTCCACGCCTTCAACTTCTTGCTTGAGCACCTTCACACCGCCGATGAACTGTATGTACGCTGGAAGTGTGAACCAGGTGGCGTTGCTTTCTGGGGCAATCGCATCGTAGTCCACCGAGCTGTACCGGGTCACTACATCTTTGCTGAGCGCTAAGGCAAGCGGAGCGCTGTTATAGAGAGAAGCAGTTCTTCAATCTAGGCAGTCAACCCCTGCGCGAAAAGAGCGGGCATGTGCTTGGCGGTAGTCTTTATCTGCTGTTCAGGACATAGCGACGAAAGGAAGAGGCACAAGCACTATAGTCTCGAGCACAGGTCGGGGATCCATGAGACAGTCTGATGAAAAGAGAAGGATGGGGAACACTCTTGCTCCTAGCAAGCGGAGATTCGTGGTACGCATTGGATTCGCATTTTAGGCTTAGCATGCGCTAGCAGCTCCGCCAGGTCAAAGCTTAGGTCGCCCGGGAGCAGACGACTTCGCGCGACATTCCTACCCGCTCTACATCAAGCCATTGTCATTCTCAATCTAATGAAGATGAATCCCTTAGTGCTCGATATCTTGGGACAACAGGAACGCATCAATCTACTTTACACCCTACTGACTCTCTGCTTCGAGCTGCCCTCCAGCGCCGCGCCTGTGGACATCTCAACGTGTCTGCAGAGCGGCCTGAATAGCTTGGCAGTAAACTTCCCGTGGCTCTCTGGAAAGGTAAACCAGCGCGATGGCGTGTTCATGATAGACGACTTCCAAGAAACTATCCCCCTCATACTAAAAGACCTCAGCCACGATCAAGATTGTCCTGATTGGCAGCAACAGCAAAGAGCTGGGTTTCCATTCCGGATGCTACACGAGACTGTCGTCGCGGGATGCAAGACTCTTGCTGCGTCGACGTTTCCCGCTTCCGGGCTGCCAGTCTTTGTTGTCCAAGCCAATCTTCTCGCTAATGGCTTGCTGTTGACGTTCGCTGCCCAGCATGGGTCAATGGACATGACAGGCTTAGGTCAAGTTATGTCTCTCCTTTCAGCCGCTTGCCGAGGGGAGAGGTTTACAGATTCTGAAATTTCGGTGGGAAATATGAAGCGTCAGGATATCTTGCCTGTGCTAGATGAGTCACTTGCAGCACAGGAAGATGACTCAGCTATGGACCGCGATCGGCTCGCCACATCTGATCAACGGACTCCGGTGGATCAGCACTGTTTACCGGCGGACCTCGTCTGGGCATATTTCTCCTTCTCTGCACCTTCCTTGAGATCGCTTAAGGGCGAAGCCAACAGAACCATGCCTGAAGGAAAGTTTGTTTCAACCGACGATGTTTTGAGCTCCTTCGTCTGGCAAAGAATCATTCGCGTCCGCCTCCTGAGACTCAACGAGCCCAGCGTGCTTTACTCTACTCTTTCGCGCAACGTTGACATGCGCCGTCAATTCTCCGTGCCCGACAAGTATCCAGGTTTCCTAAATCATGCCACCGAACACACCTTCCCGCTCGACTGCCTCGTGAATCGGAGCCTCGGGCAGATCTCTGCAGAGCTTCGTGCGGCCCTCGAACCCACAGCTCTCCGCCGCCGGTTCAACATGGAGACTACCAGGATCCGCTGCAAGCAGCCGCAACAGAAAGCATACTCCAATCCCGAACTCGACATCAGATTAAGCTCGTGGGCGAAAGAGAGGAGCTACGGGCTAGACTTCGGGTTCGGCTTGCCTGTCGCAGTCCGGAGACCCGCTTTCACTGATGGTGCGAGAGAGGGTCTTGCGTACCTCATGCCCAAGCGGCTGGACGGCGAGATCGCTGTTGCCGTCTGCTTGCGCAGTGATGATCTCTTGAGGCTGAGGACCGACGTGGAGTTCTCCAGATACAGTACCTACATTGGCTAAGGATGCATTTGACACATCGTTCATCTCCAGTCACGTCCACGCGGCATCACCATGGCACCATTAACTCTGAGTGCCAAAACGCATTACAAACGTCTAAAGTTCGGGACCTTCGGCTTACACAAGCGCTGGAATGTAAAGATGTGAGCTGGCGGACCCAAGCTCCAACTTTTCCACTCGCGGAAGATCATCAGTCCTGTGGCCGCTACGCCTCATGACGAGCTTCCATGCAGAACAGAGAACAATGCAAGCCTTAATGACTTACCATGCAAGTTCAGGTACCGCTAGCTAACCTGCCAATGTGGGCCATTCAGTCGATCCGAACGCACCGAACCGGAGTGTGGAGAAGAAGCGTGATTGAGTCGGAGAGATTTTATCCTGACGCCAGTCATGAGTTGGTCTGACATTCGGGATTCTCAATACGCAGAGCAACATGGAGATAATACGAGATAATAGAGACTTCGATTAACGGCTACCTGCCCGTCTACGATCGCTTTCTGACATTTAGAAGATGGCAGACAGCACACGCCTCCACACCGGCCACGAAGCGTACCGAGCGCGTTGGGCGTGAATCTCCTCCCAGTCGACATGCCGACGGCCGGTGTCGAGATCGATCTGCGCCAACGTTCTGACACCCTCGCGCTTCCAGAGGTAGCCGCAGGCCCAGAAGAAAAGCACGACGGGCAGAGCCAGGTAAGCTTGGAAGAAGCCCTGAGCATCGTTGACGCCACCCGAGGTGGGAGCAATGGCGGTGAAGAATTGCGCGATCAGGGCAATGCAGACGAGAGTCAGCCCAATCCACGAGCCAGTCACTCCAAAGATGTGCTTGAATGGAATCTCGTCCAGAGTACGGCCGTCAGCCTTCCAGGCGGCGCGGAAGCGGATGTGAGCCTGTCGCATGGTTAGTTATATGCAGCGCCCGAGACTGTGGAAAAGACTTACGACACAAATCGAGCCCCAAGTGAAGAGTGCGGCCAAACCAGACAACGCCAAGAGCCAATTGAAGACAGTGCTGCCGGTCGAGGCCAGCACGATGTAGGCAAGGGCACCAAAGGCAAGATTGAGGGCGACTGACATCAACGGACGGCCAGATCGATCGATGTAGGCGAAGATCTTGGGTGCGTAACCTTGTTCTGCAAGGGCGGTCAAGGTACGCGAGCCTCCGTACACACAAGACACACCGATCGAGACGACCGAGACCAAAATAACGACGTTCATGAAGCTGTCATAGCCCCGAAGTCCAGCATCCTTGGCCGCAAGCACGAAGGGAGAAGTACCCTCGGCATACGGGTTGTCGGCGTTGAGGAGACGGTCATCTGTAGAGCTAACAAGGAGTCCGACGAAGGTCAACCCGAGGATGTAGAAGCTGCTTTGGTCAGTGAAAGGTTGCTATCACAGGTCGAGGTAGACTCACAGGGTGATACGCCAGAACACCTGCTTGATTGCAGAAGGCAGAGCCTTGGTAGGGTTCTCAGCTTCAGCCGCCGCCAAACCAACAAGCTCGGTTCCGGCAAAAGCGAAAGCCGCAGTAACGAAAACCGAGCAAAAGCCGCGGAACCCATGCTGGAATGCGCCAGGGTTATACCAAAGACGGGCGCCCCAATACTCGTTGTAGATACCATCAGAGGGACCACCACCGCAGATCAGAACAACGGCCACAATCATGAAAATGACGGTTGCTGCCAGCTTGAAGCAGGACGAGACGAACTCTTCCTCGGCATAGCCGAGTGTTCCGAAGACGTTGATGAAGATGATAAATACCCAGAAGATTGTGATCCAAACAGCGACCGATATGTCCTTGTTCCAATATTGAACCGTGAACGAGCAGACTGTCAATTCGAGTGGTAACACAATGATCCATTGGAGAACCTGTGTACGTCAGCGTGGCTGTCGAGCGGCAACAGAGCGACACTCACGTAATTCCAGCCCATAGCGAAACCCCAGGAAGGGTCAATGAAGCGAACCGAGTACGTGTAGAAACCACCTGAGACAGGGTACATGACGGCAAGCTCGCCAAGGGCATAGACGACGTTGAACATCATGATACCGGTGATCAAGAAGCAGATGAATAGTGAGGCGGGACCACCAGAGGTCAAGGCAGAACCAGAACCGACGAAGAAACCAGCACCGATAGAGCCACCGATGGCAATCATGTTGAGATGACGGGGTTTCATGGAGCGATCCAGTTCAGACACTTCGGTGCCATAGTCACCTACGACTGTCAGAGCCAGTCTGCAGCAGCTTGGACGGTTCACCTACGTCTTTGGAAACTCTTGAGGTTCAGACCATTGCGAGTCAGGAAATCCTGCTCACGGAAGTTCTGTGGAACAGTGCCATCACCGGGCTGAGCGCTGGGCCTGCGCACGGCGCCCTTCTCCGAGTCGGAGGGAGACTGTAAAGTCACTGGCTCCTTCTCCATTGTCGCTCAAAGAATCGAATGAAGAAAGGGACAAGGCACGCGCTTCGAGCAGATGGCAGGCTCTTCAGGCGAGAGCGAATTGTGAGAAGGAAAATCCATCCGCGATCGCGTTTCAACTCTATATGAACAGAGCTGCCGTGCCGATCTCGACAGAGGGGTTGCGATAGGTGTTGAACTCTCCAGGTCAGGGCTTAGCGAAAGATAGCTGTCAATCTGTCGCAAGTGGCTCATCGTATCTGGGGAGGAAGAGAGGGGAGCGGGGCCCGCCGAGTCTAAGAGCCAGTAAGCTTTGCTGAAGGAACACAAAGCCTGATAAGAGCATGTGGCCAAGGGCGCGGCGGACTGGGCAGTGGCGCGATCCAATCTTGACAGGCGTCTGCGGCTGGGATGGCGCTTCTCCAAGGCGGATCAAGACCTGTTCAAGACACGGCCAAGCCCAGCCAAGTGTCATTGAACGCACGCTTGTCCGTCTTCACCAAAGTCAAGCGACTGCGTTGCCCCTCCTCACGTGTCACAATGTTACCGAGCTGCCTGATTGGAAAATGCTCTGGTTCAATTTCTGGGGCTGGCATTCTTGGAAGAGGCAGCCTCGGAGTGTGCCCGTCGCTCGACCAATCCGAGAGCTCTCTGCCCGGGCCGTCTTGACCTTTCTGCGCGCCGGCTCCGGGCAACGAAGGGAAATCTTCTGGAACGCTTGGCATTGCTTGGCCTTTTGTTTTCTTCTGTCATAAAGCTAGCGATGAGTTTGTTATTGGTTATCAGCCGCAAGCTGCGTCACATCGGCTCATCGAAATCAAAAGCGCCGCCTGCATGATCCCTTTCTCCTCATCTCTAACCTGTGGGAACCGTAGCTATCCGACATTTCGGCATCGAGAGTTAGTTTGAACTTGTCCAGGCCGCGAACCAGCGCATACACCATAGAGGACAAGCAATAGAACTTCCGGGGAGCCTCGGTCCACAGCCTCTTTGGGTTTTTATCACTCTACTCCGTAACATGGTCTCGAAGCCTCCATTCTTGGTAGCCTAGCGCCACCAGCATTACCCCTCACGACAGACTCAGAGCACAGTCTGGCAGTCGTCGAATTCATCGGCCAGCATTAGCCAGCAGCGGGTAAAGATCAAGAGCAAATCGTAACGAGGATGATGTTATCTTCAAGACTGGAGGTAGCGATACCCATTAAAGATAGGACCCTCGCCGGTGACTGTGCTAGAAGGGCTCTCTTGGTTTGGGAGAGCGCGAGTGCAACTGCTGATCTCCTGTATTGAGAGATCAGGCAGAGCGAAAGGGGTCAGGCCTCTTTATAGGCGGGTCACCCCATTCGTGGAGAAGTGGCTGCAATGGGCTGTCCCGACATTGGTCTTGGCACCGCGAACCGTGCAATGCGCCTTGATCTCAATGAGCGAGAGATAATCTTATAAGGATGCTCGAAATCTCCGACCTGGCTCAGGAAGGCACAGCTTCAGCAGTCTCGTTATAACGTTGTAGAATTTATGAGCTCCGCTCGAAATCCGCGTAGATCCTGCTCCAGATAGCGTTCATCGTGATCAATGAGCTCGCAGCCATGGCAATGGAGACATAGACGGGGTCAAGACTGAGATAGCCGACACCTGTGGCCGGAATGATGATGTCCAGGCTATTAGTGATCAGCTCCCGAACGATAGTAGGAGTGGCCTTGCCCGTTGTCGAGGGAGGCTCTGTCGCTGCCTTCTTCTCGACTGCTGTGCTTGTTCCCTTCTCTGGCTTCCTTTTGGCGGCAGCTTTCTCAGGCTTCTTCGCCGGGGTTGTAACAAGCTCAAGCGCCCCGAGCACGATTGACAACAGGATTGCGTAGAACCAGCAGACGCCAGCAGTATGCTCCAAGGGCCCGATACCAACACCCTTGACGCCTGACATATCCTCCACGAAGAAACTCAGCCAAGACTCGTCCATTGCGCCCAACGCGCTCGGCAGCACGAGCATGTCCAGGAAGAAGTACATGCCAAGAGTCGAGTCCCTAAGCATCTGGACATTCTCATGCACCGCACCGTACTCACTTCTCGGGCCTAAGAAGATGTTTGTCCAACAATCCACCCATTTGAAGGTTCGGAGGAAGCGGCGGGCGAGATGAATCTGGGCTTTGGAATGGGTTGCTTTTGCTTGGTATCCCTCAGCACCGATCAGCGAAGCAGTCCAGAATGAGGCTTGAAAGAAACGTAGAGTTCGCTCTACGGCGTAGAAATTGTTGGTGTACGCAATGAGAGTTTCGACTGGCTCCGTCATCTTAAGGGATGCGGATGGGCACCGAGTATAAGAGGAGAAGATAACGGAATACGGCGTCGGACGAGCACCAGAGAATTATATTCAACGACAATCACTAGGTCAACGAGCTTATGGTGAGACTTGGAGACAATGAAGCGCCCGAGGAATTTTGACACGTCGACAAGGGCCGCCCCTAGTCTCGGAGTTCTGCGAAACCGATCTCGCGGTTCAATGCAGCGCCAAGGCCCGATTGAAAGCGGACATGGATATCCGTTGTAGCAGGAGTGTATTCGTTGGATACTTTGCCTCCTTTTCCTACGGATCACTAGCGCGCTGCTGTAGCATCTGGAGTCTGGCGCGACGGAATGAACAATGGCGTCAAGTCTCGTGCCCAGCCCTGGGTGACGGACCGACCGAGCACCAGCGTACACCTCCGGCCGTTGAGAGCCATTTATATCCAGGAGTACGCAGATTACGTGGGAACGGGAAAGCTGATGCTTGTACTCAACTCGTTAATTATATGTATATTGGACAGGCCGTCTAGTCTCAGTCTCAGAAACTGAACAATCCACTCTTTCTCTTGCCATAAGGATATACGATCAATGCGCTCAAATAAAGCCCAACACTGATGCCTATCGCGACCTGTACCATGCCATATCCAACATTGAAAATCGTACCATTGTACACGCTGCTCGGATTTTCCTGTGCGGTGACGAAGCCGGCAGTACCATTGTTGATGATTGAGACCGTCGTCGAGTTGCTGGCGAGCTGTTTGGAAGAATCGACTCCTGCCACCAGACTTCCAGACGCCGCCAGCCCACTAGGAACCAGTACGAAAATGGCTGGGAGCATAGCTGCGGCAGCCACCCCATGAAACCACCTAGAATATAGATTGGCTGCCGTTCCGATGACAAAGGCATCAATAGCATTGGCGACTTGCAGGTTGCTTGCGAGCCTGACTGAGATCCAGAAATTGGCCTGATAGCCGAGAACAGCGATCAAGGCCATTACCGGCAGCTGGCGCCATTTGGCCTGGTTGATGATTGCCAGGCAGCAGGCGAACAGTGGAACCCAGATGAACCGGGTATAAATCAATTTCCAGAAATTCAGGCCGGGCGTCCAGTATTTGGGCACGCTGCAAATCACATCGTCGGTGGCGTTGGAATCAATGAGCCCGTATACTACTGTTCCTAGCAAGAGGCCGAACCCGAGGAATAACGTGTAAATGATGGCATAGACCATTCGCACCGAGCCGGAGACCATATTACGACTCTGCAGCTCGAGGGCGGCGTTGAGGACGATGTAGCCCGGAAGGATCAACGCAATGCTACTCTGTGACATGGCCGAGAAGCAGAAGAGATATTCCCCATGCGACCTGATGGACCCCAGTCCTCTTGCGATGAAAGCTGTAAAGAACGCAGTGGCCACTTCGAATACATGGGAAAACTGCTCCGATCGCGGGTTGACCACGAGTTGGAAGACTCCAAGTGCTGAACCCATGAAGAAGATTGGAATCATATCGATAGGGCGGGCACTGAATGCAAAAGGACCAACACAGATTGCCGCAATGCCGAAAACCAGAACCCGGAATAAAGTCGTGTACCGGTTGTCGCGCTTCGAGATATCGTCCAGGAGCTGTGCGGCTTCCTCGGCGCCATACTTATCGTGAATGACACACTTATACACATCGAATGCATCTTTGAGCCTGCCAAAGTCTATACCGGATGCTGGTTCCCGAATCAGCTCGACATGTGAAGTATAAGTGTCCGGAAAAGTCATCAGCACCGCGCCAGGCATGTACATGAATGTCGCATCGATATACAGTGCTCGGCTAGAGACACGGAGATATTCCTCGATCCTGTGCGTTGGTGCACCATAGCGCATGAAAGCACGGCAGAGCTTCTTGAGGTACTCACGCCGAGCGATTATGTCAGCGACCTCAACGATGGTGTCGGCTTCCGAGTCGGCGTATGCGGGTTTGGTGCGTGGGAAGGCTCCCTTCTTGATAATGTCGACAGCGGACGATATGAGATCTGCCGACTTGCTCCGTTGAAAGGAAGGACGGGGTGCAGCGCCTGGGGTGCCAGGAGCGCCTGGTGCTGCAGTACTCAACGAGGCTTGGGCCAACAAGGTTCCCATACCATTTGTCTGACTGGGACTCTTGTCGTACCACCTAGTTTTCTTAGAAGGCGTTGTTCGTCCTGAAGATCCTGCTGAAGAGCCATCGTAAGACTGGGCTCGCTCGTGGATGGGCGGGCGTTTCGAGCTCTTGGGTGTATGTCTCCCGCCAGGCGACAACCAGCCATCCACCTGAGGCGCTTGACTTTTATAAAAATCCTTTGGTGGGTTGCCGTTCTTCTCAAGCTCACTGAGTCGAGATGCGAGAATTGCTCCAAGAATACCAGGCTTGTAGTGGTCTGGACGAGGAACGTAATCCAAGTCGTGAAGCCGTTTGTCAGCGGCAGGCGTTCTGGTGCCGGATTCTGTCCCACTGTTTCGGCGATTCGGCTTTCCGGTGAATGACCTTACCAGTCTTTTTGCCTCTTGCAGATGTTCAACATTCTGCTGACGTTCGAGTGGCTTGAGATGATCGGTATCCGTCTCTTCGTCCGTGTCCTCGTTGATGTCATATGGCCTTTCGGGCTTCTCATGAGACACTAGGGGAATGTCGTCGAACCTGATGGGATGCGTATCGAGTGGACGTAGCGGCGGTGAAGAGTGCGGACGTGGCTGGTTTTCCAGGTCCGCTTGTACGTTTCTCTTCTTCCATGGTAGAAGCCTAGAAATGGCCGGTCTAGGTGTGAGACTGGCCGGTGGGTCAGAGGTATGTCGCCGATGTTGCCTCGCGGTGCTATCACTCAAATCCTCGAGGGAGTTGTTCCGCGACAGATCTGTATACAGCCGATGTGCAGCGCTCCTTGCCTTTTCGGCTGCCGCGTTGGTCCGTTCATTCCATTCAGGGTTGTCAAGAGTAGCCTCGCCAATGTCTTCAGATTCGGGTACCCTCAACGTTGGCACAGGCGGACTAAGGGGTGCCTCATGATCTGCAGGCCTCGCGGGCCTCGAAGGAGATGTGTCACCGAGCGTGAAATTGACTTTTTGCTGTTGTCTAAGGGCTGATTTCAGACCGCTGGCAAAATTGGCGGTTTGACCTGGTCGAGGGCTGGATGCGCCGCTGTCTTTGTCAGGTGTGATGTTAGGTGAATTATGGGCGGGGTCCATGTCAAGGGCGATGTCGCGCCCTTCTCTTCGATATCGAAATCAGACAGCAATCAGTGTAAGAGAGTGAATGACATGAGTCGGGTATTAATGAGGGCTGGTGTTGATGTTGAGTGAGAGTGATGCTGCTGGCAATATTCCGCCGGAAAAGTCAACTGGGTTACAAATTTAGGACTGGAAACCGGAGGTAACAAAGAGGCAAGAGGCCGGGAGCAGAAGAGGCAAGAGCTGTCTGTGCACGAAGTCAATGGGAAAGCGGAACTCGAGAGTCGAGAGTACAAGAGTACCCTGACACTCAAGGGCGGAATCTGAGAACCAGCATGCCATTTTACAAGTATCATACCATATGAGCTCATAGGGGATGATAACAGCAGCAACTCACCAGCTTGCGCACTCGGTGGAGGCGATCTAAGCAATAGAGGGTCCATGTCTAGAATTTTCAAACCAGTGTGAGCCATGGCATGTGCAGCCATGGGTAGGGCCACAGGCTGAGCTGATAATGCAGTGCCCACCATGGTGAGATATGGATGGAGCACGCCACGACGAGGCCCCAATTTTCATGCGACAAATCCCACCCGGAGCACAGCGGCTTAAATGATGCTTTATCAAAAGCCAGTGCAGCCGAAAGGCAATCTCGCGCTGTCCGAGAGTTCGCCATGGCAGACTGCTGAGAAGGTGCTTTGCATTTGAAATGGTTGCTCAGCTTCGAGGAAAGGAAGAAGTGAAAAATGCAAAAAATGTCGCGCTATGAGGCGAAAGTTGACAAGGCTCGGCCGAAGCCTTACCGAGCCACGATCGACGTCAGTGGAGCCGTGTTGGCTAATCACAGCCCGAGACTCCGAGCCGAGTCGATTTTCGACACGATGCAGCGCGTCGGAATAATCCCAACACTTGCACCGGCCAGAAACTCCTGTTTCTGAGCCTCCACCGTGCGTTCAAAAGTCTCTTCCAACGTCCGTTCCAGGCCACGAAGAATGCACAAAAGTATCTCAGCCATAACTGGTATCCCGGAACCTTATTCACCCCACTGATAAGCTGCAGGTGTCTGAGCCCCTTTGGTACATTCAAGGACATCGGCTCCGCGACAATGTGCAGTGACTGCGCAAAAATGTACACCTTCCATTCGCGCACGTGTAATCTGTACATGACCAAGTTCTCACATGCCTTCTTGGGGCAACATGCCACGGTAGCTGTCTGTGGCTACCTGTACACCGTCTTTCCATTGGCCTGTCTTATCAGAGCCTCGCTGGCTTCCACCTCGGTTTGCGTTTCTCTGCAAAAGCCGCCAACCCTTCTTTGATATTCTCTCCCTTCTGCAGCTCGGCGAACTCGTTGTCATGCGTCGTTTGCACTGCATGTTCGACATCGGCTTTGGCCCATCCTTCCCTAAGTCCTGATCGGGTGCAAATGATACTGTCCGGACTGTTTGTCGCAATGAGTTCTGCATATCTCAGTGCCTCCTTCACCACATCCATTTGCGGCACAACCTTGTTGACCAGACCCCATTCCAGTGCCTTCGTCGCGGAAATCCTTTGTCCTGTCAACGCGAACTCACTGGCCCTCTGCAATCCTATACTCCTGATGAGTCTCGGCAATGCCCCAGCGAACGGCGCAACTCCTCGTGTCACCTCAGGTAAACCGAACTCGGCCCTCTCGGCGGCTACCACAAGATCACAATTGACTGCGAACTCGGTTCCGCCTCCGAGTGCCAATCCATTCACAGCAGCGATGACGGGCTTTTTGCCTCTACGTCTGCTGAGACCTACTCCCTTTGCTTTGGTCACCCGCCGTGGTGCGGCGCCTGGTGTTAGTGATTGCGCCCATTCCTTCAGATCCGCGCCCGCTGAGAAAGCTTTATCGCCGGCGCCAGTCAGTACCGCAACGGTCAGATTGGGCTCTGAATCCAGCCAGGACCACACAGCTGCTAGCTCTTCCGCCCCGGCGGCGTTGATGCAGTTCATCGCTGATGGTCTGTCCATCGTGACAAGCACGACACGTGGTATAGGAAAGGTGAGCTTCAAAAATGTCGGCGTAGGCGGTGGCGACGTCTGATTGTAGTGACTCATATTGGCGTGCTACTGACCTAGGAACTCGTGAGGCCTCCTTGAGAGGGCGCTGATGTGAAGCAGTAAGTTGAAGACTGCTGCATAGCAGAGAGGAATGTTCAGATAACTACTGCATCACTGTTAGTGATCAGTAATTCCGACAGCCTCGGGTAAGCCCCGAAGCTCGCAACCAATTGGAGGTGCGCTGGCCACGCTCTGGTTAACACATCAACTGCCGTTAGGTAAGCTTCCCCACAAATACTTGAGCCGTTCGTGCCTCGGCCGTCATATCAGTACCGTGATGAACAACTTGTTGGTATATATCCACGACTTGTGTCAATGCTGAAGCTGTGTTGTTCAGAATAGTTCGTTCGAACTCTCGCCAATGCCAAACATCCAGTCCTGCGAAAGTTGGGCAATGGCATCGTTGCAATATTGGTCGTAACACATAGTCCGCAAATCGCCGAAGCAATCGCGGAGAGTGCTGTCAACCGTCATGTTTACCAGGTCAGGGGAAGCACTATCGTAACAGCTACCACTTATGCTCGGTGTTGGAGCAAGGACCATGTCGATGGTGCGTGTGGATGCTGTATTGGGCAGTGCTGCAGCTTGAGCAGTCTGGGCTTCCACCACGTCTTCGACAACCGCGTCGCTCAATTTATCGAAGACTTCTGAACAGCTTCGAGCCATCGTCCATCTTTCGGAAACCGCGACAAGAATTTTGGAGCAGGCCCTGGTGTCGTTGACGACTTGAGTGATCGTGGGCGAGAAGTTGAGGGTTGATTTACCTAAGCTTCGGCTAGATCTTCGGATGTGCTGGAAGTGATTTCGGAGAGCGTAGATGTACGAGAGCCCGGCGATGAAAACTGCGTGGAGGGTGATCCAAGAGTAGTTGATCTTCCGGGACCGGTGCAGGCTGGCGTAATAGTTTATGGCCTTCTGCGAGGATTCATAGACGTGCTGCAGTGTGACACTATTGGTTGTGGCATCGGAGAGGCATGGTGACGGGCGGAATAGCATAAGAATGCCGTTGTGATAAAGCAAATCATACCATTCTGGGGCTCTGAAGGTCGACTTCGCTGCGGGCGTCAACAGGCTATCGTCTCTCACCAGGACTAGAGTCGATGTCTCGCTACGCCAGTAATTGAGCTCGTGCTCAAGCTGCTGCCGGAGCTCTGCATAGTCTTCTGCTTTCTTGCGACCACGCCAACTGCGATGGAGTCCGTTGAGGATCTTGCCGCAAATAATCCGATAACGAACGACATGGGCGAAGATGCAAGACTCGCTGCTCGATGCTCCCACCTGAGGGAGTTCCAGCTCAATGTCCTCCAGCTGGATAGCAAGGGGTCTGCCAAGCATGAGGCTGACGACTCGGTCCATGGCGACTACACTCCAGAGGCAGCGACGCTTAATGTCGACTTCCTTGCGCTGGGATTCACCGCAGGCTTCATTAGGGGTGTAGGATGACGCCTTGTGGAGACCAAGCTCAAAACAAGTCCGTGCAGCTACCCCTATGAGATGCCAGACACTGGCGGTGGTGTCTTGCGAGGTGGTGCCCATTCGATACTGACAAATGAGCAATAACGCCTGTAGACTGACCAAGCCGCCTTGATCGAGAACGTTGGACAGCTGTGATGTGGCACGGCTGAAATGAGTCTCAGCATCCCATATCCCAGTCCACCCGAGTTTATATACCTGTGCAGAACCGAGGGCGAGGACTGCATCAATGAAGAAGCAGTCGTTCAGGCCTACTTGGGTCGTATCCACTGCATAAACTCGGTCCAGTGCTTCACGTAAAGTCTCAATGCAAAGGAATGGATAACAGACGTGGTCATGGCTGCAATATGCCTCCAAGATTTGCAGGGCTTGGTTTCGGGACGGCCGTGCCTGCTTCGATGGTGGCGAAGTGGTCTGCTGTCGGTCTTGTAGCACGGTCGGAATACCCTGTGCCAATGCCGAAGATTGCTGGATGTGTGGCTGGAGTAGATTTGCCAGGAAGAGTCCACTGGTCGATCCGACGAACTCAGTCCCTCCACTTGCGCTCAACGATAGATGAATGACCTGGTTAGCGACATCACTCTGACCTTGCTGAATCCCTGTTTGGCTAGCTGAGGTAGTAGGCGTTGGGACCTCGGGCGACTTTTGGACTTCATATAGTTGGCTAGTGAGAGATCTGTTCTTTGATTCCAGATCTCTGATACGATCTTCTAGCCTGTCAACGTTCTGCCGGCGGAGTTCTCTCCCGCTTGTCACATAGACGCATGGAGTGTCCACCCGATAGCAATGAGAGCATGCCGGCTGTGTTTTGTCGCAACGGATCTTCTTGCGATAACAGCGTTGACAAGCACTGGGCTTTCCTTCGGTTCCGAAAGGCATTGGTCGCCGCTTATGAAGACGAGAAAAGGACTTCTCGGAACATACGACTCTCCCATGTGTGGGGAAACGCAGGGGATGGGGTTGATTGTGGAGAGGAGGCTGGCCGCCGTCATGAACATCGGTAACTTGGCTCCGCCTATCATTTCTTCTACGCGCACATCTCCCCGAACCACAGTCTTCCTCGGAGGAGAGTCTTGTCCTTGCGCAATAGCGAATATCGCCATCTCAGGTGCGTCAAGGTCTCCTACCTTTTAACAGAATGTTGGCCAAGGCTTGTCGAGTCCGCGAATCCTGTAAAATTCAGCCTCGGGTTTGGGTCAATCACAGCCTTGTCACCGCATTCCGTCCTCCGTCTCCGGTTCACTCTGCCCTCAGCGCCTCTGACTCCGACTTGCTACTGCTTATCTCAAAAAAGACACCCTCGATGGCCTATCCTCGATGCTGCAGCCTGACCACCTTGGACTGTGGTCTTACCTACGTGGAATCCTCATGTGTGGTATAACCTGCGAGACATGCTCCCAACGTCTGCCAAAGCCTGCCGCAATCCCATACCCTCAAAACCTTCGACAATATTGACCCCGCGAAGTCAGAGGTGACTCACCGCATCAGAACAGACCAGATCCGAAAAGACCACATTGCTTCCGCAAGATCTACACAGGGTGATCTAAGAAGACTCGGTTCTACGGTAGGTTCGACCTTCGAAGCGCTTTGCGGCGCATATTTGCCCGACCTGTGTTCAGTCCAACCAGGCGGATCTCCCCAACGCTGCCCGAGGCCTTGGTCTCGCCCGAACCCAGAGTAAGATTCGGAACTACAAAATGTCCTTTCAGGCTCTATAAGACAGAACGCCCGAGACACACAAAGGGGACAGCTGGCGCACTCTTCCGGACAGCTTGAACACGCACCAGCAGTGCGGCAAGTGCCGAACGAGGATAAGAATCGACTCGTCCCAGTTTGCAGGACAACCATGTCACAGGCGCAGGCAATAAGTTCACCCACGAGCTTCAATTCAAGATGTTCCTCCCTGCCGCGCGACTACAGTGATCAGCGCACACATATGCGACATTTCCGTCATCCTCGTGTGCAACAAGGGACCAGATGACGACGTTGAGGGTGGTACGCCATGTGCAATTTCGGTCCTAGAACGATAGGCAGGATTTATGCAGGCATTGGTTTCCGATTCAGGTATGGCGATCCCGGCTGCGCTACAAATACCTGCCCCATCAGGACTCAACGTCCATCATTTCGGCAGATGCAGAGGCTTCCCTCTCTCGTAGAGCCTCTCAAACACGGTCGCGCTCTCATCGTCTAGATACGGCGCAGCTCTGGTCTGAATGATGCCTTGGGTCTTGTAGTTCGGCCCAGTCTCGTAGCACTCTCCACTTGCTGTGTTCTTGCCTAACAGCGCTTCAAACGCGTCCGGAACACTCTCCAGCGGCGTGAGCAAGTTCTCGGCTTCCAGCTTGTCGTAGAAGGCAGGCGTGGAGATATTGGTGCGGACGACGTTGGGACATACGGCATTGAAGGTGATGCCTTCTTCCGGTAGCCACTTGCCGTAAGAGCGGACAAATCCAACCACCGCACTGTGAAGGTCAGCCCACTGTTTGAAATCGGCCTTCGCCAAGGAGCAACCTACTGCTTTGCAGCCGTATAAATCGGCACCGTCGGGCAGCAATAAAAGCCACACACACTTGCCACGCACGCCACTTTCCCTCTAAACCCATTCTCATCCTTATCTTGTCGTCTCATCTGCTGAACTGCCAGGGCAACCGTGTACATCAGGCCAGTCACGTCTACATCGAACACACTCAGGTCGGGGACCTGGAATCCGCTCGTCACACTAGGGTTGTTATCGATCCATCGCCGCTCGTTGATGCCAGCAATGCTGTAGACATAGTCTATGCGCTCGTATTTGGCGACAGCCTGCCCAAAGACCTTGGCTTGCTGGTTCCAATCGCGGACGTCGAGCTGGGCAGACGAGGCCATCTCGCTGCCGCTGGACTTGTTGATGTCCGCACATACCGCTTCCGCGCCGGATCCGTTCTGGTCAGCAATAAAGACCTTGATTCTAGAGAAGATGTTAGCGGGGTAAGGAGGATGTTAGAGAGAATGGTAGTCACCCGTTCTTGACCAGCATTTCGGCGGTGGCTTTGCCCAGCCCGGAGGCTCCTCCTGTCAAGTACGCGACAGGCATGTTAGTTGTCCTGTGTCTTGTTTCCGTTACTGCATGTAGGTAGTGCTCGTGCGAGAAATGGCAGAGCTCATTGAAGTAAATGGCAATTCCAGCAGAGGGTAAGCCCGAGGTACCCCTGCCGCATCTCCGCGATGAGGGGAACCATTGTTCTGTGAATCAAAGCAGACCAGCTCGAGCTCGGCTGAGCGAGAATCAGAGTTCAGCCAATGAATCGTGGTGTGCAAAAGAGGAGAGCCGGAACAGCTCGTGCTGCAGCAAGTCCAAGCATCTCGTCTGCGGGGAAGCACGAGGTCATTTCAGGCAATGACTGCTTTGGTCCTCCAAGTGGATATACGTACTTGCCGACTCCCAATGTTGAGACGTATTGAAAGTGGACAGGGGCATAGTGGAGCAGATTGGAGCTATACCAAAGATACCCGTCATGTCTACACGGAAGGTGTTTGTTGGGAGTTTGCGTCACCCGAGCACTGTACATTGCGGAGTAGCATTGAACGCTCAAGCTTCACATACTTGAAGCATGCAACAGGGCTGACTTGTTATCGGACATGTGCACACATAGCCTGCATCATCCGCACCTGTTACTCCGACTGCCGAAGACATCATGGTTGTAGGATACCAACGTCGTTGGCGCTGCAGCACTTCCGTCAAGGCTGAGCAACAGCCTTGCCGTGGGGTAAGTTTAACTTCACTAGCAGCTCTCCACCCGCCGGTGCACGTCATACTAGTATCTAAACCAGAGGCACAATAGAACCGTAGCTTCTGCTGCCTGCACCGTCTACTGTCACTGAGGTCCTACACTTGCTGCTGACTATTGCTGCTGTCTACAATCGTCATGGCCAATCCTGTACCGGCTGCGCTGAAATCAGCGGACATCACTCGGTTCGCTTTGAGAGCTACACAGCTTGAGAAGCCAAAGCCCATCGTTGCCTACTGGTGTATGCTACACCCTTGACGAATAGAATTCGCGCTAAAAAGGAGCAGGCAATTACTGGATAGTGAATCAAATACTGTCCAAAGGATTGCATAATGCCGACGAGGAAAGCCTCACCTACACAACTACAATGATGGATAGGCTTGAACAGGTCAGTCGTCCCACTATCGTGATTCAGACCAATGCTTATACCATGTAGTTCAAGTCACAGCACTCAGATGAGGATGCCATAACCGACGACACGGCTGGAAAAGCATACATTGAGCAGTTCGGTCTCGAGACCTTTAACCGCGCAGACAACGCAATCCGAGCGAACAGGGCATCCCGCCAAACCGCCGACACATTTCAGGCGGCTGCTACTTTTCTGGATCTGTTGGGCATCTGGGGTGCCATTGAGCCCGAGATTATAACCAAGATCAAGTTTGCCAAGTACCACGCCTTGAGAATCGCAAAAGCAGTCAAAGCCGGCGAAGACCCCAATGCCTCCAACCCTCCACCGATCGAAGAAGAAACTTTACCAGAACTTGACCCTGACGATGCAGACCTATTAGCGGTCGAAGGAGGTGGCAGACCAAGACAACCTTCGGTGGTGGAAGTACCAGATGAGGCAGATAAGATCCAACAAAACCTTGCCCGGGTATCGTCACTCGACCAGTCACTGCACCCATCACGAGACACCTCAATCGCACCCAAGCCGCGTCAACCTTCGGTCACTGAAGTGCCTGATGAAGCTGACAAACTCCAAGCGAACCTAGCTAGAACAAGCTCTCTCGACGAGTCTTTACATCCGTCACGCGCTCCTTCAATACCACCTCCAGTACAAGGTGTCTCGCCCATCAGCCAGGATCCAGCAGCCTTTTATGCAGATGGTGACAAAGGTCCAGTCTCGCCTCTCGAACCCCAGGGTGAACGCAAACCTTCAGTTGGAGGCAACTACTTCCCCGAGGTTCCTGTCGGCACACAACACCCTGCAGCCGCTACCAACATCGGTCTCAATCTTCCAGTTCCTCCCGGTGGGCAGCCAGCACAGCCAGCCCATCAATCCAGTGGCTCTGCGAAACCCAATGTTAGCACCACCGTTCCGCCTATTGTACCTCATCCAACATCGACAAATGCTCCGCAGCATCATGGATTGGTCCCACCACCCTCTTCAAGTGCCTCGCAGCACATTCCTCCCCCAATCGCTGGTCCACCTCCAGGTGCGCCCCTCTCACCTCCTGTCAATTCTACACCCCAGGGACCTTTCATCCCTCAGTCGACAGCCCCACCAGCCTCGCAGCCCGCCGCGTGGAATGTACCTGCAGAAGTAAACGAGGAGGCCATGCTGTCGGCCCAGAAACATTGTCGCTGGGCAATCAGTGCCCTGAACTTTGAGGATGTGCCGACTGCAGTGAAGGAGCTACGTGGCGCTTTGAAGGACCTAGGTGCACTCTGATTCGAGGGTTGGCACCGCAACGAAGGCATCACGGTTTCGACGGAGCAAGTTCAAGCAGGTGCTGCCGACAGTGATAATGCTGAAGACTGTGTCACAGATTCTCTGTACAGTAGGCTTCAGGCCTAGCTGCAAAAATATCTTCGGAAGACGTTCTTCTCTCGGGACGACAAGCGTATGTGTATACGGAGCATGTGGACTACAATCCTATGGATGCCACAAGTATCCCTGCAACAAAGGAACCAAAGGCGGCACAGCCCCGCCAGAACACCAAACATGATTCTGAGACCAATTTCCTGTACAGTGGCAGAAGCTACTTACAGCTCTAGAGTCCTAGTTTCATGGCTTTAAGCTCAATGAGCTGGTCTCGACGAGGCTTGGGCAAGGCAGGCTGTCCCAGCGTCTTGTCAGCACTCGAAGCGGCGACGACCAATGTTGACCGAGCACAGCGCGAGGCCAAAAGCATATTGTCTGAATTCGTCGAGACTGCATTCATAGGAGCAGCCACGCTGCCTTTTTGACTGGATCAGGTGGTTCCCCATCCTTCATCGCGGGATGGAACTGCTCAATGGCTGAAGATGGACAGCACCATATCTACGGCGCTGCCGATACAATGGCTTTGACTTCAGGTGTCGTAAGACAGAGCATAGTTTCGCCTGATCTAAATGAGGCAATTGACAACCCAGATGGTGCTCATCAGCAACACAGAATTTATGATTGCAACCAAGTTTCCTCTGGCGAGGAACCACTGTTGTCCACCATGTGCAATCCCTCAGAGGCACCCTGATCGGCCCTAATCGTCTTTGCAACCTCGGGCTTGCCCTCCAAGACAGTGTCCACAGCGATAGTATCCATGAGTTCCCGAGTGAAATATCACATTTGCTGAACCTCTCTTCCGGAAAGCTAGCTACGCTGAAAGGTTGAGAGACGATCAGTATTAGCATGCCATATGGCGGCCGTCTTGCACAGCACGTATTCGGCCTGACATGTAGACAAAAGCAGGAATCAAGACGATATTGAAGTGGGAATATCATATCATTACAACGAATCAAAGAGATCCTGAGCCCAATGTAACCCGTTCATCGCTTGCAGCGATAGTGGTGGGCTCTTCTGCTTGACTGTCTGTACATATGTACCGATACCTTCGGTATCTCGATGCAGAAACTGGTCTTGAGTTCGAAGCCGCACGCTATGTTGTCCTGTAGAGCCTGATAGCCAAAGCGGAGACCAAGCTCAGCTTGTTTCTGGACCCCTAGCCAGTGTTTTCATCCCTCGTAATCGTATCGTATCAATCATTCATGTCAGGCCACACCAAAACTCTGCCTGAGGTCCTTACGTTGGTCTTGTAAACTCCTTCACAGGTGGCGGAGGCCAATAGACGCCGTGACACAGACAAGGTACCAATAGCCTCCCTAAATCTCATATCATGGTAAGAGACAGGCTATGTCCTGGTTGTTGGGTCCACTTGCTGCCGACCGGCTTCCAAGTGAGCGGGCGTGACCGGCGCCTCAGTCGCTGCGGCATTAGACACTTCCGGTGCCTGACTCTGCCCATTTCTTGCTTCGTTGCTAGGCATCATACCTTCGCTGGCCACAAGCGTATTCGCACTGCCAGACCCGCCGCCTGCCCAGCCACCGAGTCGTGGCATCCGGAGTCTGCTTCGCCAGCCTCGGGGCGGCTCGCTCCTTTCTTGCGAGCCCTCCATCTGTGTGGCATCGCCGTCTTGTTGCTGTTGGCCTTCGCGTTCGCGTTGCCGCTGCTCTCTGCGCAAGCGTCGTCTCTGCTCGCCTGGCGTTTCGTCCCGGACCACTCGCGGGAAACCATAACGATCACGCTCATCGTAGACGATGCTCATGAAGCGACCAGGTAGCACCATTGTCGGCCGTCTCTCGCGGCCACCGATGAATGCAAACTGGGGAGATGTCAGAGGTGACTGGCCAGCGGAGTTCTGCCCATCTTGCTGACCCTCAGGGCGTGGTTTGGGAACATAGTAGTCAGCCTTGCAGAGGGGACAGCAGGCCCGACGAGACGTCAGCCACGGATCGACACACGAAGCATGGAACGCGTGTCCACAGAGAAGACCACGGATATCGTCATCGTCTTCCAGTGTGTCGATGCAAATTGCACATGTGTCGCCAGGATCGGGTAGCTGTTCGGCAGGAACGGCAGTCTGAATGTGATCATCGTCTTCCTCCTCGCCATCATTTGACGTTACTTTCTGCACGGGAGTGTCGGGCGTAGAAGATGCAGCCGTCTTAGGACGTGGTGAAGATGGTTGTGCATCTGACCCACTCACAACTTCTGGCTTCCCATGCTCTTCTTTGGCTTGCAATTCCTCGGCAGCAGTGGAAGTCGTTTGAGACGTAGCAAGTTCGGAATGCTTGGGCTCGTCTTTGGACTCGCGCTGCACGCCCCGGATGCTAGCGGGTCTACTTGTCGAGTCTGTGGTAATGCCTCCAGCAGTCGGAAGGCCTTTCTCAGCCTGGGTAGATCGCCAGGTCTTGTACTTGGTCAGAGGGAACTTCTCATTCACCTCGTCCATGGTCATGAGTTTCTTCTCCCTCCGCCTGCGATGCTGTCGCGGCATTTGACCAAGATCGACAGCATCAGGATCCTCGCCGGCCATTCGCTGTCGATTGCGCTGGTTGTATCTGAAGCAATACTTCACACCAACAATGATCCTGGTTTGTAAGTAACTGTCTATCGTTACAAGAAAAGAGCTTACCATAGATTGGTAAAGACAACGCCGAAACCCAGTGCGACGAAGAAGAGTAAAGGTGAACTGGGCCCGCTACCGCTGCCCCGGCTGGTCTCTGAAGGCGATGCCGTTGGCGAAGCGGTGAGCGTCGCGCTTGAACTCAATGTTGAAGTCATGGTGAGCAGCCAAAAATATATGGTCGATCAGGGAAGCCCAGGTATGTGGTTTCGCAGTCGTAGAAGCGCAGCTTCCTGATCGAGTTGAAACCGCCGTCAGCTGCAGCTGCGATGTATAAGAATATTATCTATAGGGATATTTTGTGGCCATTGATGTGTAGTAGGACTATAGGTGCGCAGAAGGTCCGAGTCTTCCAGTTGGTTTCTAGGTCTGAGGCCGCCCAGGCCAGTGTTTCAGGACAAGTCGAGATTGCTTCAGGAGGCTTCACAACCTTGGAGTAGGGCGGATTGAGGCGGAGGATACGAGAGAACGAGGAATCGATCGAGGTGGCGACGACGCGGTGATGGTGGTGGCAGGGAAAGACAGGTTAATTGAGCGTGCGACTGCGAAGGTCGGCCTTGGTCGGCTGCACCACTCAAGTCATAGGCAAAGTGGCGACGGCGGGAGGAGAAGAGCGGGTGCGCAGCCTACGGAGTAGTGCTCGCTCCCACGCTTACAAGGCCAAAGAAGAAGGCGGGAGGGCCGAACTGGATTGCTCTAGGCCGGCCGGGGACTAGTCCATGCAGGATTTCCAGACCCTAAACTGCGCAGCCCTCGGCGCTGACAAGCAGCCCTAATCCCCTGTCACTCCAGCCCACAAAAGCTTCCTCGCAGTCGAGACCACAGGCGAGACTGGGGAAGCGAATAGTAGGTGTGAACTATGTTGATGATTCTCGTCAATCAATCAACAGTCACTCAGTCATTAACATACGTGCTGAAAGTACACTGATCAACTTGTGTTTGTGTTCGGCTTTCTAGCGGCCGCTCAACTGATCGTCACCAGCCCATTGAAAATTCCGGGCAAGCCTATATCGATCTGCGCTGCATTGCACCTCTGCCGGCTTCACAAGCTTGCGGGGTTACGCGTCGAGACGCAGATACTCTTCTGACTTCAATGTGGTGTGACCATTCGCAATATTCTCTCATTCGACTATTCTGCAGCTAAGAGACCTTTTCCATCATGTGCCACTCTGGGCTTTTGCGCCTGATATCTCTGTCGGAGAGCACGGCAGCGGACAGTGGAAAGAAAAAGCTTGGTTCTGGGAGACTTTGTGCCCTGTCCATCGCCACCCACAATCCTTGATCACTGTGATCGCAGGGTGATAGGGCCAACCCAATCGATGGCATCACAGCCCCCAACGTGCGGATATGATGCCCTATCTCCACGATGATGATCATGATCATGATCATGGCCTTTGATTAAGACCGTCGCCGCGTCCTCTCTCACAACCATCACCCATTGTGAGCATGCTTGCTTGGCCCAGCCGCGCGGTCTTGCCGATCGTACACTATGCCCTCTCTGCACCTTGAAGCAGCTGCACAGCCTCCCGATATTCCGTTTCGTTGCATGTTCACATCATCAACGGATCACGACTTCTCACATTTCACCACACTCGACCACTCTCACATCTTGCACTGGCCGATCACCCTGTCCTCTACCACCTGCGCCCGCCGTCCTCACGTGCTCAACTTTCTTGACCACGTCCATACTCTCCATGTCCGCCACCTGCCCAAACACGACGTGCTTTCCGTCCAAATGCTCCGTTTTCGTGCACGTGATGAAGAACTGGCAACCATTCGTGTCCTTTCCCGAGTTTGCCATACTCAGTAAACCTGGTACGGTATGCCTGTACGTAAAACCTTCGTCTGCAAAGCTGGCACCGTGGTAGATACTTGTCGAACCTGTGCCGTCCGCATTGAGGAAGTCACCGCCTTGAATCATGAATCCCTTGATGACCCGGTGGAACTTGCTGCCCTTGTATCCCTGCGGTAGTCCTGTCGTGCCCCGGTACTCGCCTGTGCAGAATTGGCGGAAATTCTCGGCCGTGCGTGGTAGGGTACTGGCGAAGAGATGAATTTTGATTCTTCCGAGGGGCTCACCACCCAGCGTGAGGTCCAGAAAGACGATAGGATCAGCCGTTTCGCCTGCCTTTGGTACAGGTGGGAGATTGGCCATGATGTCGATAATTTACGGTGGTGCCGTGGCGTGGACGAGTTTATTTGCCTTCATCTGAAGAAGCAGTTTATATAGCCGGAGAAAGGTTTCCCCGACTTCGGCTGCGTCTCGAGATTCACTATCGCTACGAGCACTGCATATGGGGTAGAGCGGCACCCAAGGCATGTCATTACTCGTATTCTCATTACTACAACTCTCAGTATGCTGACACTGGGATCGGCCTTTCACCCTTCTTCCAGAATTTGAATCCACGCCGGATTTTCTTCGGCTTTTTTTCCCTCGATACTTGCGGCTCCTCTGGTATATACTGCACAAGAGGAGCATGCTGCCCAATATGCGTAGGCAAGTCGTGCACCAGGTGGCGCTCCGGGATTTCCCCTATCTTCGTACTTGTGGTCATGAATGTTGCCGCCGAAGGAGGCCTGGGTCTTCGAGTGGGAGTCGGTCTCGTGTGGAGAGGTATTTTGGGCGGTCGTAGTGGAGGAGCGTCGACATTTGCCTGTGTTTGTTCGAGCGGCAGGAACGTGTCTGGTGGTACCAAGAGCATGCTTCGCTCCTCTTCTGGACATCTATGATGCCTTCTGCGCCTACGCTTGTCTGGAAGTGCATTCTCTGGCTTGTCGGGCGATGGCGTTCTCGATCGTGGCTTTGATATGCTCTTCTTGGACACTGTGGGAAGATCGGCTTCTGATTTACTTCTCTCATGCGCTGGCCTGCTTTTGCCGGTCTTCGAGCTGGATGCGGACACCACTGATGAGCTCTTGGGTCTGACCCAAGCTCCACGAACGAGAGGCGTCGCTCCTGGTCTCTTCTTCTGTTTGGCCTTTGAATCGCCAGGATCCTTGGCTCGCGGGGATGGGACCGTCCGTAGATTCAGAGCGGACTGATTGGCCATTCTGAGACTCAACTGACTGAGAGCAGCAATGGTGTCGGTAGCAGCCGCTTCAGACAGATCGAACAAGGCTTTGCTGGTTGTTGGATCATACTTGGATTCTCGATGTAGAACATGGTTGATCAAATTGATCAGGCCGGAATTAAGCACGAGCAAGGTATGTGCTAGACTTGAATGAGCAGTGCTGTCTCCCACCTCGAATCTGTGACCAAATCGTGCAACATTGCTGTGGTAAGAATCCCGTATCTGCTGTGGTCGTCGATCAAGCGAATCTCTGAGCCAAGCCTCTTGCTCGGACAGGGTAGGCTCACGACCCCGCTTCTTACTCTTTTTCCCTACCATCCGCAGGAACAGGTCTCTGCCATTGCCAAAGGCCGACACAATGGAAGCTACAACGTTGGCCACCTCCATGATGGAGTGGGGAATTAGTGGAACAGAACAAAGAGGAGGCTAGAGGTTGGGGGAGCAGCTTCGGATATGTGCTTGAAGACAGACCTCGCCTGCAAGGAGCCTCGAATTCTCCGAATAGCAGTTGCAGGAAAGGCTCCCAATCGCAGGCGTACCTGCCGCTCATGCAGAGTGAAGAAATGCCCTAAGGATAACGTCGAAAGACATGACTGGAGGTTTGAGGGACCGGGCATCCTTGGTCCGCCGCGGGGCGCATGTTCCAGGCGCTTAGACATGCAGTCGCCCGGAATTCTAACTCGTTAGCCACTCCTTCCTTTCCGTTTCAACTGGACCCCGACAGACGCCGTGCTATGGTACAGCTGAATGCTAATGGGCGCTCCAGAGTCGGCAGAGGCCTTGAGAACCTGTCGAATCCTAGTGAGGCTAGAATGCCACGGGAGGGCGGACAAACTTGAAGGAGGCAGGCGTAGGGCAACGAGTTGATCGCGAAGCTTTGACCACTTGCTGCAAATTGGCCGCATCCCCCACCGTATCGTGCTCCATCTCTCGAGGCTCTTGTCGGTTTCATTGATCACCTAAAACCACCCACGAAATGTCCGCAGTTGGTCCAAGCCTACCTCCTTCGCTCACGGATAAGCGCAAGAGGGACGGAGATGACTGCAGCGATGACGAGGCGTCCTCGAGCCCGGTCAGCGACAACAAACGTCCACGGGTAGCGGGACCAACACTACCTCCTGCCCCTCCTGACCAACGCCCCTCTAACAGCGTTGCGGTGGTTGAGCAAAACAAAGTCTCTGACAGCGAGAGCAGCGAAGATGACGACTTTGGTCCAGCATTGCCAGGTGCGGCCGATGCTGTCCAGAGAACTGAGACCCAGCCGACCACCAAACCTGCCGCGCCTGCCGTCGCTCAGCGAGACGAGTGGATGACCATGGCACCCGCGCATGGGGACTGGTCGGCACGAGTCGATCCTACGCAGCTCAAAGCACGCAAGTTCAATACCGGCAAGGGGGCCAAGGCTCCGGTGGCTGCAACAGGTGCTTCTGATGCATGGCACGAGACTCCAGAGCAAAAGCAGGCCCGTCTGCAGCGAGAATTGATGGGTATCAAGGAAAAGTCGTCCACTTCAAATGCACTGCACCAAAGCAAGGTCACCGAAGAAGATGCCGCTACGGCCAAACGCCTCCAGGAGTATAATAATGTACGAGGACCGTCTCTGTATCAGGCACATCAGAGGAAAGAAGGCAAGGAGGAAGACGACGATCCAAGCAAGCGTGCGTTCGACCGAGAAAAGGATATTGCTGGCGGGCTTCAGCTCAATTCAACTCAGCGTAGAGACATGATGAAAAAGGCCTCGGACTTTGGCAGCAGGTTCAGCTCAGCTAAGTATCTGTGAAGATGAATGTGCATCGGAACGGCGCATTCCTCTCCTTCCATTTTATCTTGACTTTGGTGACTGTTCCGGTAGCATATCGGACACTTATTACTCATGATCACGCTTCATTCTGCTCAGGCTCGTCTGTGCTACCGGATCCATCGCTCCACGAGCGGCGTCTATTTATGTCTTGGACGGGTTGACCATGTCCCAGCCGATAGTGAGATCATGCACTGCCCTGGTAAGCTCAACAAGGCTGAGCAGCTGGAAAAGGGCCAGCTCCCTGGATCGACTGTACATGGAGACTATTGAAGCATTCTTGACATCAAATCAGGTGCGAAAGCTGCACGATTGAAGAGCAGTCGTTGAGAGATCAGAGCTTCTCAGAGAACGACTCCGACACAGTTCACTCGGGTCTTACAGCAATGCTCACAAGCCCAATCCAGTTTGACACACATGGAACAACGCCGTTGGGGATTATGCCCCTGTATGGTACCATGCAGGAGGTTCAGATGTCATGGCTGCGTGCACGCCTAGTGAAGAAAGAGGGCGCGCTTCTCTGACGATGCCCATGGTTCTGGTGGCTTTGTCCGGTATTCGGTAGATAAATTAATGAATGCCAGATGCATATCGAACCACATTTTTGACCCTTCCAGCACCTTTCTGACGTATTCATGCCAACGCATGTCCAAAAGCCACCGAATATAAGTGTGTACCGTCGTGTCTACGGTTGCTACCTTACCCCGAGACTGCGTTCGGTCAAAGCACAGAACATCTCGGCTCGCTGAGACTTTTGCTTTTCACTTGGAGGTTTTGGTCTAACGCTTGACACTCGCGTTTCGGGAGGCAGCTGCAACAGTGTCGACAGCAGCAAGTGCAGTTACGCAGTGCTCCAATCTTGGCTTTTGTAGCTCCACTGGTGGCGCTAACCAGATTGATCAATCCAATGCGGAACTTTTTTTATCGAGGACGCCATGTAGTTGAGCCTCCGTGTACTTTACAACTCTCCTTTACTTCTTCAATTTGTATCATAGCATATCTTCCATCAAAGTCGCCCAGAATGTAAGTGCTCTTCGTATGCCTGCTAGCTCCATATTGATAATTGCAGGTTTGCCCTCCGTCGCAGCGCGCTGCGCATCCTTACTTCCTCACCTGCGTCTTTCGCCAACAAGCCCCGGACCTTCACTTCATTATCTTGCCACACCCTCCGCCAGACCAAGCCTGCTTCACAGTTTTTGTTCTACCAGCGAAGATGGGCCACAACCGAAGCCGAGGAGCAGAAGGACGCAGAGGAGGCTCCCATCTCGAAATTGCAGCCAACTTCAGCTGAGGAGGTCGAGAACGCCATTGAATCGGACAATGCGCAAGCTGCAGCTACCGAGGCTTCCAACAGCTCCGGTAACTTCGCAGGTGCGCCCGCCGGCGGTGATGCCCCTGGGCTGTTCAGCATGTCTGGGCAAAGTAGCCGTTTGGATTCCGACCGCAGCGAGCGCTTATCCGTGCCCAAACCTACCGTCTACGTTGGAAACCTTTTCTTCGACGTTACCGAGGACGACGTTTCTCGCGAGCTGGGTCGCTTCGGTCAGATCAAGCACGTGCGCCTGCTGCGCGATTCGCGCGGGCTGAGCAAAGGGCAAGGCTCTCCCTTCCAAAATTTACCGAAATCCATAACTGACATCTTCTCAGGTTCGGCTACGTCGACTTCGAGACCACCGAAGCCGCTACGGCCGCCATCGAAGCTCTGCACCAGCAGATCTACGAAGGTCGCCGCCTCGTCGTACAGTACGCTGCGTACACCACCGAAGAGATGAACAAGCGCCGTCAACAGCGGCAGCCCGATACAGGAAGCCAGGAGCCCAAGAACCCTCCATCCAAGACGTTGTTCATCGGAAACATGTCGTTCGAGATGACGGATCGTGACCTCAACAACCTGTTCCGCGGTATTCGCAACGTGGTCGACGTACGTGTCGCCATCGATCGCCGCACCGGCCAGCCCCGTGGCTTTGCCCACGCCGACTTCATCGACATCAAGAGTGCCATGGAGGCCATGAAGGTGCTCAAGGAGAAGGAAACCTACGGCCGCAGGCTGCGCGTTGACTACAGCTTTGGCAACACTGTGGCGCCGAAGAACCAATCGCCCCCTCCCAGCCAGCAGTAGGCTTGACGCAAAGCTTTGCAAAGGCTTTGACGGGAGGGAGGCTGGTCGGTCGTGGAAAGCGCCGGCGCTGCGCGAGGCGATCGCATGGAGCATGGGGCGGTTCTTCGCATTATCACGCTCGGGGGCAACACGGCAGCTACCTAGGCATTCAGCACATTCGATGATCGGTTATCCGGCGCGAACGCGAACGACTCTTTGTACTTCACATCATACTCAGTATCTATGTGAGCACGACTCGGGACGCGAATGAGAAGCCGGCAGCGGAGGCGAACGTGGACGTGGACGTGGACATGAATTTTGGGCATGGAGACGCCGAAATACATTTCAAAATGGCGGCCAGCAGAAACTGTACAAACCCCTTAATGCGATTGTGTTACTAGATGAAGTGAAGCTGGAAGCAGCGAAGTCCTTTACATCTGGCGGCTCACTAGCTCGGTTGGTCTTTGCTTCACCCGGCCGTATGCGCGTGTGCGAGGCCTGGACATCATGGCGTGATTGTGGGCATTTGGCGGAAGACATGCCAGATGTAAAACTAAATACCGAATCTCAATTCTCAAACTTCTTCGCCTGGAATCGCGCGCTCAATAATGATTCTGAGCTTGTCTGTGAAGCCGATCGATAGAGTCATACACGCGCTAGAACGCAACCTCACTTTTTACTATCCTGTCCTAATCTACCCGACTGTCGGCCAGCCTGCCGGCCTCTCAGGCAAATAACCCACATCAATTGATACCAAACTCATGATCCACCTAGTCATAATCCCTCTCCCTCTCCCTGTCACCTCCCCTACCATCCAACCAGTCCCGCATGCCCCTAAAGCTGAACCCCCTCTTCGGCTTGCTCGGATCCCTCCACGCATCAATGCCCGAATACCCGGCCGACTGCCGGCCCCCATCATCGTCCTGTTGTGGTGGACGATACCCCTTCCCAATGATACCATTACCTCTCAACGCTCCCTGCTGCGGCAATCCCGCGTCATCTTCCCCAATCCCCAAGATCCTCTCCTGCTTACTCAAATGCCTACGCTGCGGCGGCTGCGGGTACGTGGCCTCATACCGCCCTTGGCCAGCCTCGTCGCTCTCAGTCTCGCTGGAGATGTCGGTGCTCGGGCTCTGAATCGGGTAACTGTCGCTGGCACTGCGGCCGTGCGGGTCCGGGCGGAGCGCGGCGCGGTTCTGCGCTTGGGTCGCCCGGTCGTGGTGCTGTGTATGGTGCTTGGGCACGTGGGAGTGATGCTGCTGCAAGTTGTGCTGCAGAGCTTGCGTCGCTAGCTGTGACTGCATTGGGGGCTGAGAGGGTGAAGAGGTCGAAGCCGGCCGTTGACGTCCACCAATCGTTAGGTGCCGCTTGGGCGCGCTTGACACGGGCTGGGCGTATTGCTGGTTATGTTGTTGCGAGGGCAGCAGGCCTCCTGGCTGCATCTGTGTCTGCTGGACTCCTGCGCTGTTGGGAGATCGTACAGGCATGCGACTAGTATGATAAGCGGGCGGCTGGTTTGTCACATCGTAGAGCGGGTCATGAGTTTCGGGCATCTGCATGCGTCGCTGTCCTGGTTGGGACGTTCCGGGTGTATTGGGCTGAATGAAACGATTGGGATCGTATGCGCCCTGGCCCCGCGGCGCAGTGCTGGCGTTTGGCGCTGAAGTATGTCGTTGCGGCATCTGCTGCTGGGCCTGCTGCGAATTCTGAGGGGCTGGGGGCTGATTGAAGCCGGCTGAGGTCTGAGCCTGGCGTATGGCACCGGCTGCAGCCGCTGCACCAGCGGCTTTGGGCCCATCCAAGTCAGAGTCCTCGTCGCTGGAATAAAGCTCCTCCTGCTTCTGGCGCCGGTTTCCGAAGAGGCTAAATCGTCGTCTGGGGGGCTGCTGCTTTCCGGCTGCCATGGGCTCTTCGCCACTGTAGCTCTCGCTATCGCTGACCTCTTGGCCCCAGTTTCCTTGACCTTGGCTAGCTGGGGCTTTATTTGTGTTCCTGTTTCCCTTGCGGCTGCTGAACATGCGGCCTAGCAACGGACCTTTCTTCTCCATGATCGGCGTGTTAGGAAGCTTCTCTCGATCTGACGAACCATCGTACCAGAGCGCAGGAACAAGCAGGCGGTAGGGCGTCGTAATACCCGCAGGATCCTTTTGATTAACCTCAACGTTCAAGACCACGTCAAGGCCTCCTTGTAGATCGATAGTGTCATTGACGTCGATTTCGTTGCCTTCGGCATCGATGGCAGGGACATTACCCTTACGAGCAGCCTTCTCTGAGAAGTTCGTAGGCCGCCGCAGAATGCCAGGACGGGCACGTGGCAGATTACCTGAGGAGTCTGGCTGCCCTCGATCCAGGGAGGCGGCGCGCGGCCGACCATCGGGCGAAGCAGACGATGCGCGACGGGAAGAGAGGCTGAAGCTGCGGCCAAAGAACCCTTTTTTGGTAGTGTCAACGCCATTAAAGGAGGCGGACTGTGGCGGCGCTTCATTCTGAGGATACGCAGAGGGAGGGGCGCGCTTGGTGCTCAGCCTGCGGATGAGGTTGGCTGGTTCTTTGGTGAAGGAGAAGCGACGTTTTGGTGGCTCACAGTCGGGATCAAGGGACAGATCGTCAACTTCATCCTCGTTCGAGTCGATCGAGGGAGTCAAACTCCGAGGCGGCGTTGGTGGTGGGGTTGATCCCGGCACATACTCTTTGATAGAGCACCAGTTGCGGCGAGGTAGTAAATGCACGTTGTTGCGCTTCTTTCGGTCGACGTCATGCGTGAACATGGGAATCATGTCTTCTTCGGTATACTTGTCCATTGTATGGGTTTTGTTGCGCTTATTGATGATATCGGCCATGATGTCTGGAGGAGGCGTATTGACAATAGCTGAAGAGATGACATTCGGCATGTACCGGTGGTCGTGGTCTTTCGGAATCTTGAGCTTTGGGTTCGACCTGAACTGGCCGACCGCAGCAAGATGCACATCGCCACCGAGAATCGTAATTCGAACAGACTTCTCGGCAGCGAGGTCCTGGAGATCTGTGATGAGGTCGTTACGCTCGCTCTTGTGGTGACTAGCGGTCCAATGATCATCAAGGTCATCCAGGATCTCAACGCCGCCGTCAAACTTGTTCAAAAAGCCGGTCTTCATCACGCCCATGCGATTGAGCGCCTTGATGGGATCCATCGCACGGCTAGTAAGCACATTTTCGAGCCATACCAGTCGTGGGTACGCAATAGGTACACCCAGCAAGACAAGCAAATGCTTCGTTTCCCCCTCGACGATCTCTGATCGGCATCGCTCGAGTAGATTATCGAACGTGCGAATACTCAGAATTTCGTCTCTCATCCTCTCTGTTCGGCAATCGATGCCGAGAAAAGCAATTTGTTTACCTAGCTGCATGAATACGCTTCGGCTCAATTGGTTGATGTATGGGCCGTGTTCGTGGCCTAGCACCCAGCTAGGCTCGTGCGCTGCCGTCTCTTCAGGAACACTCTGGTGCTGAAAGAGCATGTAGTACTTGAAAGCGACGTTGCCCAAGCCCGAGAAGACCGGCGTCTTCATGAAGTGGTCCGGATACGAGCCAAAGCCATCAATAATGTCGTGATCGTCCCAGATATTGACCATCGGGATTTGGCTGCTGGCCATGCCGAATAGACCCTGAGAGAACCACATGCAGTATCGGTTGAGGTAGAAGCTTTCGAGCTCTTCCTGCATATCTTTGGTAAAAGGCGCGTTGTGCTTGTGTTGAGGATTGCGAATCTTGAGCCAATCACTAAACAGCCGAGTCTCGGTAGTAACACGGTCATTATAGATCTGGTCACCGCCGCCGATCATGACATGGAATGGGCGTGTCTGATGGACGTTGAGAACATCACGCCAGAGAGGGTCTGGACCGGAGAACTGATCTGGGTTGACCGACAGACTGAAACCATTGCAGCTGTGAAACATGATGTTCATCGATGTTCCTCGGGCAGGTACCCAGAATCCGGAGCTAGCGCCTCGACTGATTCGGTAGGCAATATGTTGGCCAGTTTCGCCGAGCTCGACTTCAATGTTGAAGCGCCAAAACGTGACGTCCCGATCAGGATCAGCGTAGAGGCGAGCGGCTTGAACCTCCTGGTATTTCCCCACCGCCTCGCCGTCTTGATCCAGGTTTCTGTTGTTGCTGGCTGCGGTGGTCTTGCCCGCATGGCCATTTGAGTCAAGGAGACTGGGAGAAGCCTCGAACAGACCTTCGTCATTCTCGAGTTGTGAGAGATCCTTCTCTTCCACCAGGTGATCGACCGGCCGAACATACAACGCTCTGCCTATCCGGGACATCTTCGTGAGGCCAGCTAGAGGGTCGATGTACTCTGATGCCAACTCTTCTCCGACTACTTGCTCGGGCGGTGGGGGCAGCAAGCTCTTTGGCTTACCAAACAACCTCAACGTGGGCGGACTCGAGTAGTCAGAGTGGCTGTCTTGCGTCACAATCATGATACTACCGCGCCAGACTTCGCCAATCGTCTTGCCACCTTCGTCCTTAATGCTCTTCAGACCCAGGTAACGCAATAGAGGGCCGCAGCGGACGAACAGCCTGGGCTTAAACTCGGCGCGAGCATCATCGATTGCATCGCCCTGCCGAACGTTGGTGGCCGCGGCCGCAGCTGCAGCAGCAGATGACCTTCTCCGGCGGCGTGTGGTACTGTTGTGCTCTTCCCACCAAGCCTTCCCCTTCTCCGCTTGCTCGACTTGTGCTCCTGCCGGTTCGTTATATTTAAAGTCAACCATACTCAGCCGTACTGTCTTCGCCTCTTTCCACTCATCGACTGGTCGCTTACTGATCGGCTCCTTGAATGTCACGCTCGACTTGCTTGTTCGCTTGCCCACGCCTTCCCGCAATCTAGAGGACATTGGGCTACTGAATGCAGGCGAGCCAGCTCCCACGCCATTCGGATCTCGTATCCGCGGCGGAGGAGTCAGTGCCTGAGGCACCGACTGTTGGGAAACATCTCTTGCAGACGAGGGCGCGTCAGACTTAACTCGTGACTGGGTTGTAGGTTCATGTTCGGCCACGGTCTCCTGCTTTCGCATCTTTGTTGGGTGGATGTCTAGAGGTGGAGCTTTCTGCAGTTTCCGTGACCCAGTTCTGACTGCAGCAGCGTCAGGTGCAGTACCTGTCAGCTTCGCCAGGGCGGCTTTGTGTGAAGCATTGCGCTCCCATTCAGCCAATCCAGGAGAGCGGTCAGAGACATTTGGCGATATCGTCTCGTCGTCAGCTGCGACTCGGGGATGCCCCCGAGGCTGTCCCTGAGATTGCTGGGTTGATGCCGTACGCGAGTGTCCAGGAGTTCGACCTAAGGATACCCGTCGAGGCTCCGCTGATGCTTGATTCGTTCGAGGATACGAAACGGGCTCTGGTTCGGGTTGAGAAGGCGAATAGTCGAATCCTCGCTTTCCCTCTCCTGACAACATTCTCACGTCGGGCCGATGATTGTCAATTATCGTGCTGTGCTGTAAGCGGTCTCTGTGCGTCTTGCTCAGGTTCCTCACAAGCCCAGCATCCTCGAGGTTCGGCTCCGCAGCGGCGGTTTCTGGTTCTCTTGTACGTGGTGCTCTACTTCCCTTGGGCATCTCAATACCCACGAGAGGCTCATCTCGATCAATGCCAGCTTCTTGCATGGCGCGCCGCGCTTTTTGTTCCCGAAGATTCATCTCCGCCTCTTGGACCCTTGCGCGCTTCTCTTCCTTGCTCATATCGTTCAGCGTCACTTCCAGCTTCTGCAAAGGCGAGCGATCAGGAGCCCAGTCTCGGCTGCCATCTGCTGCCACGCGAGCGCTGGATCTGCTCATAGCAGACAGAGGAACCTGTGACGGCCCTTGCAGCTGTGGTTGTTGACTGCGGGTAGCAGCCGATGCCCGTCGTGGTTGTTGCTCAATCGGCTGGGATCGCGCCGAAGGCATCGTATCGCCGGGTTGCGCTGCTTGTCTCTTCGGCCTAGTGTTCTCTTGACTGGGAATATTGGTGTCCACGCGTAACTTCTCTTTTACCGGACTCGAGGATGGCGGGTTGTCTTGTAGGGGACGATGTGTTTTTGTCGGCATAGACTCGGTGCCTCGCTGGGTTCGCTCTGGGGGCTGTGCAGCAGCGATGGGGGGAGCCTGATGTCGACTTGGTCGCGGAACAGGCGCAGGCTCGGCGACCGGTGAAGGAGACTGGTTTTCAACCTCGAAGGCTTCTTTGGCAAACGGTCTGCCTTTAGCTCGCTGCGAGAAGCTTCTTTGAGGTACTGCTGGATCGACGGGTGCACCGCGATAGGAGATGGGCGGTCCACGAGGGACTTCTGGCGCATGGGGCATGGTGTTGCTATCAAACACCTGTCCGCTGGCACGCCGATTATGTGACGAGCGGCGAGCGGGCTTTGATGTGTCGATGATACCGTCAAGGGCAGGATCGCTGTAGAGGTCGACGGGGTTCATGGTGGTGGCCATGGCGAACACTCAGGCTATAAAAACCTTTGGACTCTTCCTTCGCAAGCAGCACAGAATACTTGAGTTCGTAACGGCGCAGCTGTCCGGCAATCCAGCCAATTCTGTCGACGTCTTCACCAAGCGATGTACATAAGCATGGCTGTGGGATTTCAGTGATTCGAGAGGCGCTATTTGGGCAGCAGTGGTGGGGGAAAAGCGAGCGACAGTGAAGGGTATCGAAGAGGCTAGGAACGCAACTACAATATGTACAGTAGAACGGAAAATGGGACAGAAGCAGGAAATAGAAGAGCTTGACGAGATTGACAGAAAAGCTGGCTACGAACCCATGCAAAGACGGGACATTGACTGAGGTGCAGTTGAGGTGGCTGGTTATTTGCAGCGCAGGTGTTCGTCGCCTTTGCATCATGGCCAGGGTGGAGCCCCCGTGGTGTCGGTGTCGGTGCTGTCTCAGTCGCCCAACCTCCCGCGACGCCTCGGTGCCCCGAAGGCTTGGCTTCCAGGCATTCGCTAGCCCCCTAAAATCAGCCTTGTCGCTGAACTGTCCTACGACGACGAGCCAGCAGGATGACCGGCAAGATAAACACAATCGCAGCGACAGCCACAATACCGGCCTGTGTGCTGAATACTGCTGCAGCGCCGTTATTGGCCAGCCACGCAGGCTGATAGTAGGCCACAGAGCAACCTCCTCCTACCCGCCAGGCGTTTAGAATAGCTGCCACTGCCGTTGAATGGCTTGGATACTTCTCTAACGCATATGCGGATACTGCTCTTCACTGAATATTAGCGACATCTGACAGACAAGTGACGGAGCTTACACAGTCGATGCCACTAAGCCGATATTGACCATAACCCACCCGAAGGCCAGTCCAACCCAGCTTTTCTGAAAGTGCAGCGTTAGTCCATACGTCAGCAGACCCAGGACCGAGGACACCACCGGCAGCCAAACGCCATGAAGACGATACTCGGGCCTCCAGTCAGTCTTCTGAGTCCTGGAACGAGATATCCTTTCGTTGAACAAATATCCCACGGCGTAACCGAGCAGCGCACCGATAACCCCCGCAAACCGCATTGATGCATCTTCAACATTATTGAACAGGTAAGGCGGTGCGTACAAGATGGTCGAGATTGTTGTCGTGATACCAATCGGCCACGTGAAATTGACCAAGCTTGAGAGTCCAACCAGGAGAAGGGGCAGCCTCAGAAATGCCAGGATGAATACGAGCCTCGATGACGCTATCATCGTTGAAGCCTTGTGTACTTCAGTATTTCCGATTCCTAGGAAAGCTTTGGCTCGCCTTATTTGTTGTGTCCCGCTTGACCTGTTGTAGTATGTTTCGCGGCCAAACGCGAGCACCAGCAACGTTGATGCGCCATACAAGCCAGCCAGAACTCGGAAGGCATCTCTCCAGCTATGGGTGATCTTCAGCAGATATCCTGCAAGAGCTGGTCCCAGAAATGGCCCAACCAAGAATGTCGTCCCCCAGATATTGATCATGGCAGGCCAGTCCCGTGGCAGGTATATGTCGTGGATGATTGGCAGACCAATGATCTGGGGCATTGTGCCAAAAAGGCCTTGCATGGCTCTGAAAGCGGTGAAAGTGTCGAAAGTTGGGGCGAGACAGCAGCCGACCACCATTGCCAGGGTCAAGATCTGCGGCCAAAACCACAGTGGAAGCCTTTGCAGTCAGCATTAGTGGTTACCACGAAAGATACGACGAACCTCCCAAATGCGTCCATCAACGGCACTGCAAGGACACCGCCCACGCCTTGGAGCAGAATGCCATAGTTCAGACTGGTCGCGACACGCTGTGGTGTAAGATGCCACTCAATTGACTGCGGAATCACCAATGTAGCGCCCCAAGTCATCCCACTGCAGCGTGTTAGCTATGCCCATGACAGAACGAACATCACTGACCCGTCGCAGAGTATCGAGCTGGACAACAATGCACAGAACAGAAATCGCTTTTTCCAGGGTGACCAATTCTGGGGGTTCAGGTTGTTTGTCGGATCCGGAGCAGTGGGCCCGTGAACTTCGTCCTCCATCTGTAAAGCAGTCATGGACATGTCGTGCGAAGCCATCTTATTGCTATGCATGCCTGCTGAGGAGTGCCTGGCTGCTGGCGTATAGTACAAGCTCTGATTCTTCCACGGTGAGCTACCGGTCAAGTTGTCTGCTGCTTCTACCTCGCTAGAATCCATGATCGCTACTATTCCACCCTTTTATAGGGCTACTAGGTTCGACATTACCCTGTGGAGTGTACGATCCCAAGCTCCGACGGTATGGAAGAGCTCAATCACCTTTGGGAACGGTCTCGCACCTGTCTGTCGGTGGCGTCGGATCCAGACCACGTGGCGATGACTCCTTTTCCTGCGATCCACAAGCTAGGCTGTATGAAGCCTCCCCCAGAACTGTCAAGTACTGTCAGAGGGGGTGAGCTGAGTGTTCCGAATGCCTTCCTTGGTGCCCGACGCCACGTGGTTGCCGTGAACAGATGGTGCCAAAGGATCAATAGCTCAGGTCCAGTGCAGACTCAGCAGATAAGGTCCACCGTCAAGGTCAGACAATGCGACTTCTTTTCTCGGAAGAATGGGTGGGCTGCGGAAGCAACCTGCAGGGATACTCATCTATTGGTGAACTCTTGTTTGTCCAAGAGTGGTCAGCATGCACTTAGTGATGGACATGCCACGCACGAAAAGCCACGACATGTTCTTCGACATACATTCATAATGATGGGCACGTGGGCAAGCACTGCCAGTGTCGAACGCGATGGGAAATGAGTGCCTCGTGTCCGCTGAAAGGAAGGAGCGCGTCGCCCCTTCTCCGGACGTTGTCTTCCTCGCAAATCGGAACCAGATGCACACCAGAGTCGCGAGGGCCGCTCCGGAGCAAACGCGCCCTTTGTCAAACGCAAACAACACCTGTTTCTACTACCCGTGCCGAAAGCGACGACGCCGAGCCTTCCACCGGACTCGGCAACCGAACTGACAGAGGAGGAGGCAGGAAGCGTCGTACAGAGGTCCCTTCTCATCATGCCTGTGGCACCTGCCCAGGGCATACAACAGTCAAAAGCGAGTGCCATGGCATCCAAGCCGCTTGATAGAACATGACTGTTCATCCAGCCCTAGCAGTCATCCCTGTCTCGTGAGAAGAATCTCGAACACCATGGTGCACTTCTTAGCAGCCACCTCTTCGACTGTTTCCAGCATTAGCCTGTGCACACCTCATCTGTCAAGAGCACGTGTATGTCTGGAACGGGCTCCTCGCATACATTGTGCGGTGTACTGCTGTCAATGAATACAACAGGGGCAAGAATTGCAAAGGACAAAATGGAGATATCTCGGAGCGAAAGCTGCTGAGCAAACGGTTTTCAGGCCGAGCTAACTGCGCTAGCTGCGTTCTGCCACCATGTAGGAAAGAGGTCACGGGAAATTGTGTGTTCTGGACTAGTGATCTGTTGTCAATTCTTTGCTATGTACTTTACCACACTCGCGTCTACAGTCATGGCGGTGGCGTCGGAGCGCTCGTCGGAAATGGTGGCAGTTCTGTGATCACTGGCTCTGCACTCGACTGACACACGCACCCACCACCACTGCCCCAAGCGGATATGCTGGTCACCGGAGGCTCTGTGCAAAATGGACTCGGCGTCCACAAGCCCGAGCTGATCGTGCTCGTGACACTGTCAGGTGAGATGGTTTCTGCCTTGATGAGAGCTGGGATGATCTGGCCAGTGCCTAACCTGAAGTCTCTGTGGCCTATCACACGCAGAATGGAGGCAATCTCTCCTGAGTGGCTTGTAAAGGATAGGTAAGTGTTGTCATCGCTCGAGAAGATGTCATCAAGCATCGTCTTGGAGCGGAAATCCTGCGCACTAGGCACCTCGGTCGTTGAGGCCGTCCAGAGCTCGTCTTGTTCAGTGAAGCCGGCTTCGAAAAGGAAGTCTGGGTAGTTCTCCTCAATCCAGCTGCGAGTCGAGCGACGATTGCAAGTATGTTCGCTCATGCCTAACACAATCAGCACCGGCAAGCAGGAAGGTGTCAGGCAAGATACGGACCTTCACGAAGGCCCTCCTTGATCGTGGGAATGAAAGGATGTTCTTTCGGCAGATCCAGTCCCGTATAGGTGAACTGAGCGGTTTCCAAACACCTGCGCATGGGAGAGCTGTAGTAGCTCTGAATGAAGGGGATCTTCTGCTCTGCAATCCGACTCGCCCAATACGCACTCGCCTTCTCGGCCTGTGAGATGCCTTCTTCGGTCACAGAGGCATCGGCGTAGATGAAACTACTGTTGGCACCATTCAACAGAGCCCAATAACAGTTCCAAGCAGGAGTTCCGACGTAAGATTCCATAGCATTGTGGTTGCCTTCGCCGTGGCGGCCCATGAAAACGAGCTTGTACTGCACATTATTCGGTGCCCTGTCTTGCAGATCGGCGAGTTTGACAGCAAACCGCTCCCATTGGGTCAACGAGGCATTGAAATCGGTGTCGTACGTTTGGTTGATCAAGCCGAAGTTCACAAGGGCGTAATCAAAGCCGTCGGGCTGGGTGGCGTTATCATCCTGGACGAAGTAGCCTCCAACAGCAGAATATTTGATGTACGAGTCGCTTGTGGGCGATGAGATAGCGCCTGAAGTAGTACTGCTTTCACTGCTACCTTCGGTGACAACCGTGGCTTTGCTTCCGGGGAAATCGACCCAACCGTTTCCCACCTTGATCGGGATACCTGTGCTGGAAACGAAGGAAATTGGCGACGTTGATCGACTGTCCCACTCCGTCTGTGTCATGGGGACAATCACCACAGCATCTTTGCCACCTGAAGCACCTGAAGCGCAGGGGCTTGCGATGGCACCGCCTACCAGCAAGGCGAAAATGGAGGCTGTAACGATCATGATGAAAAGAACGACAACCTACCGTCCCTGACTCACCGTGGTCAGAGGAGGAACTTACCCTTTATGCACTCAAGATACTGAGATCCCATCTCAACGAGTGCAGGCAGTTATGGCGTCCTATTGGCGCATGCGCAGATCGTTCTGATGTGTTCATCTCGCGGAGCGTGGCCAGGGACAGGAAGGCCGGCCTTTCAGCCAACGAGACCAGGCACGTGCACGGCACAAGCGAGGTTGCCTTGCCCGGCCTTAGGTCTGCATTGGGTTTCTGCAACTGACCAATGCGCCGAATATAATGCTAACAGCCGTAAGCCCATGCCACGAGGCGTCGCCAGCCCAAGTGGCGCCTTAGTCAACGTCAGCGGGGGGGCCTTGGCCGGTTCATGCCAAGCCACGGTTTCCGCAGCGTTGCAGCCAAGTCGTCCACTAACGACGATGTGGAAGGTCGTTCTTCATCAGCATCACAGCCAAGGCGCGGGCTATTCTTCGACCCTGTCATCACCGAGATCTTTAAGTGTATGTCGCCTAAGCCTGGAGAAAGCTCCATCTTCGCCAGGCAAACGTAGCTTTGGTCCCTCATTATCAGTGGGCCACTATCGTCCTGGAGCTCGTTATCGCCTTGGCAGATGCGACTATGCATGCCGTCCAACAGCTCTCTCAAAGCTTGAGGCCGTGAGAAGGCCGGTAGGTGCTAATAAATATGACGGCGAGTACCGATATAACACCCTCGTTGCTCTCTGTCGCGTGCTTTACCTTGACGCTGAGCCCCTTCACCCAGCCCTTACTCCCTCCCATCGCTCAAGATGCGTCCCTCCACTCTGTTGTCTACCGCCACATTGGCCGCCGTGACCGCTGCACAGTCGCTCACTAACGACACCTACCTGGGCTACCCCGTCCTCGACGTCTCCGCCTCATCACCTCTCGACCTCGCCTCCATTCCCGCCAACACCATCTCCCGCTACTGGCTCCGTCCAGGCATCAGCCAGGGCAACATTCCGTACTTCCTGCCCGTCATCATTGCCCGTGGCACCAGCGACAGCCTTGATACAGGCCGGAAGCTATCCCTCAGTGCTTCCATCCATGGCGACGAGCTGAACGGTGTGCCAGTCGTGCAGCGCGTCTTTCAGACCCTTGTTGCTAGCGAGGTGGTGGCAAATGGCGAGTTCAATGGCACCATAATCGGCGTCCCCCAGCTCAACCCTCAGGGCAACTTCATGAATGCTCGCAATTTCTACACGCCCGGTAGCAGCGGCTTTCTTACGAACCTGAACCGCATCATGCCCGGCGAGGCAGAGCCCGAGGAAGCCAGCCTGACAGACGCGTATGCCGGCCAGATCTGGTACGGCCTATGGGGCAACACCAGCAATGTCGATGTTGCGGTCGATTTCCACTGCCTGGCCACTGGTGCAGACGGACCACTGTGGGCATACGCCGACTTTGACTTTCCCTATGTGCAGCGCCTGGCTGAGTTGGCCATGCCAGATGTTATCAAGATCGATCCCGGTGAGCCGGGCTCGGTAGAGACCACGTGGGTCGATTATGGTGTGCCGGCGATCACTCTAGAAATCGGACCTGCGAAGCAGTGGAATGGAGACCTGATTGACAGGGCTGAGGAGTTCGTGTATCGGTTGCTGGAGGACCTGGGCATGATGTCAGCGGAATCGCTGGTGGAAGGCGATTTCGATTCTGAGGCCAGCTACAAGGGCACGAACTTCTCTAGTGTCTACGTAACGCAGTCAGGGTGGGTGAATGTCACGGTTGGCGTTCTGGACGATGTCGAGGAGGGACAGGAGGTGGGAACCTTGTACAATTGGTTTGGCGATGTTGTGGAGACGCTAACGGCGAGTGTGAGCGGAAGAGTGCTGCAGGTCCAGACCGATCCGGCGGTGGACGCAGGGAGAGGGGTGGTCGATATCGTCTATAACGCAACGGCCAGTGGAGAGGAGAGCAATAGCAGGAAGATGAAGGTGAGGCGAGGTATTGGTGGCCGGGGCAGGGCGTTCTGAGCTACAGACCCTGAATGCGATCAGCAAATGGTATGTAACGAGCCATGGTGGGCCAATGCATGCCGTCCTCTACATTCCCAGGGTATGCGTATGCCGTGGTTCCAATCGCTTGAGGCCGCGTACAGTCAGGCTGCAACTTTCTCATCGGCCTGCTTAGCCTCGGAACCTTCTAACCACCACCTTCTCGCCTCGTTGTATCTAGAGTACTTTTTCATCCACCCCACCCTGCTGAGTCTCTGATCATCAACGCTCCTGGTCTCTCCACCGCCTCAGCAGCTCACCCAAAGAACGACAACTCCCACGCTCCAAGAATGGCCGGCGTACCCGTCGAAGCCTTCCGCAAGCTCATGGTCTCCGGAGCGCATTCAGACTTTGCGATTCGATCCCGAGGCGTCGAGTTCAAAGTCCACAAGATCATTCTCATTACGGCAAGCGACTACTTCAAGGCTGTCTGCGAGCGAGGTTTCAAGGTGGTAGCAAGCCCTAATTTTGCATCGATGAAGGTATTGACAAGCCCTGCAGGAGGAAACGGACGGTGCGGTAACGCTCGACGATGACGATCCAGAGATCCTCGCCCGGGTCATCGAGTTCCTCTACACCGGCGACTACTCAGCACAGCGACCCAAGGATTTCGAGCCGCTACTCAAGCGACATATCAAGGATTCACCAGTGCTCATCGAGGCGCCTTCCGTATGGTTCACACCGCTCAAGTCTGCGCCGCTCGGCAGCCAACCATCACCTGCCCACCCTGCCGGTACGCCCACAGCGCCCAGCACTGGTAGTAGGGCTCCCGACAACCGCAGTTTCTCCTTTTCGTCTACAGCTACTCCCAGTGGGGGTAGACCCTTCTCGACTTCGGCCTACAACTTCGACACGATCCCATCAAGCAAGCTAGCTCAAGTATCCGCTGCACTAACAGTCCACACCACTGTATATGCATACGCCGACCGCTTCGACGTCGCCAACCTGCGAGACCTGGCCTGCCAGCGGTTCGAAAAGGACTTTTGCGAGGCCAGACCCGCCAGGGCGCGGCTTGCCGAGATCTTCAACCTGGTCTACGAGTCCACCCGCCCAAACGACCTGCGGCTGCGGCTCTTTGTCACCAAGGAGGCTATCCTGGGCCGTGAAACCACCTCGCGTGACAAGACCTTCTGCGATGTCATGCGCAAGCACGAGCCAATCGCGTGGGCTCTGGGCATAGAAACGGCGGCTCAGCCAGCCAACGTCTACCGATTTTAGATCGAGACAAAGGAGGATTATAACTTGAGGAAACATTGCAGCACATGACTTCATGATGAGAAGGCTATCCTGGACCTACAGAATCTCACTCTTCGTTCTAAAACTTGTCCAGTGTACCACAAGTATCTTTCGTACATGGCCGTGGCATCCCTCGCCCATAGTCTGCTTCCTTCCCTGCTCCGGTTTGGCTCGTTTTCTCGTAGGCCGTTCAGAGCCCAGAAAAAGGGCATACGTACGTCGCATTCCGCGGTCCTCCCTGGTCGAGTCACATCTGAAGGTTGACCGGCGTAAGCAACACTTGACGAGTCTCCAAAGCACAAAAGGAAGCAACATCTGCTTGCAATATGCGGACTGGTACGCTTGAAATTTGCTGCCTAGGACCAGAGCATCAAAGCCTGGGCTCTATCATCATGCAACAGGCGGAGAAGCCTAGGGGCGGTTGGCGTCAGATGACCAGTGCGCAATTGGGACGGTGACTACGCAACAAAATTGCGTTGCATCGTACGGTCTATTCGTCGTTCCTTGCGACAAGGACTAAAACTAAACTCACCGATATTTCAAAGCGAAGCTGGATCATAAGCGAGGTGCTACCAGCGGCTCTGTTATGGGGAATCGATTGCACCACATCCCGTATGAGAGAAATCTGAACATTGTCGCCAACGTGGTTTGAGTATGTTTTGAGTGTTGCTTTGAAAGAGTCTTCATCCCGCCTCGGCAACTTCGTTTGCGGTCGGGAATAGTGCGCATCGGTGACAAGGGCGAGAATATCAAGAATCAGAGACCATGTTCTCGGCCAAGTCCTAACGAAAGGTTAGTTCTTGGGGGGCAACGTACCTGGAATAAGTCATCGAACCGCGCTCGTCGGTCGTCGCGAGGCTGGCGCTGGGCAGCTTGATTCATGTGATGCTGCGGACGAAGAGACAGGGCGCAACGAGGAAAAAGCGATAACCGAAGAGCTGGGTTCGAAAGCAGCTGCGGCGCCGATATTGTAACAAAGGTGAAGTCGCAGTGCAAATCCTACTGGCGAACGCGATGGCGTATACTGGGGTGTTGCACGTCTGATTGAATGTTATGCGTATGCGAGAGGCGAAAGGCGAAGAATTAGAGCCGTGCGCGAACGACTGTGCGCGATCGCAGTTGACTATCGAGTTGACGAATATGAGAGATGAAACGCTCGGCCGCGGATTTCCTGCTGAGTGATACCGATAGGAAAGTCTCCCAGCCGAAAATCGTATGGTTGTGATACAGGAAGAGCGTCATGATCGCCCATGGCTCGCAAGCCTCTCTGATGAGGCCAGCGAAAATGCGGAAGAGATCATCCTGCTGCAGTCGATTTCATCCGAGCAAGTGCCAGCCGAACAGAAACCAATTTTTCGATACCCTTTAACCCGAACCCGTGCCGTAAGGATGTTGCAAATACATGAAAGGAAAAGTCGAACTCTCGTGGTACTGCTCGAGGTCGACAAGTCCGCCCTCGCGCGTCTAACGGGAACCGTAGCCGCGGTCCTCACGAGGATAGTCCCTGCCGCCGCCGCCGTAGGCATCGTCGCGGGGAGGAGCATCACGAGGGGCATCGCGAGGGGCACCACCACCGTAGCCGCGATCCTCACGATCGTAGCCGCCACCATAGCCGCCACCGCCACGACGGTCACCACGAGGAGCGTAGTCACGAGGAGGACCACCGTAGCCACCGTCTCGGCCGCCATCTCGGCCGCCGCCGTAGTAATCATCGCCGCCGCGTCTGCCACCTTCGTAGCGATCGATGCCGCCACGACCGTAGCCATCATCTCTATCGCGTCTGTAACCGCCACCCCCATAGCCACGTCGATCATCATCGTATGAGCGAGGAGGGCCGCGATCGTCGCGACGGCCATAACCGCCGCCGTATCCTCCGCGACGATCATCGAAGCGATCACGATAACCGCCACGGGGAGGACCACGATGGTCACCTAGATATGTTAGTGTGGATCTTCGCTAGGGAACAGCAACTTACCACGCTTGGGTGGCCCGAAGTACTTGCCAGGCGTAGGGGTGCGAGGTCGGGCACGACGGGCTTTCTCGATGCTCAGGGTGCGACCATCATGGGTTTCGCCTTGCAGAGCTTCTTTGGCAGCATCAGCTTGATCGGATGTGAGCATCTTGACGAAACCGAAGCCTCGGGATTCCTTTGTGTGAGGATCAACCATGATGGAGCAGTTCTCGACTTCGCCATATCTCTCAAAGAGCTGAGACAGGGCGGCCTCAGTCAGGCTGGGGGCGATGCCGGTGACGAAGAGATTCGAACCAGTGTTGGTAGCACCCTCTTCATCCTCCTGTTGAAGTTCTTGCATGCGGATGTCCTTGGGAGGTGGAGGGCTAAGAATATGAGCAATTGTCACAGGCTGGAAAGATGCTATGCTTACGGTCTGTCATGGCCGTTGGGCGAGCGGCTGCGCGCTGGCTCGTCGCGACCGCCTCTGGGCGAGGCGGATCGATCACGACGTTCATATGAGCGCTCGTCTGCGAAGTTAGCGATATACTCCCCCGAGCGTGCGTTGATTGAATCTCACCATCGTAGCGAGCCGCAGGCTCCTCAGCGTAGTCGGCCATTTTGTGATGACAGAGGACAATTCGTTCCGATCAGGTCAACGAGTGCACTTTCGAGACTCGATTAGAGTGTCTTGACCTAAGATAAGTGCAGAAGGCTGATCGACAGAAACAGTATTGATGGAAAGGAGGATGCAAGATGGTGGATGTTGGCAACTTGGGTGAAGCGACTGTCGCCAAAGGGCAACAGCAAATTTCAGACCCGCCTCCGGAATGCTTGGCAAGGCTGTCGCGCCGCGTAGAGATAAGGCTGAAATTATGGCCGAGGAGGATTACCATCAAAGTCGACTGTAAGTAGATCTCATCAAACTCACTATCCTGCTTGGTTATTTGTACATAAGGTAGTCTCAAAGCATGTCTGGTGCATCATTCACAGCTGGACATTGACACAGTTCCGTGGTACCCAAGTCAATCTCGTCAGCCTCCACCTAGATCCGTAAAGAAGTCACTGAACCGCCACCCAATGTTACCCGGTCTGCATCACTGTAGCCATTTGAAGTTCCATTCACTCGTGGCGAATCGTGTGCACGACTTGATGTTGTGCTTTTAGGGCCCTCACTCGGCACTGCTGGCGCATTCCTCGAACTGACTGAGAACTTTGAGCTCGATTTCGGGTCGTCCACAACCACGACCATCCATACTCCGATGTTCCCATTCGAACCTACGAGAGGGGTGCAGTGGATCCATTTGTTTCGTCCCTCCTCGTCCAGCTTCGTGATCCACCTGACCTTAGCAGTGACTCCGCGGCCTTCGGCTAGCGCTCCTGTGAGTTCATCGCGTACTCGATTAGAGCCTCCGATCTTGCTCATAAAAGGAGACTGAAGGACTCCAGGGACACGTTGGGACGGACTGGCGAACAATATTCGCAAGGATGGGTAGGGTCGCACGAGCAGGTACTATAGAGGTCAGTCGATGCTGAGCAGGTTGTCAGATAAACTCACATGTTGGTAGACTCCGCTCAATCTGCCGTTGGCTGACCCGCTAATTGGCGGTGTCAATGTGTTGGGGTCTTTGATCAGCAGGCGAGGTTGGTGTGAATGCACGCTCTCGTCGTCATCGTCTCTCACTTCTCGATGCATTCGTCCACCATATTTGCGAATAGTCGAGAGTTCGTTCTGATTCAGCATTTCGCTCAGCTCCCGTAGTTCGTCGTTCTTCTCAGGATTGGGAGTCTGGTGCTCTGGTGGCTTCTCCCCTCTGGCTTGAAGTTCAAGCAGTCGTTGAAAAGACTCCAGCTCCACGCACTCCTTGACAAGTCCTGATACGTCAACTTGCGCGCCGATATGGTACCTGACGACACCCCGACTATCGCAGAGAGGCGCAACCATGAGAAGATTCATAAAAGGGGAGCCGTCTCGTCGACTGCGCGAGGTCAGCAGGAGCTTCGTCGAGAGAAGACATACGTACTAATTGAGAAAAACCTCTTGGCACTGTTTCCCTGAGCTAATCGCCTCTCTCAGCCGCCGGACGCTGTGTGGATTTGTAACGGGTCCCTGCAGGAAACGACAGTTTCGTCCAAGTATATAGCCCATGCCATATTGCGTTGTGCGATTGAACTCTGCCAGATAAGTTAGCCTTGACCCCTCCTTGCGCGTAAGGCCGCACCTTCTGAAGCGAAGACAATCGGATTGTCTGGCCGTGACGGGTCGGTCAAACAGAAGACCTCAGCTAAACCCTCGGAGGCTTCTCGTAGTTGTGCCGACAGCGATCCAGTTATTCTTGCGGATATGCTTGCGCTGACCACCTGAATGTATTGATGGCATATGAAAGCCGGCAACTCTTCTCTGGCTAAGAGATCGAACGCGGCATTTGCTCTTGCTTCCAGAGCAGGGTTGATGGTCTTGTTCAAAGGTTGCTGAGTAAAGCCGAGTCCATCCACTGGGTCCAGACCTTCGCAGATGGCATTTGCATAGTGGATCGCTCGTATGGACTTGAGAGAATCGAGATAGTGGACAAGTAGCGGGACAGACTGCGGTCTGTGCACACCCAGGAAAGTGGTAAATCGAAGAAGAAAGGTGGGATCGGCAAAGATCACTTGCAAATGATCTTTAGAGAAGAGCGATTGAGATGATCTCTCTAGAGAGTACTCCTTGGTGAAGTTCTCGGTGGGTTTGAGAAGATCGAACGACCGCGGATTGTCTGCTTCTTCCAGCTCGTAGTAACCATTTGCGCCAGCGTCTGCTTGGAGGGCTGGAAGCTCGTGCGGTTCGTGGTCTACACCGTTGGCTTGGGGCTTGGACATGCTGTCGCCAACAGAGTAGCGGGCGGATCGTGCGGCGGAAGAAGGAGAAGAGAGCGCGCTTTGCGATGCGGACGGGGCTTGGTCGCCTTCTGGCAGAATCACGGTGCGAGAACGCGCGCGTGGCTCAACCTTGGCCTGGAGAAGAATTGGCGAGCTAGCGGCACTATCGCCTGCACTTTCGTCCAGGCGAGGCATCGGAGAATTTGAGAACAAATGGGTCGATCTGCAGAGTTCAATGAAATGTCGATAGGCAGCGTGCAGCACGAATTTTGGAGGATCGATGTATTCGCGCCTAGCTACTACGTCAAGATCAGCACCTCCAAGAGGAAGAGAGGTGTCGGAGAAGCGAAGAGCCCACTTAAAGGCCGAGACGTTTGGCTAATTGGCGATGGCTTGAGAGATGCATGCAGGAGCCGGGGGTCGATGCCAGCAGGGGTGGCCGACCGGGAGCTTATGAATATTTTGCCATACAGTACGATGCCAACCTGATCACCATACAATCACGACAAATGCTGTTCATCGATTTATCTTTGGCCCTTAAGAGAAATGAGGGTGCGCGGAAAGCCTTGAACCGAAGTTGCGCCCGAAGTGGCCGTGGGATAGATCAGCAATCCGGTAGGCTTCAATTGCTGGGTGTGGGGACTCGGGGGATCTGGAGTACCGCGTAGCTGGGTTGAGGTCAACCCGAAATGGTCTGGATCAGCATGATGCGAGTTGGTCGGAGCTATGTGATGACGATATCTACAAAGAAACGAGCTCCAACAATCTCCGTTCAACCAGCTGTCACGCACTCTGCGATGTGTGGAGCAATTGTATACTATTACTAGCTTTTGATTACAACGTTGATGGGTATCTCGATCAATTATTCTCACCATCCTCACGCCTCGTCGCGTTCATAAATCATTATCTCGTCAAACCAAATTTCCTCTTGTCGAGCACATTGAGCATATCATCCCACGTGCGGGTATTAAAATGAACAGTATCAAGTCCGTCGTCCCTTAGATCAATCACCCGAGTCTCGATGGTGGCTTGAGCTTTTTCGCATAAAAGGTCCAGCTCGGATGTGCTCTCTGAACCCGGCAACGGACTGGCATCAGGTGTGCTGGCTTCTGTGCCATTCATGCTGGTTGTCTTGGACCAAGTAGAATTATTCGAAGCGTTGGACGATTCTCGAGACACCGAAGGGTTTCCGGGCAGCTGTGGTACCGATGGGGTTGTGTCGCCATCGATCATTGGTAATTCTGTCATCGAGACTTCCGTCTGCAGCTTGACATGATTCAAGCCATTCCCGTATCCCGGCACATAGATCTCGCAGAATGCCGCACGTTTGTTCGGAATTTTAAGGTTTGGCAATGCTGGCACGGCTGGCACAGCTTCATCAACCCCGGTCTTTTTCACAGACATGAGGCGCCGTAAGGAAGAAGATCGTCGTTTGAGCGACTTGCTGGAAGCTGATCGCTCAGGGAAATCACCGTGTATCGTCTGCCGCCGCTCCTTAATGGTACTGACACTTGACGTACTTCGCTTGACAGCTCCAGGCGTGGACGCGATAGACGTCTTGGACAAGGTACGCGTGATGCCACCCGGACTTGGCGGAGCGGTATTAGTATGTGAATGCAGTGTATCTGGCTCCAGTGTAGTGTCATCACAGGCCTTGACTTGAGAACTCTTCCTGCCACGATCTCCTTCCCACGGCATCAGCGCAGGCGCTTCGCAGCAAAGCGAGTAGCTTAAGCCTTCGGCGTTGCGGACCTGCTTTGGGGCTTGTGTGATGGAGATTAGAATATGGTAGATCGCGTACACCACAATCCACCTGACTTTGCGACCATCGGCAAGTGAAATTGTGTCGAGCTCATCGACCGCCGCCTCAATCTCGAATTCGGAGTATCGGCGGACGAGCACATTATTCATTAGAGTCCAATCTCGGTTTGTTGAATCGATGAGGGCTTGCATGTGCTGAGCATTCCGTCGCTCCTTATCCTCTCGATGACGAGCGATAGGATTCCACGAATTTCGCCGCTGCCTGCGCTCGAGCGTACCAATGTTGACGGTCGCCACTGAAGGCATCTTTGGCAGTGGTTGTGGTAGTGGTGTAAGGTGATGGCGTGTGTCAAACGACTTGACGTTCTGTAGGACACAGACTCCACCTGTCGTACTCAGGTCTGCATCCATGTTTGACGCCGAGCTTGTTGGGTCGACAAGGTGCATGTAGAGATTGCGGAAGTCGACATACATTCCATTGCAGACCAAGCGTTGCACGGCTTCGTCTTCGAATTTATTGGGAGGCCAGAAGCCGTGTTGCTCAATGTAGTAGGCGTGTAGGAAGGAGCGAAAGCGGTCAAGATGATCGCGAGCAACCTGGGGCAGGCCGAGGAAGGCGCTTGAGAGCTCGTCCTCGAAGAAGTTGGCAACAGTTTTAGAGACTTTCTGCAACTTGACGTCTAGACCCAGACGTGCCTGGTTGATCAAGATCTTGGACTCGGCACTGACATGCTGGTTCGAGATTAACAGACAAATCACAGCCTGAGGGGGTGCGCATCTTACCGGATATTCAACGCTGTCGCGAAGGCCGCAACGGTCCATGCCAACGCAGTGTGCAAATGCATCAATCCAAAGATCCTCTACTTGGAGGACTTCGGCGAGGCGTAGTGCAGCCAGGGCATGGTCGACACACTCCCGGAAATCAAGATACTTTTGCTTTTCTGTAAAGGAAAGCACTCCGACGCTATTCCTCTCGTCCTCTGCTGGTCGATACAGGTCGATACGGGCTTTCAGATCCACTAATGACTTGCCGAGCGCTCGGCCTGCGAGTGGAAGAGCATAAAGCCAAGCGAAGAAGTTTCTGGTCGTCGTATGGTGATCCAGAGTAGATTCGAGTCCGGAACGAGGAGGCGCGGGGATGTACAGCTCGTAGGACAGGCCATGGTCACGACAACCTGGGCAGTTGCTGATGAGGCACTGTGTACTTAGATGCAGCTTTGTCTGTGGTACACATCTCTTTAAGAGCGAGTGGAAGCCTTTCTCACGTAGGCGAACGGTGTGGACTTTGAAAGCTGGGCCGCGGCTAGATGCCCCAGGCTCTCGCAAATAGACGAACGTATCGCCATCTGGCCAGTACAGCTCCGGTTCCTGAAACGCGGTCAGTAGCTGCCGAACATCGGTAGACAAAGCACCATACAAAGAATACGTTGACCCAATCTGTGGTGATTCGGTTCTGGCCATCCCATCGCCGAAAACCAGCTTCTCTGATATCTTCCTTGGTGATGCGCCCTTGTAGTCGGCCCATATTACAACTATGCTGCCGGCTTCCTGTTGGTTAGGAGACAACACCAAGCAGAGTCATAGGTGCCAGCAGCCTTGTAAGCGGTATATCAGTGGTTTACCGGAGGCGTGGGTCCGATGAATGGCGGCAAGGGTGTAGGTCGGTTTTGGGAAGCAAGGGTTTCTGAGCGCAGGATAAGCAGGCTTTTGACATCTTGAACGAGGTACCGGCGGAGAAGCGGTGGCTTGCGTTGAGGTGACGGAGGGAGGGTCAACAGTGGAGCTTGGAAAGCTGGAGCTTGCGTGGAGCATCGCTAATCGAACAGGGGTCGTTGCCTAGAAGTTGCAACTTGGCTCTTGGGGCGCCCGAAGCGCCCTAGCCTGGCCCGAAGCGGCTTCAGAAAGCAGAAATGGATCGTCCTGGCAGCAGGTGAATCCCCGGCCTCGCCAGCTGGGTATTGATTATTGGATCGGGCCCTAGAAGATCTGCTACCCGCCCGCATGATACGGGCTGTCAATGCCAAAGCTCCGGGCAACATCGTTCCCCTGCGGAGGCTCGCTCGTGCTGGCAAGACGGGAAGGAGATCCTGAAAAGTCCTTGGTCAATGAGAGGATCGACATGGCAACACGAGAATCCTTTGACTACAGAGCTACACCGATTACATTGGCAATCTTGTCCGCCGTGATCTAGTCGCGGCGCCACGTCGTGCTGTTTGCCGCTCAGCTCAGCAGTGATTCATGATGATTGCTCATTGTTCGACTGCACGGAGATCCGGTCCTGGTCAACTGGTAGAATGTTTACCTCACCATTACACCGACTAGTGAGGTCTATCTGGACGCGTTGTCCTCCGTGGCGAGAAGGGCCCAGGCCTGAGAGCATGTTCCAGAGGTCAAGGCGGCGTGTCTTAGGCCGACCTTGCAGAATGGTGTGGACATAACTTCACATGGAGCTCATCTATAGGTTCGGCATTGGGAGTGGGAAGCTCGATATTCCGTACTTTATGCAAGGTGCCAGGTAGAAAGCCTCCTTGTAACGAGCGCGTATTGGCGCACTTTCATGTCGGGCCTTAGGTCCCTGAGGTTGCCGATGCTTTCATGTGAAAGCCGCGGGGAACCACAACAACGTTGGGGATGGTTCCTCCACTCAACGTGATTCCAGTCGTTATCGCAGATTATCTTTTCGGCAATTGAAGGGCGGTCAGCAATGCAACACTTCTTCATGCAAGGTTAAAGAGGTGGCTGGAGAACCACAACGCCTAGGCTGTCAGTGTCAAGGGTTCCGATGTACTCCGTGCCTATCGCATCGATTAGTGGTCAGAATCTTTTGAAAGAAATGAGCTCTTTGAACAGCACTTGATGCTCGACGTACGGTAGATTCCGAGCCCTCGCTCGCTTCCGAGAGTCAAGCACTTAGCCTACGAAATATGGAGACGATGCACAGCCGATTCCCCGAGACCATCTCGATGCACTTTGGCGAGTTGCTATGGAACCCCGATCCGACGACGTCATCATCGCCCTCACCAATAACTCACTGCTGCGTGGTCTTCGTGCCTTGCACGACGCGACGCGTCTTCAAAACGACAATATTGCAACGTCTTCCCGAACCTCGCCTTTCCTCCGCAGATAAGTTTATGCAGTATCATTTGAACAACTTGTGCGACCACCGGGATCGTATTGTGCGTCATGGATGTCGAAGCACAGCGGCTATCCAACCTCGAGTACAAGCAGAAACTCCTAGATGAGTTACAACTCCAACGCGAGCCTTTGCCCAGTAAAGCCGCAAAGAAAGACACTAGGACCTCGTATGTATCGAAGAAGCGGAAGCTAGCCGTCGACTCGAAAGCAACGCGATCCTCCGCACGCCTCTCGTCCAATCCTCGACCCTCATACAAGGAAGATGATGTTCCAAGATACATTGTCGGACAGTCTACCAGCGAACCCATATCTCGATCTCAGCTGCACCGTTCTCCGTCTCCACCGGCTGCCCTTGTGCCTGTTAAGGACGTTGACACTATCCGCGCAGGTTGGGTCGCGTGGACTCCAACTGCTCCTCTCCCAACTCGCTCGGACTCCACCAATGCCTTCCATTTCGAAGATCATCCCACCTTCACGCCGAACAAATCTCCTGCCGAAGTCCTTCGTGAGGGCTGTTTCGGTGGATCTTACTGGCGACCCTTACGTTCACGTAAACTCGGGATTGTGATTGAAGACGATTGGCGGGAGCTGCCTACGGAATGGATTAGTGGCTTGGATCCTGCACTGTACCTCACGAGCCCCTCATACAATGCGGATGTCAACAAATTCGGCGTTGCGTGCGGACAATCAATCGAAGAGTGGGAAGCCGCCGGATGGATAGCCCACAATTTCGATGTGAGAGGCTGGTTTCAATGGTACTGTCGCTTTTTCCAAGGGCGGCGATGTGACGATGACGAGAGACAAATCAGCCGGTGGCGTAAGTGTGTTGGCGAAACCGGACGATGGCGCCGAATGCTGCTCAAGAAGTACATCGCCATGGGTGTCCGTGAAGTTTTCGATGATGGTGAGGAAGTGGACGATCGTGAGGTGAGTCCAGTCATGCATCAGACTTGCCATCATTGGGCGTACGAGGTCAGGCAAGAGGATCTGGACCGGGCATGGGCTGTTTGAATCGAGCGCTACCATTGCCAATCGATAAGAGCTCCTATGCGACACGGAGGCTGCCAACTTTTGTTGGTAAGCGATCCTCTGCCTTCCACTCGCCTAGTCGGTCACCCTTAATGTCATCTTCCAGCTTTTCCCTAGACTCAACAGAGGGGGTGGTATCGGAAGGAAGCTCTACCGATGCCTCGCGCGTTTCGATGGATGGTGTGCTACTTGTTGAGCCGATGGCTAGCTCCTGCATCCCACTGGGTAATTCTGCTGGCATTTCAGCAATTTTGCTCGTATCCGGCAGCTCGCTCATTGGCCGTGAGCTGGGTGGCATATCGCCTCCGCGAAGTGTATGCTGGTCAGGAAGCTCCGCGACGTTGCTGGGGATCGGTGGCCTCCTCGCAGCTGCAGTGTTTGGAGCTGAATGCGATAATGGCGACACATGAGGGTGATGATGGTGGAAGTGTGACTGATAATACTGATGGTGGTGCATCGTGGCCATGTACGCTGGATAGCCGTTGTGCCCATGCTGGCAACACTGGGGCGCCGGTGCTGGAAGCGGCAGCACCCTACCTGAGTGGCTATAAGAGGTGACTGGAGTATAGCACGTCGGTGCACTGCTAACTGCCAAGTCGTAGCTCGGAGGCATCTCACCAGGTTCTTGAAGCAGTCGATTCGAGCTCCGCGCATTGAACCTCGCGAATTCTTCGGACGTATGCGAGGCGGTAGCGGAGTAAGGGTTGCCGAGCGCAGAATACGACGATCCGGACTCCGAGGTAGGCTGACCATGGGATGTGGTAGAAGACAGTCCGGCAACAGACCTCTCTTCGCTGTATGTCGATGAGGCACTCAAAGGTCCTTGCGTTGGGGAAGCGGGAGGTGCATGGATCTTGAGCTCATCCGATGGATCAACAATATCTATGGGATTTGTGAGCTGCTTTGCCGCCTTCTCGGCCTGGTGCTTGCGATAGGCCTTCCTGGCCTTCTTCCCAAGGTAGATGGATCCTACAATCATCGTGATGACTTTGCTAGAGATCAGATGTCAACGTTGGCGCTGGAGAGAAAGATGTGAAGCTTCTATCGAAAAGACCGCTGAGTACGGGAGTGGAAGGCCTTATCTGCTGCAGCCCGGTGTTTTCAACGCGCTCAAGGGATGACCGTGACGGCCTTGCCGCTCGACGTCGTATGAATCGCTGCATCGCCCTCGTAGAACTGGCTGTGTGTGATTCGCAATCAACTACCTCTTTTCGTCAAGATCGCCGCCAATGCCACAGCGCAAATGATAAGGACCCCGCCTTTCGTGTTGTCTGTTCCACGGGGGATGACGACGCGTGCCGCCACAAGATGCCGGAGAGAAGATAGCAACGTGGCAGGACGGTAACTATGGCACGTCGATTGGTCGACTGCCCAGCGGGCCATTCGCAGGGCACACCGCGATGGGTTTAGTTTATGCATCTGTGTTGGGGGCTGCCTAGTCTAAGCATTACAAGCATCACAAGCATTTACGCCCCGGTGCTTGGGTGAAAGCTTGCGCGGGATCTGTGGTGGGCTTGACGTCCAACAGCTTGCCTCCTTCAGTCTGGCGTCGGCCGTGTCAAGCAGCTCCTTAGGCGTGGACAAGGCTCAGCTCCCAGTAGCTGCATAGGCCCAATTAAGCCTGCAGACTCTCCATTGAACCCTTACCGATGCTCCGCGGTTCAGCCATGTGGGTCATAAGGCGCCCTATTCTCGCGAAGCGTACCCAGAAGGCGATAGAGGGCTTTTGGTCAGTACATGGTCTGTATGCTGGATCAGAGCTGCAGCAGCAGGGTGAAGCTGGCCCCAATGTCGGCGATGGCATATAATAGCCATAGCGCGGGTGGAAGGATGGCAAGCATTTGCTATATACCATCGAACAACAACAGATTATCCAGGCTATACACGGATATATTTACTGACTTGGTTTTTACGACATGGGCGTCTTCAGCAATAGTACCTGCCCGCTGCCAAAAGACGATGTCAACCGCCCAAACACAGAAGAGCCTATCATGGGCGACATCCACTTTCAACGTCTTCTTTTCTATATCGCTGGCGGTTTCAGCGCAATCACCATCATTCTGTGTCTGTTCCTTGCCGTCTCCCACCTGGCCTGCTACGTGCGGCCACGAGAACAGCGTCAGATCATTCGGATCGCCTTCTACCCGGTCGTCTACTCGCTTCTATGCTGCTTCTCCATCCTCGACTACCCAGCATCGCGGTACCTGCTGCCCGCCACATCCTTCTACGAGCCTGTTGCATTGATGGGCATTTTCTTCCTCTTCGTCGAATTTGCCCACGATGACCCCAGCACTCGAGACGACTACTTCAGCCAGCTCGAGCATAAGCGCAAGACTGGAAGCCGGTTCAAGAAGGGTGGCTGGGTGACCGTTCCTGGTGGGAGTCTTCGGTGGTACCACGTACGTTGGCCCAAGATCCCTATCATGCAAAGCTATCCAATGCTGACACCTCCTAGGCCAAATGGGTTGCTGTGTATTTCTATTTCTTAGTTACCATCATCATGACCGTTGTCGAGCTCACCACCCAAGCCGCGGGACGGTACTGCGAATGGTCATTCAGTCCAGCGTTCGCCCATTTCTGGGTCGTCATCATCCAGAACATCGTCCTGCCCATCGGCGTGCTTGCAGTGGTTCAGTTCTATATTCGCCTCAGTTTTGAACCGCACGTCAAAGCACACCGTCCAACACTGAAGATCCTAGCCTTCAAGGGCATCCTTCTGCTGAACTTTGTCCAGGAAGTAAGTTTGCCATTCCGTGCAAGCTCTGCACAGCTAACACTCTTCCTAGATTGTGTTCCAAATCTTGATCGGTGCAAATGTCTTCAAGAACCACCCCAAGATCACCATCCAAGACCAAGCCATTGGCATTCAGCAATGCCTCGTCTGTCTGGACATGATGCTCGTTGCAATCGCCTATCAATTCTCATATCAAGCTTCAGAATACCGCGTTATCCAACGTCAAGCTGGAGGCCGACCAATGAACATCTTCCAAGCCGCTGCAAACGCCCTCAATCCATCCGACCTCGTTGTGGGTGCGGCATACACATTCCACCTGGTGGCGTCCGGCGTTGGGCCTGTGGGGAACGGCAGCTGGCGCCGCAGCGGCGGGTACGAGAAGATGCGAGGAAGTGGCAGCGGTGCGGCTGGCTTCAACGACATTGCCGGACACACGAGGAACAGCGAGGACGTGCGTATGGGTCGACTGCAGTACCAGCGTGCCCCGAGCACTGCATATCAGAACACACCGCCAGCGTACGACGACGCCCGGCCTTTGCGATCCAGCAGCCCCTACGGCTACACGAACCCGCAGCGCTCCCCCACCCGCTCTCCAAGCCCCGACAGCCGCTTCTACAAGCCCGAAACCCAGCCATACTCGACCCTGGGCGACAATACCCGCCTGCACGTCCCTAACAGCTCCCTGGACCACGGCCGGCCGTCCTACGACGCGTGAAGGTCTCCGACGCCGTCTTCAGACCAGCCAGCTCTCCAATCCCGCCAACGCCGCCTCCCACCCCAGCTGCCCCTGCTCGCTCACCACCTCCCGCACGCTCTGCACCTCACGGTCACTCAGCCCCAGCCGTCCGTCCGCGAAGTACACGTGCGGGAACATACCCTCGCCGTCCCGGGATCCGCAGACCTTGGCGTCGGGGCTCTCCCAGCGCAGCACCTCGGCGGTCTCGAGCGGCGCCAGGGGGATTTTGAGGAGGTACAGGGATGTGCGGTCCGAGGGAGGCGAGGCGAAGAAGTGGGTGAGCGTGCCGGGAATTTGGCGGGCAGAGGAGAGGTGGATGAAGCCGGACTTGAGGTCAAGGTCCGAGGGGGCCATGGTGTAGTTGGGTGGTAGGGTGTTTGTGGGAGTCAGGGGGAGGGCGGGGTCGGAGGGGGAGATTTTGTAGATGTAGATCGGTGGTGCTGATTGTGTTTGGGATTGGTCTGCCATAATTTTTGGAGTATCCTTGAGCAGGAGGCGTTTGGTGCCGAGACTTTATAGGTTGAATCGGCTTGAAGACAGAGATGGAGAGATGCAGCACGCGAATTTGCAAGAGTCGACAATATCAGCATTGCGGTGGAGTAAGCGCACCGGGGAACGCAGTTTTCACTGCCTGATGCCAAGCCATCGCGACGATGAGGAATGCATTTACAATGTACAGCATCATCTCATATACAGGAAATCTAATGCCGGTAATCCCTTTTGTTCTTATATTAGGCATCAGCCGAATCTGCTGAAGGACAATCCAAGACCACAGTTCCTACACTCCATCGACCAGTGTCCTGTTCACTTACCCCTACCAAATCAGCCCTTTCTACAAACGATCAGCCGATGGCGCCGCCTCATCCTCCACCAAGTTGAACCCATCAAACAACAACGGCGGATTCCCTTTCTCCGTATCCGCACTCGTATACGTGACCACAAACGCCAAATCCGCCACAGGCCCCTGCCCCTCATACGTGAAAGGCACGGTATGTTTCGTATACGCCGCCGCACCATCCGCGACGCTCAATTCGCAGCCGCTGCCGGAGCAGGCGGTGATCTCGCCCAAACGCTGGGCGCCGACGATGACGGCGATGACGGGCGAGTCGTCGTTGAGGCTAGCGGCCAGGCGGCCTTGGTAGCCGGTGAAAGTGTAGGAGGCGCCCGGGGTGAGGTTGCTGAGGGTCTGCGAGATGGAGATTTGACGGGAGCCGGAGGTCGGGGGGGAGGTGGGTGTGATCTTGCTGTTGTGGGAACAGGTTAGTGGCCGAGATCTCGCAGTGAGGGGGTTTCGTACGTAGGGCAGTACAGTACAGTACAGAGAGAGGGGGGCAAAAGGAAAGGGGATTGGTGTGGCACTTACGCAGCCTGGCATCCTTCATACTGGTCCGCCTTGTCCAAGGCCGGCTGAAACTCGCCGGAGACGACGTTGGCCACCCAGCCGTTGAAGCCGTCCTCAAAGCCACCGTTCTGCAGGAGGCCATAGCCGTCGGCACGCAGAGGCAGGCAGTTCCCGCTGGGTGGTGGGGTCGTGGAAGGTGCGTAATACACGTTCAGGGCGTCGGGTCCGCCGCAGAATTCGCTGTGGTTGCCGGCGCAGGGCATGTAGCACTGCGAGGGGTCGTTGGTGGGCTTCAGGTTGGCGGAGTTGCCGCACCAGCATTCTCCTCCATACTGTGGTTCACGTGTCAGCCTTTTGGTACCGATGAGCATTTGGGAGGATCGATACCTCTACACCACCAAGCACGTATCCACTAGCCTGGCAGGCAGCCACGCACTTCGCAACCGCCATCGGGCCATCCACCTGCTTGAGGTCTGGGAGCGTGCGGTCCTGCACGTCATCCTTGATACAGCCACCGCTGACCCAGCCGGCGACGCCAGGGTTCATGCTGGTGCTAGCAGAGGGATTGTAGTACACACTCAGGCGCGAGGGGCCGCCGCACGCCTGGCTGGCATCACTCGAGCAGGGCATATTGCACGACGCCTCATCGGCTGCGGTGGGAAGTGCGCTACCGCAGTAGCACTCTGAAGAGTACTCGGTGCCCGCGACGTTGTAGCCCTTGCTGGAGCAGAAGGCGATGCACGAGTCGGCACTGTTGTCGGTATTGGAGATGGTCGAGGCCTGGGACAACGAACGTGGCGAGACGGCATCGACACTACAGCCGGCGTACTGCCAGCCACTGGGAAGGGAGGAGGCCGGGGTGAGGTCTCGGGGCAGATTGATAGACGCCGCGAAGGTGGTCGCAGGTACCAGTAGGAGAGCGAATGACTTCATTCTTGTTACTTGGAGATTAAAGAATGGACAGCACGGATGTGCAAGGTGAGCGTAGACAGGCGTGCTGAGGCGGCCGTCCAGCTCGAAGGCCGGTTTCCATACCTTATAGCCATGGTGATGATGGTGTTGTCGTGGCGCTAGATGGTCTTACCCCTTTGCAGAAAGGACGATCTCTTCAACAGGCGTGAGGCGTACGTGATTGTGCGCCGAAGAGGCTAAGCGTGCCGTCATACATTTGTTCCTGGCACGTTCATCGTAGAGCGACACTGAAGCCGCACAAGCGAGGACAAGCCGATTCTCGAGAACGGGCCTGGCTCGTGATATCGATCTTCTTCAGTCCGGATGTTGGGGTAGGCCCAATAAAGACAAAGATTGTCAGCCACATGGGCGTTTCTGGGTAAATAGGTGGAGATTGCGGGTGACCGGGAATAGTCTCAAAGTTCTTCTCAGCTGACGTTCATGCAGCTGCTGATTTCCACGCGCGGCAGAACGAGGTGTGAGGCGTTCAAGCCCAGATTGTCCAGACGTCGTGCCAGGGAACATTGGTGACTTGGTTGCTCCCCCACAGCTCCCGAGATAGGAATCTATGCAAGGCTGCCGAACAGCCTTATGGAACGGCCGTCATACGGCCAGTATATATCTGTGAGGCGTGAACGATGAGAACTGAGGCTTGCGAGATCCTTTCCAAGACGGGATGCCCCAGAGGCAGGCCCGGTAGTACTATAGAGGTCATAAGTCAAGCTCAAATTTGTGGTGCTGGGTTTGTCCTCGTCGCCAAGGCAAATCCCTGAGACAAATGCATGCGTCTGGAATGTCAAATCGCTACTAATGGTACTATTTCACAATGCCACTTTTAGTAATACATCGTCTATGATATTTCTGTTCTCATCTCAGACAAACTCTCGCGTCCGCACAGTCGAACGCGCCGACTTCATGCTTCCCACCTTAGCAATGGCCGCCGGCCTGCTCATTCTCCGCATTTCCGCCCCCTCTGCCGGCCCATGCGCATCTCTACTCAGCCCGCCGTTGCGTGACGGGTGAGCGTTGGAGAAGAACCTGCCGGGCAGTAGCTTCTTGAAAAGCGGCTTCAAGCAAGGAACACAGGCGCAAATGATGCCCGTGCCGACCTCCACGACTGACCAATTCAGGGCGGGGACGGTCGCGATGGTCACATCGGCGCTCTGCACGTTGTGCAAGACGGTGATGCGCATGATCGAGGCCACGGCGGCGAAGAGGCCGAAGCCAAAGAGTGCTGAGACGATGTATTTCTCTCGTAACGGAAGTTTGAGCTTCCACAGGAAGGGTAGCGGGAGGACACAGAGCAGCACATCGGTCAGAATGGAGAAGGCCGTGGAGAAGTAATAGACCTTCATGATGGGTAGGCATTTGGGCTTGATGGCCTGAAAGTCCCATGCTGCGTAGATCGGCGAGCATTGGAACAGGGTGGTGAAGATGTTGACGATCCAAACGGCAAGGATCAAGCCGCCAAGGGAGTACATGGTCCAGCGTAGGGGCTTGGTGGGGAAGATGCGGTGGAAGGACGCGATGATGGAGATTTTGACGAGGGACAGGGCTGTTGCGTATAGGACCTGGCTGACCCATAGCGTTTGTATAACCTTCTTGACGTTCTCGATGAGGGTCATTTGGGGAAGGTCGTATATATGTCTACCCAGACCGTGCCTCGTGCCTGAATAGTAGTTAGTAGAGGGAAAATAGACCGGTTGCGGGGTTAACTTGCCCACTATATTCATAGCAGAGAACGCTGTGGCGAACAAACCTGCTGCTACCATCAAATAGTCCTCGGTAGCAATATGTTTAACGATTCTTGCTCGAACGAGGATTCTCAGGATGATGATGGAGTCAGTGAAGACGATGAAAGCTGCGTTCAGCTTGATGATCGACGGCTGTTCGTTGTTGTGGGGGACGCTGGGGTTGTTGGCGTATATCTGAACGAGGGTCTCCATCTCTTGTGCCTTGCGGCTATTGATCTTTATTGAGAAAGAGAGGACGAGTTGTCAAGAGGCCAGCACTTGAGCAAGCAACGTACCTGCGCCTGGGACCATGAGACGGCTAGGAAGGCTTTCTGACGAGAGCCCATGAAACTGCACGTCCAACGCCGCGCTCACTTTGCTTCCACTCTCGCACATGGCGAAACCCTCAGCAACCGGCTGGCGTGGCCACACCTGCATCCGGGGCTTATGCTCCCTTTACCCTGCAAGACACATCCCACGAACAAGAACCGTGCTTGCCGGCCGGGGTATAGACCTGTCCTTTCCCGTTCCAGAAGGTACATGGCACGCGGCAAGGCGGCAAAGTTCAGGCACAGGAGTGAATTCCACGAATCTCATGGGACAATCTCTATGATGGTTTAGGGTGGAGATCTTTCGTCAAGCTGTGAAAGCCGGGATGCACGCGCGAGGCGGCCCTCCAATTCCAGCGCATCGTTCGCCTACCGCTGGCCTAGCGCGCCTTCTCAGGCGATTTAGGCGAGACTTGGCCAACGTGCGACTGTCCCGAAAATCGCGCTTCAGGGGTCCGATTGGCACGTCGTGAACCAACGAGAAGCCACCAAAAGACTGAAATGCCGTAGATTTCTGCATAAGGATCTCTTTTCTCTTCGCGGGGACGTGCTGCCTGCGTTTCCGCAAAGCTATAAGACTGGCTGGAGTGCTTCTACGCGAGGTTGGTGCTGGATGGGGATGCATAATGGCACTTCGGGAGCTGCAGAGATGTTGACGCAACCGCTTCGACACCCACAGCAAGGACAGACCTGCGACAGCAAGACTAGCACAACGCCACAATCACATGAGAGACCCGCCTGGGGCCATGGCTGCTAGGAAGTCAGACTCGTACGCCATCATGCAATAATGTCAACTCTGCCCCTGAACTCGGTAGCCAAATCCGTGTTCTTGGGCGCCATGGGGAGCGGAAGTCAGAGTTCCGCAGCTCCCCGCACCGGTGCTCCAAGCAACGCCAGTTTCCTGGGTTTGCGGCTGCTTGGACGCGTTTCTATCTGAATTAGTGGGCCTAGGCTCCGTTCGACCTGGTCGGATGTGCACTTCAGCAACACAATGATCGTGCTGAAGTGATGATTTGTGAAACAGATGTTGATATTCCTACAAACAATTTGAACTCCACCGCTCCAAGTGCATACGTTGATGTCCCTTAGCTAATCTATAAGTCATCCGTTTAACGCCGCATCTATGCTTTACTCGACAGCCACACCGGTCTATTGGCGGGCACACCCTGCACCGTACTGCGGCGGCGAGTCATCGGCGGCCGGGTAGTATGCCTGTTGCGATGCTTGCTGGGACACATTCCGGCGAGAACCGCCTCTTCTCTGCGCCCCAAAGAGCTTGACTGCTCTGACCACGCCAGCCAGAACGTCCAGCAGGTCAATCGCATCCCAGGCAGCTCGGATGGGGCTCAACTTCTGCTTCTGAGCCATGTTGGTCGGCTCCCCGACTTTGCCGGCTTCCAGGGCGTTCGTGCGGTTGCGGTACTGACCAGGCCAATAGAAGACGACCATCATCACAGCAACAACCGTGGCCTCAACGACAGTCAGCACATTGGAAAGACCAAAGTTCAGGTCGTTGTAGCTCAAGGTCTTCGAGCCATCTAGCGCACCCGCCTGTGTAAGGATGCTGAAGATAATCCTCTGCACGAACTGAATTGCAACAATGAGCTTGAAGCACGCCAGCTTGCCGACGATCTTGTTATCAGCGGCCTTCAGCTGGCGAGTCCAGCGCATGAGGAACCTGAACAGCGCCACCAGCGCCAGCGCGGCCTGGATGCCGTTGACGATGTTGATGATGGTGTGCGCATGCTGGTAACTTTTGCCGCCTGTGCAGTTGACGGCGCTGACGATTATGATGGCGACAGTGGTGATGATGCGGCCCGGCAGCAGCTGCATGACCATGATGTACGTCTTGGTGAAGGCTGCAGAGCCGCCGTTGGCCGGGTCGGCGAAGAAGGCGTGCTGGCCTGTCCAGGTGGGTGCGTCGGGGGTGAGCATGGCAATCATGAGGTAGAAGAGGGCGACGAGGGCGAATGCTTCGTACAGTTCCGCGATGGGTGGGAAATACGGGGTCAGGTGGTAGGAGGCGACGCCTATGAAGCAGAAGATGGCGAATGCGGGGGCGATGAGGATCATGCGGATCAGTTGCTTCTGGATGCGAGGCTCGCGGTAGGAGAAGATGTGGCCCAGGACAAGGACGAAGGTGCTGAGGCAGGTGATGGCCAGGCCTGCTGCGGCGATGTAGGTGATCAGCTTGTGGAAGGTCAACATGCCTGAAATGGGGGCGGCCTGGTTATCTTCCGAGTATGAGCGGCAGATATCCGGACTGTCGTCGCCAAAGAGTGCTCGAGGAGCGAGATTCTGCAGTATAGAGGATGTCATGGTTGGTTCAGCGTTGTGGTCAATGGTCTGTATGATTCGGAGTGCAATGTTTGGTTTGGAACAGCAGCTGAGACAAAGGGGATAGACTGGATATATATGTTGAATCCATACTGAACATTCTGTTCCATCATGGCAGTGCTATTCCAGTGCAAAGCCCTAGCAAGCACTACTATAGCCTCGTCACGGTGTATACTCAGCCCAAAGACATCGCTCGCTCTGCAATCCGGATCAGGACGGTATGGCGAGGCCGCGATACATACCAGAAGAGGAATGGCTACCCCAGAGACCTGTCATTGGTTGAAGCCCCGGCGCCGCTCTCAATTTAGCATCCAGGGTTTCTTCGAGCTTCTCAACTCCAACAGGCATCTGCTGGCTATGCCTGCAGAGAGGCCCAGCGTCGTGGTTTCGGGCTTTCCCTAGCGGCCACGGCTCGCGTGGACCAGTTCCTTTTGGTGCTGGCGGGCGAGGCCGTCTATCAATCATCGTCACCGTGAGTTCAGAATATAATTGCGTGAGCCAGAGTGCACGCCAGCCTATCGATATCAACACTAGCCTCTAGAGGCTTGCGAAAACGACAAGGTGACAGCGACATCACTGCGCGAGCATGCAGATGCTGGGCATACGACGCCCGGAAGATATGAGCAAGCAAAATCCGCTAAGCACAGCCGTGTTGTGGTGGTTCTCGTATACGACTTCAGCTCCCTTCGTGTCTGCAAGCCTACCCAAACGCTGGACATGTCGCGGGCGGCCGGTGTCACAGCAGCTCGTAACGGGTGAAATAGGTCTGTCGCCATCGCTTATGATCACTGTTGATGGGTGAATTCGTAGTCCTGGTCGGTGTTGCCAATGCTGTGTAACTAGAAGTCGATTTCGTTCTGCTGAAAGTCGTGCATATAATCTATAAAGAGAGCCGTAAAGGCAGGCGTATGGTGAGTGAACTTAGAGTTCTTTGATACGGTCAGCAATGTCGCAACCACACGTGCCAGCAACGAACAGCCTTCCCAACAGGTCGTCTCCTGACGAGGAAGCATCTCGACACTCAGCCTCATCAACCAAACCATCAACCCAGAAGCCCGGCGGCTTAATCTGGCTTGAGGGCATCCTTGGTCCCGTATTCGAGGTCTCTATCTTTGGTGGCTCCATAACCTTCAGCGTCATCGTCAGCAACCTTCCAGAGCCCAGGCGATTCGGTGGCCAGCTCGACACATTTCTCGCATTAGCCTGGTTCTTCTTCGTCCTTGCTCTTGGGGTCGCCACCGCCGCGAGACTTGCCCTCTCTTTCAACGAGGACGAGCTCTGGCTCGCCTTTGCCTTGAATGAGAGACTGATACATGGGGAAGAACAGATCAGAAAAGCAAAGAAGAAGCTCGCGGGTCAGAAATTGCTCCGCTTCGTCTTCATTAAAGCGAAGCTTCCGGACATCCTTTGCACCCTCATACTCCTCGCTTTCTTCTTCCTGTCGCTCTGCGTGGCGGCGTACAACGTTGCGATCGGATCGCTGGCTGCTGCATCTACCGGGATCCTGACGCTGGTCTTCGCGTGGACGTTTGGGCAGACTCTATATATGGACTGGCGCAAGAAATCGCATCCCCCGGGCGCCTCGCTGATGCAAGATGGTTCTGAGCAAGTGGGCCAGCCCTGAGCCGAGTGGTGCGGGGTGGCACAGAGATGGGACATGATTTGAGTTCGGAAGTCGTACCGGGTAAATTCATTGCTCGTTTGAACGATGCTTTGTCGATCAGGATTGCTTCTTGAATATATTGCCTTCTTCTTGGTAGTATTCAGGATATGTGCGATGGTAGCCAAAAACGAAGCGTCCAATGGCAGCACCGATCCACATGAAGAGCGTACTGAAGACAAGATTGATCAGATTGGGTCCAGGGATTCCCAGGTCAACAGGCATCCAGCAATCGGCGCAGAAGACGCAAAGCTGGAGGGTGCTGAGCGGTACTTTGGCATGCTGGCAGTCGTCCATATAGGCAAATACGTTGTAGAAGAAGCGCATCTCCATCTCACGCATGGAAGAATCATAGTTGTAGTCGAATTCTAAAGGCTCAGTACCTCCAGGTACATTCTCGAATCGATGAGGAAGAAATTGCGGTATCGTGATGGTGTCACCAGCCTTGAGGCGACGTGGTGCCTGGCCGCGCAGGTACCAGAGACCTTCGCCTTGAGTCACGTAGAACACCTCATCCTGCAGAAGGTGAATGTGAGAAGGCGGAGCCATGAAGCTCTTGCCGCCGTCTTTCATTTTGTTGTCGGCGGGCACGACTTGTCTGCCAAGATACTTCCCGCCTGGCGGATAGAATTCTAAGATAGACTCGCCGTCTTCATACGTCACGACACGAGCAGTTGGGCGCGCCTTGAGTTGAGGTAGAGTCCGGAATGCCTTGAGCATTTTGATAGTCGCTGACAATATGCTGTGATGGTTTGAGATACAGGTAGAAGTCTGAATCTGAGGTCGGGGTAGAGAGCTGCCCTATAAAGACGCGCGGCCAATGGCTACTTGGGCGGACATGTTGGTCACCAAAGCTAACCTGCAAGTTATATAAGCGGTTGGTAATTGCAGACCCTGTAAGTGTTATTGCACGTGGGAGTCTGAAGAGAGCCAGATCTAGTCATACAAATCCTAAACGAGCTCCAGCAAGAGGATCGACCTACTTACCCAATGAGGCAGGTATCTCGTATACGCGGTCACCTCGTAGACGTACGTGTAGTCTCTACTTGTCTCGTAAGATCTTTGGTCGAATTAATGCACACTCTTGGGCGCTGAGTCCTTGTGATAGAACGTTGACCTTGTGACAGAATCAGCTTCGCAGTGTAACCAGGACCGGGGCTGGACCCTTTTCGGAAGACTGCTGGCGCATTGTGTCGACGGTGTCCGCCTATAGCCGTCTGAGGAAGTGGAAGGCGAATGACAATTGTTTCTGTCAGTTCCAAGGCATCGCTTCGATAGCCGTGATGTCGTCTCTGTCAGCGCGTCATAAGATGATCAGCTGTGTTCCATGGGACCGAAGATTTGCCAGCGCAGGAAGAGTCGGACGCGCTCGCGAGTTGAAAAACACGGTGCTGTTCGTAGCTCGCAATGACTCTGTGACGGGCGTTTTTACGGCATTTACTTCACGAGGCTGCAGACGACGCATTGTCCCGGGCTGACAGCCGAAGGCCATTAGATCGAGATTTAGGAGCTGTACAAGGTAGTCATTCTGCTGTGAGAACGGCCAACTCATTGCTAACTCCCTTATGATCTAGCTCAAACAGGAGTTTGCGCGCACGTTGTTTCCACACACAAGGACGTTGCCGTCGCGCTTCCTCATTGAGTATAGCCCCGTAGCGAGGCTGATTCTGACATTGAGGCTCGGCCGAGCGGGTTCTGCCTTACCGATGCAGGTAGTGCTCTGCAAGCTCGATTGGTGAAGGACTGAAACGTCAGCAAAATTGGCCACACGAGCAGGTAAACGGGATTGCTCTAACTTGAAAAGGCCTGAAAGATACAAGCACAATCTTGACACGCCGACATGAGGTCTAGGGGGGTTAGGTGCCTGAAAAGCGTGAGATAGAGAAGCTTTCTAGGCGATGGCCGCGTATCGGCGTGACAGCGTCTCGGCCCTGGTCCAGACTCGAGGGAAGAGAGCGGCTCCGGAAGAGTGAAACACAGTATGAAGCATCTGATGTCGAGTGTAGCACCATGCGAAAATTGGTTTGTGGATACCCGCATCTTCCGCTGACAGAATCACAATGCTGGGACTTGTATACAAAGATGCCGGCAGCCGTTGCGCTACTGCGCGCACTCCGGGTCTCTGGATTTCTGCACAACGTCGTCGTGGAAGAAAGCGGTGGAGAAAACAGGGAGATTGCGCGCCAAGAGCGTCGGTGAAAAAAGCGACATTTATCATTATTACTGTCAGTACGTGGGTAATATTTTATTCGAGTTATAAGAGGTAGGCTGTGTAAAGATGGTGGGGGAAACACAAGGGTTTGTCGCAGTTTTCTCTTGTATCATCTTTGCATCGCGTGGCATCGCTGCTTGTCACAATCTACCGAGTACTCAAGAGTACCAAGGAGCAGCAGAAGGCTTGCGTGTTCGTGGTCCCGATCCCATCGAGGCGATTTCAGGGGTGATGGAGAAAAACAAGGGTGGTTAAGGGTGGCCAAGGAGGGCGAAGCTGAAATTAGAACATTCCTTGGGTCCAGTCCGACGCCTGTGACTCGCTGCCGGGCCTGGAAATCCTGCTACTCCCGGGCTTAGCTTCTGCTCTAACGTGTCTTGTGTGCTTGCGAGACCCCAACGGCGACACGACGACTCCCAGGGGTCGTGCACTGCGCCTGTGACCTCCAACCTGCAACCTTCCCCCGCTTCTTTGCTAAGAGAATCCCGTCACGTTGACTTTAGAGCTCTCATCAACCCCGTTCTTTGCTGCCCGTACCCTGTACCCATCTTCTTATTCCCACCATCACCTCGACCCATCAGCACTTGTTGCTGTTGCATATACACTCTCTGTCTCTTCGTGTCATTCTTTCGTATTTTGCTACTATATTGGCCACTCTCGCTCTACGGCTCTAATTCTGCCGACTCCTTTTTCCGTGGACGCTCGTTGTTGGGCGCGTCCTTCGTTCGATAGCCCTACACTACCATTCATCGTGTACTCAATATGAAGCCGACAACGTTACTCTTCGCCTCGTCGGTGGCTGCGATCCAGCTAACGATCGGCGATTCGAACTCCGTCAAGTCTGCGCTCAAGAATATCGCAACTGGCATGACCTCGTACTATGAAGGCGACAAGCCTGGCGGTGTCCCAGGTCTGCTTCCTGGTTCCCTATCGTGTAATCCTGCCAATGATGGCACATACTGTTGGTGGGAGGCTGGCGCCATGTGGGGTGCCTTGATCAACTATTGGCAATACACTGGCGACGACTCGTGGAACCCTCAAGTTACTGAAGCAATGCTCTTCCAGCGCGGACCAGACAACAACTTCAACCCTCCCAACCAGTCCCGAAGCATGGGTATCGACGATCAAGATTTCTGGGCTTTCACAGCCCTTGACGCCGTTGAAGCCAACTTCCCCGAGTCTAGCGACAAGGACGACCCGTCATGGCTTGCCCTTGCCCAAGGAACCTTCAATTTCCAGGCTGATCACTGGGACCCCAAGACCTGCGGCGGTGGCTTCCGCTGGCAAGTCTTCTCCTTCAACGTCGGCTACAACCTCAAGAACATGATCTCCAACGGTGGCAACTTCCAGCTTGCAGCTCGTCTGGGCTACGTCACCGCCAACGAGACATACCTGGACTGGGCTGAAATGGTCTGGGAATGGATGGAGGCGAGTGTCATGTTTGAACGTACTAATGACGGTCTCCTCTACATCTGGGATAACACCAACGCCGACAACAACTGCATCGATGCCACCAACTATATCTGGACCTACAATTATGGTACTCTGATTGCAGGTGCCGCTTACATGTACAACGCCACCAACGGCAACGCGACTTGGAAGGGCCGTCTCGACGAACTGCTTGACAGTACCTACAAGCTGTTCTTCCCAGCTGAGAAAGGTGGCGACATCATGGTTGAATACCTCTGCGAAGAAAAATTGATCTGCAATCAAGATCAGAAATCCTTCAAGGCGTATCTGGCTCGCTGGCTGGCCGTTACTGCTATGCTTTATCCTGAATCGGCCGCTCAAATCAATCCCAAACTAGCAAAGAGCGCGGAAGGTGCTGCTGGACAGTGTGACGGTGGCAGCGGCAGTCAGTGTGGCGCTCAGTGGTATACCACAACCTTCACCGGACAGACTGGTGTTGGTGAGCAGGTAAGCAGTTGCATCGTTTCCTCTAAAAATCTTACTAACCGGATCCCAGATGGCTGCTCTCTCTACCATCGGTACAACTCTCGCTACGAGTGATATGGCGCCCCTCTCACAGAAGAGCGGTGCCACGTCGTCCAGTGATCCTAACGCCGGTCAAACCAAGAATGAGGATCCTACTGAGAAACAGAAGCCCATCACAACCGGCGACAAAGCCGGCGCCGCCATTTTAACAATCATTGTCTGCGTCGCCATGGTTGGAAGCATGATATGGATTGTTCTGGAATAGGCGATTCTCTGACGCTCAACGAAAACTTCAACAATGACTCTGAGCGAGTGTCAACACAGAGTACGTCCGGTTCATTATACCGACACGCGGCTCCCGGCCCCAGGATTTCATAGCACTTGAACGCGATGGAGTCTTTGGGAGTTGTTTGCTCCACAAGATGAGCATACGAGTGGGCATGTCGCGTCGTCAAACATGATCGGCGCATATCCACTACAGAATGGAGAATCCGATCTTCTTGATCAACATCAGACATTCCTTCACTCTGGATCAACTTGTCACTCTCTGTCGACTCTCACAACTACACGATACAAAACCTTTGCGTATGAAATTGTTGTACACACATACACATGTAAGCTTGACGACATTACGACCTTTCAGAATTTTTATCATACAATACGGCCCCGCCTCAATGGCCAGCACGAGGATGGGTTTGGGATTGGGATTATTGGGGAAAACATTTCGCAGAACATCTGTTCGCATTGCTGAGCGAGATAGTGAGCTTGCATAGCATTGCCACAGTAGAACAAATCATACATGATGGTGCAGAGACTGGATGGCGTCCGTCGATTCAGCTGTCCTGCGACTCCCATCGGTTGATATGCACGATATCTTTGCAACAGTGAAGAGAGGAAAGAAGAAAATATAATGCCCATGCTACCCACAACCTCTACCCCGCCAACGCTTGATCGTTCGTAAGCCGTGGCCTTTGCCCCAATTGCAACTACTCGTACGCATGCGTAACGATTGCCTGGTGCACTGTTTTGCGACTTACCCGTAGCTGCCCTGCTACATCTTCTTGACCCCCATCAAAGAAAGCCAAGGAGGCACTTTGTGCGACCGAGCCTGCATGAAACCCCGTCATTTTGCGCACTCTGCCCTGCCTGTACTTGACACGCAGCACGGGGACTCGAAAGGACGGGGAGTTTTGGCAAACGAACAAGGAAGGCCGCCTGCCTGATATGGCACACAGCAGCTTTCGGCAGGGAATGGAAAAAGTGGGTTGCACTCAGCGGGCCCCAACTGGGCAGCCCGCCAAGCACCCACCGGACACCCACCAGACCCAAACAACCCGACGCAATCGTCCCGCGGGACAGAAGGCCGGGGTTGTGAGAAAGTACATGATCAGTGAGGCAGACAGACAGACGAACAGACAGACAGCCCAGTACGAGATATTATCATTTACCGCTCACGTTTGAGCGTACGATGTATACGTATCAACAACCCCCTTCATCATCAACTTGAGCGAGGCTGCTCGCTCTCGTCCTCCCTTCGCCGCTGGAGAACACGTCTGACTGCCTCTTCGTTCCATTTATTCAAAGGGACTCACGTCACTAATCCCACTATAGTAATTAATCCAGCCAAAGATCTGCTGATGCCACACCAGACTATTCTCCCGATTCAGCACCCAATGGTTCTCATCCGGAAAGTTCAGGAATTTGCTGGGCACGCCACGCTCCTGCAAGATGTTGAACAGCATGATCCCCTCGCTCTCGGGGAGACGGTAGTCGAGGGTGTTGTGAACGATGAAGTGAGGGGTGGCCCAGTTCGACGCATAGTCAAGCGGGTTCCAGCGGTCGTAGTTGTCGCGGTTCTCCCACAGCGTGCCATTGAAGTCGTGCTGCATGAAGAAGAGCTCCTCAGAGGCATACTGGTTGAGTGTGCTGGTGCTACCGTCGTGCGTCACGAGGGCTTTGAATTTGCGACCCAGATCATGGCCTTGGATCCAATTGGTCATGTAGCCACCGTACGAGGCGCCCGCCTCGATGCCGTTGTCTGTGTCGATGTAGTCGAAGTTGGCGTCGACGTATTCCCAGCCCTTGACGATGTCGTCGTAGGGGGAGCCGCCCCAGTTGTTTTGGATGGCGTCCGTGAAGGCCTGGCCGAAGCCGGGCGAACCAGTCGGGTTGGGTGCCACGACTACGTAGCCTTGGTCGGCCCAGACTTTGAAATTCCACCGCGTAGACCATGCATTTGAGTGTGGGACCTGCGGGCCGCCGTGGATGATGTATGCAAGAGGGTAGGTCTGGTTGGGGTCAAAGTCGGCGGGGTAGATGATGTGGGATTGGATGTCGGTGAAGTTGCCGGGGTAGTAGAACTGCGAGTAATCCGCGGCGGAGAGGCCGGAAAGTTCCTCGTCGACTTCGTTGGAGTGGAATAGGTCTGTAACCAGCTCGCCCTCAGGAGAGATGGTATAGACGTCGCGCGACGACCAGACCTTGCTGTCAGAGATGAGTATGTTATCGTCGGGTAACACGTAGAAGGCGGCAATGGTGCCCAGATCGGTGATATTGGTGGGCTGGAAGTCTGCAGAAGCGGATAGGGGAATTCCAAAGAGGCGCCCCTGCCCGGCTTCGCTTGCGGTCACCCAGATAGCCTGACCGTCGTTTGCCCACTTTAGGTTGTCTGGTGTGCGGTCCCAGTCTTCGGCCAAGACCGTAATGTTGGGATCATCAAGATTCGCGTTGGCGACATAGAGCTTGTTACGATCTGACTCGTAGCCGTCGGTGTCCATTTGGAAATAGGCAATATATTGGCTGTCAGGCGAAAAGACAGGGACACTGCTGTAGCCCTTTGCGTTGGGAGGAGTGCTGCTACCGTCCAACGGGTTAATGGGCGCCGCTTCCGCAGAGCCATCGAATGGCTGAAGCCAGATGAAAGCCTGCGTGTGATTGGCCACGGGCCTATCGATATTGCGCGTCCACCAGGCTACCAACTGGCCGTCGGGAGAGATATCGTAGGTCTCTGGACCTCCCGTGGGAGAGTCTGGGGTGTCGGCACGAATAACGTTGCCGATACCCTGCTGGAGATTGGTCAGGTTGCCATCGAAGCTGAAGCTGTCACCATCGGCGGATAGGACGCCTGCAAAGAGGTTGTTGCGAGTCTCATCGAGCCAGGTGTCCCAGTGCCTGACCCAAGTTGTGGTATAGATTTGTGCGGTGGTCAACGGCTCGGGCACAAGCTCCGGGTTGTATGCGGTTCCGTTTGGATATGCTTTGCAATACATGAGGAAGTGGATGTCTCCGCTTTCAGTGAGCGCCAGCTTGAGGCCAGCGTAGGGAGCGGGAAGCGAGCCAAGGAGAGTGGCATCACTGAGTGAAGTCACATCGCCGGAGTAGATGCTAATGCCTCCATCTGCTTCCTCGTTGGTACCATTGACGTAGATGACAGCGGTGCTGGCATTCTCGCTGCCAGTCCACACGACTTCGGAGATCTCGCTGCCATCGGCCAGGTATGTGACTTCACCGCTGGTCAGGTTGAGTAGGTTCCACACCGCTGTGGACTCGTGGTCTTCCCACGAATAGTTTGTCGCAGAGAAGAGTCCCCATTCCTGCAGTTCTTAGTACGTGGTTTGGGCTGTTGGGTGTCCATGGACTTACACCCGTCGGGTTAGGAACGATCTCACTTCTCCGAGGAGCCGCGATCATGCCTCTGAATGAGAGTCAGCAACCATCGTAGCAAGGGTGTAGAGGACCTACTCTGGAGTAAGGGCTGTCACCAAAGGCAGCACAACGGCCGCAAGAGCGGACCACATGATTCCTGCCATGTTATTGGAATTAAATGCAACACGGGGGGAACGGTAGCAAGTCGGAAGGGACCGACCAGCAGACGGAGCTTCTTTTGAAGGAAAAAAGATAGCCGCTACGAACGAGCTGATGATAGCTCTATTCCAAAGCCCTCCATCAGCCGACTGCAGCTACCCTTGTGGTGGCCAGGGCACTGACATAGCGGGATACGCGATATCGTGCCATGATATCGTGCTCAGTGTTACATTGGCGGACTGCGTGTGCATGTTGCCTGCCGATCGAGGGTAAGCCGGTACGCTTGTTGTCTTGTTCGGTGGCGGCGTGGACCGATGTTCATGGGTAAGGCGGGGAAGTAAGCTCCAGGCACGACACTGTTATCAACCAAGAGATCGAAGCTTTGGCTCGGAGCAGGCCCAAATGATGCAAAGTCGCCCTTGGCACCTGCGCCGTCCCGCTCGGTTGCAGTGCAAGCTTCCTTTGCAGGCATGGCGGCTCCTGAGCCAAGACTTGCACATGAACTTAGCCGGTGAAGGGTTACACTGGCATTTCGCCCCGCGGACTGTGAGCGGGCAGCATTCACGAGGCCAAGCCGGTTTATGCCTGAGATAACCGGGCAGGCAGGTCATCCGGAACGTGCTCGGATTTCGTTGTTGGCCGGTTCAGTCTCGAATTCGCAGAAGAAAGACATGTAAGCGTGAATGGTGAGGGCGAAGAGCGGAAATCTCGGGATCGTCCGATTACGGACGCCCACACAGTCCGGCAGGTGCAATGCCAAGACTTACTCTGGGCAGTGACGGCATTCGCGGCTCTGTCAGTCAGGTACAGGGAAATTTAGCAACAACAGTGCTGACGGCCTGATGTCTAGTGCACTTCCTAATCATGAATCCCACGCTAGATGCAACCCATGTCGCTGCAATCAACCAAATATCGGAGTTCCTTGCCTGCGCCCAAAGCAACTCATTGCTCCAGCATCCACCCGTCGATGTCATCGTCCTCTGCGGTAACTCCATCTTGCCCATCGCCGAGCATGTCTTCACAGCGTTGGAAGCGAATCCAGATCTGGCGCGGTATCTGGTGATATGTGGCGGCGTCGGGCACTCCACAGACTATCTTTACCGCGCTGTTGCTGCTCATCCGATGTACCGGTCTATCTCTAACACCACAGCCGATCTGCCAGAAGCTCAAGTGCTGCACGCCATCCTGGACAAATTCTACGCCTCTGCATCTATTACACAGACAGGGCTGAAAGTCCTGGTCGAAGACAAATCAACAAATTGTGGTGCCAATGCCATCGAAGCTCGCAAAACCCTCGATGCCGCCGGCGTGACGGACCCCAAGTCCATGGTCATTGTTCAAGACCCAACCATGTCAATAAGGACGCTCGCCGCCTTTCAGAAAGTCTACTCCGACCATGCAACACCTCCTCACTTCCAGACATGCCCTACCTTCGTCCCGAAAGTGAAGTTCGGTGAAGACGGTGAGCTCGATTTCGATGTGCCGGGGCTCAAATCCACAAGTCTCTGGCCCATGCCGCGCTTTCTGGACCTGGTCATGGGTGAGCTTCCCCGCCTTCGCGATAATGAGCATGGCTACGGCCCAAACGGCAAGGGGTTTATTGCCCATGTCGATATCCCCACGCACGTTGAAGATACGTTCAAGCAGCTCGAGTCTGCTCTGGCGAACAGGAGGTGAGCTGACTTTGACGAGCGTCCATTGTGTCGCGCCATGTGTCTGGGCCGCAGAGCTCTGCCCAGGTTACTGTAGCGAGCGAGGTTTTATGCAGCATTTGTAGCCCTTCAATCGCAACAGCCACGCCGAGCTGCGCCATACACCATCGTAAAGGCACGCTCTCATCACCGTAGGTGCGCGATCAGGTCACCATAGCCTCGTGGCTTCTTGTGAGTACAGCAAAATCGTCGTCTAGTCGCTAGGCGCAGGGACCACGAGGCCCCGGCAGCGTAACCATAGACCAGAGACGAGGCGTATTTTGGATAGATGCCGTAGAATGAAACAAGCAGGGCGAATAGATGAGCAGAAAGGATCGTTATACCACAAGTATAGACATGCTTGCTCCTGTAGGCTCTCGGCCGAGCTTGCACCTTGGTGCTTCGGATTCGTGCGCTGCTTTTTCCACCAACGTCTGCCCGTGACAGCGTCCGAGAGTAGCGTAGAGAGCGTACATAGATTTCTACCACCCGCCCAACTCTTGCTTGCTACGAGTTCCTCAGCAATATGGACCTCTCTGCTAAGAGTTGGTCCTGTACCCAATCCCCGTGCGCTGATTGGCTGCGCTATATAGATACTACAAATGACTTCGCCGACCTCCGCTGATGCCTTCGCACCACTTTCATACAGCCATGAGCATGAGGAGACTCCATGGAATTCACTTCGCTCGGGGCTGCTCACACGTTCCATAGATTGATATGCTGATATACGGACGTAAAGCCGACGATTGAGACGCCAGGCTACCGCTTCGCAACAGCCGCGACCGTACACTCGTACCAGGTCCTGTATCTACCGACACCCCAACACCGCAACACTCATCCAGGGAAGTAACAATCGTCGGCGCCGGCATCGCCGGCCTCTCAGTACGCCGCACGCCTCCCCCGCGCTCCACTGAAGCCCGCCTCTTGAACTAACCCTCCTTCCCTGACAACAGACCGCCCTAGCCCTCTCCCACAGCCCCCTAACGCCACCACCACGCATCACCCTCCTCGAATCTGCACCGCACCTCGCCGAGATCGGTGCCGGCATTCAACTGACCCCGCAGGCCGTCAAGTATCTCTTCTCCTTCGGCGTGCGGGACCGGCTGCTCGCGCGCTCCATCGTGCCGGGCGCCATGCACATCCGCGCGGGCAAGACGGGCGAGGTTTTGGGCTCCGTCGATGTGCCGGGGATGGAGCGCGAGTATGGGGCGCCGTATATCGTGGTGCATCGCGCCGTGTTGCATGCCATTTTGTGTGAGCGGTGTGCGGAGGTTGGGGTGCGGGTCAGGACGGGGTGTCAGGTTGTGGGGTATCGGTGGGCCGTGGGGGAGGTGGTGTTGAGGGGTGGAGAGGTCGTGAGGGGGAAGTTGGTCGTGGCGGCGGATGGGATTAATGGTGCGGCGAGGGCGAGTCTGTTGGGTGATGGGGAGGGGGAGACTGATGCGAGACCGACGGGTTGGGCGGCGTATCGGCTTATGGCGAGTGTGGAGCGGATGAGGGGGGAGGAGGCCTTGAAAGGGTTGTTGGAGGGGAGGGCTAGTCATCTATGGGTCGAGGATGGGGCGAGTTGCATGACGTACTTGGTCAAGGATGCAACCATGCTGAATATTGTGTTGAGTCATCGGGATGATAGGAATACTGAAGGCTATGGCCCGGAGGAGTATCGCGAGGCGGTAGACACATTAATGGCGCCGTTTGAGTCGAGGGTTCAGAAGTTGATGGATATCGCGAAGGATGGAAAAATCGTTAACTACCCAGTCTGGGCCGTGCCGAAGCTGGAGAGGTGGACGCATGAGAGTGGTAGAGGAGTTATCCTGGGCGATGGCGCACATGCTATGGCCTTCTGGCTGAGTATGGGAGTGAGTCTTGCGGTAGAGGATGGAGTGGCGTTGACGAAGGCATTGGAGCTGGCCTACAAGGACGTCGAGAATATTCAAGCGTTGTCAGATAATGAGAAAGGGACGCGGCTAAAAATGGCAGTGGCAGTCTTTGAGAAGGCTCGGAAGCCGAGGGCGGAGAAGGTGGCAGAGGCAAGTTTACATTCGGGCACAATATTGCATCTGCCTGAGGGAGCTGGGCGTGAGGTACGGGACGACAGTCTGAAATATTCGTCAATGGACTGGATTCCTCGCAACGAGGAGCCTGATGAACACCGGTATGCGTATGGCATCGCGAACAAGAAAATACGAGATTGGTGTTATGGTTTTGACGTAAAGGAGGACGTTCGGAGAAAATGGCAAGACCAAGTAGGATGAATATTGATAGAGCTTTTGCTTGTTCAGAATACAGTAATTAGAGTAAAGAAGCTAGCAGTGGTAGCCTGCCGGTTGGTCGTAATGGGGGACACTGTCCTGGAGTCACTAGAACGTCAGCTTGTGCCAAGATTTCACTACCTGCCTGAGACTGTCTGAGCAGAGCTCAGCGTCCTGCATCAGGCCTCGCTGACATCTGGAATCTTGATCTCACTCGTCCGGCGGACCATGTTCACCGAAGCCCCATGGTCGAAACTCCACTTCCGCCTCCTTGCGTTTGCTAGTCGGTAGGCTCTCGGATCCACGTCGAGGGCCTCGAGTAGAGCACGACAGACCTGGGCGGCGAACTTCTCGTCGTTGATATGATCTGGGAATTTTTCTACCTCGATGCCACTACCCTTCAGGTCTTCGTCAATAGCTTTGAACAACTCGGAATCAGCCTCTGTATCGTGGAAAGATTGACCGGGTGCATCGATCATGCTCACGCCACCAACCGGTAACAGCACCTTGATCTTGTCTGGATCTGATGCATGTGTTTTGAGCTGCGAAGCGATGAACTTGCCGATTTGGAGATTGTTCTCCTTGGTAGTCCGCATAAGAGTGACAGTTGGGTTGTGCTGGTATAAGTTGCGGTCGTTGTACTGCTCGGGGACTGACTCTCGGGGACCGAAGTTGATCATATCACATGCTAGATCTTGTCAGGCTAGCCATCAGTCAAATTCAACGCACTCACCTCCGACGGAGACAACCTGGGGAATACCCTTGCGCGCTCCTGCCTCGAGTCGGTCTGGCCCAGCAGTCAGAACGCCACCGAACAGCTCATCTGCGATCTCGGTGGTGGTCAAATCAATGACGGCATCAAGTTGCCCTTCATCGATCAAGCGCTCCATCGCCCGGCCGCCAGCACCCGTTGCGTGAAACACGTAAATTTCGAAGCCGTCGTCCTGATATGGTGGCGATGAGAGGATTCGTCGGATGTGGTCGACAGCCGGAGTAGTGACACCGAACATACTGACTCCAATGCGACGTCCTCCAGCTGTAGTAGATGGCGAAGTGGCTGTCAGAGACTTGGCATATGCGGCAGCCATGGCGGAGATAGCAGAAGCAGCATTCTGCAAGATTCGTTTGAGGATCGAATTAAGTCCGGCGATATCAACCACACTGTACATCATGGTGATGTCAGTCTCCTCAACGTATGGCTTGATGTCTCCCGAGGCCATTGTGGAGACCATGAGCTTTGGGAACCCCACGGGGCATGCTTTCCGCATGAGAGCACAGGCCAGCGAGGAACCGGTGCTACCGCCTGCTGAGACTATACCGTGAATCTGGCCCTTAGTGACCATCTCCTTGACCGGTTCAAGACATATTTCAATGGCTCTGTCGACATAATCGCCACGAGGTAGGTCGGCGAGGTCTTTCGAGTGGTCAAGACATGGCGCGACGACCTCCTCAGTCCATTCTGCATATCGTTGAGTGTTTTGGCTTGTGTGTGAGACGTCGAAAATAAGAGTCCCGCAACTGCCGGACCGCTGTATCTGCTCGCGGAGGTAGAGGATCTCGTCGAGCTTGGTGTCACAGGTCCCAATGATCAAAACTACTGGCTGAGACATGGCTGCCTTGGTTGCAGGGTCACCGTCATCCAGATCACATGAAGATCAATTGAAGGTCAATCCAAGAGATTAAGTGCTTATGTCCTGGTCGTGGAGCTCGACGTTGAGGTTGAGGTTGACGTTGACTGGCAACATTGCCATGACGGTAAGCTTGGTGGTCCAGGCAGGAATGCTTTCAGGATCACCACTGTCGTGATCGGTGATTGGCTCCCTCCCGTCTGCCCCGCTTCTGGTTTTCTAACCATGAATGTTCTAGTAGCAATTTGCTACGGTGGCCAGCGTGGCGCGCTAGGCAGCTGCCTCGACTGCCACTGCTTCCGTAGTCCAGTTCCGAGTTCAATCTGGATGTCACTTGTGATTGCTTCCAGCCTGGCTCATACGTGCGATTGTCCTCATAACGCCCTGCCATGTTGTGTGAGGGTCGTTTACTGCCTGAAGGTGGTGTGCACGATGTGGAAAGCAGCCTCCAAATGGTTTTGACAGGTTGTTGTTGCCATGTCTCCCTGGAACCGTCTTGAGGCAACGGTTCATGTAGTAGATCCGTGAAACTGCTCATATGACTTATTGGCCTCTCGAAGATGGGCAAACCCGTATAGACACTACATCACGATAGAGAAGGTCGTCCAGTAAGTGTTCGGAACAAACAGTTCTCGAAGTTGACCTCGACTGACCAAATCATGTCGTGGCGAGGAACGATAGCATGTAACCTCTACGGTCCGAGGGTTGGTACAGCTTCTATCTGATCGACGAGGTTTCCGCCTTGGCTTTCAGCAATTGCAACAACACCTGATCTCTTTTCTCTTTCAGTCCGACCCAATCCGCGGCGTCGAGCCATTTCGAAGATTCTTTTTTCAACACGGCCAGACTCTCATCGCTCCAATCAAATCGATGCTTCATCATATCCTGCTCCCAGGACCGAATGGACGGCCCAAGACGTTCAATCCGTTGCATGAACCCATCAGGTCCTCCTCCCCCACCAAGCGCATTCGTGACAATCGGCCCTGCTAGAGCCCACCGAAGCCCGGGACCTGAAGTCACGGCAGTATCAAGATCTTCGGCTGAGACGATCCCCCGACTAATGAGGCTGTATGCCTCATTGTTGATCGCGGCTTGGAGGCGATTAGCGACAAAGCCTGGGACTTCATGACGAAGCAAGATAGGCTTCTTCTCGAGAGATTTGTAGAAGTCCAAGGCAGTGGAGACGGAGGTAGTGCTGGTGCCCGCATGAGGGACGACTTCAACCAGAGGAACCAGATGCGGTGGGTTAAATGGATGACCAACAAGTATGCGACCTGGATCTCGTCGGCACTGCTGGATGAATCCAGATGAGGGAAGGCCGGAGGATGATGAGGCGATCACGACGCCAGGTCTCGCATACTGATCGAGCGTCTCCATGAGCTGTTTCTTGAAGTCTGCATTTTCTGGTCCGTTCTGGTGAGAAGAACTTTGATTAGTGACACTTTCGCAGCATCGGGATCAGATTGGGGAGTGCTCGCCGTACCTCCTGGACGAAGTCTGCGTAAGGCAACGCCTGCGCCAAGTCATCAATGAACTCAAAATTCTTCGCAAGTGTACTCTCGGTGGCTGTGTTTGCCTCCAGGGCAGGCCATGCATCTTGCAGATAGCGCTCGAAACCCTCCTTGGCTCCTGGCGCGGGATCCGAAATGATGACTTTCAAGCCCCTTGAGAGCAAGAGAGATGCCCAGCTCGCTCCAATGACTCCACAGCCAACAACAGCAACGGTTCGGACATCTGAAGACATTTTGAAAGCCATGGATTACAGACTTACTGTCGATATAGTGCCATGGATGCTGGCATCTAAACATCGCATTGTAGTGAACGAGCTCAAACTCAAACGTAAGATCCGAGGTAGAACTCTGGACTAAAATGGACAACTCCGGTTGCGACCAATTTACGTCGAGTGAAGAGAACCGTCTCCCTTTAGAGTAGTCCTCATAAACACCTGGTTGCCCTCGGAGAATACCACCTAGCACCATACCGATATCGGGCGTGGGTCATGCACTTCTCCGACTCATGGCACGCAACAGAAGCAGCATCTCTCCGTGGCGGTTCATATCAGCTTCGTATCCTTTACTGTCTAAGTAAGCCAGATTGACCATCATGACGAAGCCATGCGACCTAAGCGCTACTGAAGCACGGAGGCTGATCGGCCTGAAGAAACTCTCGCCCACAGACCTTCTAGAGTCCTGCATCGAACGTATCGAGGCAACTAATCCAGCTGTCAACGCGATCGTGACGACAGTATACGATAGCGCGCGCACTGACGCAAAAGCAGCCCACGATGCTGTGCAGGCCGGACAACCACTCGGCCTGCTTCATGGACTACCCGTGGTCATCAAAGACCTGAATGCAACCAAGGGGATCCGCACCACCTTAGGCTCTCCGTTGTTTAAAGATAACGTGCCTGAACACGACGACAGCGTCGTCTCGCGTCTGCGCTCTCACGGCGCCATTATTCTCGGTAAGACCAACACGCCCGACTTTGGATGCGGGTCGAACACCAAGAATCCGCTCTTCGGCGCCACGTCGAATCCTTTCGACCTGACACGCACCAGCGGCGGCTCGTCAGGAGGCGCTGGCGCAGCCTTGGCTACTTGCATGGCGCCTCTTGCCAATGGCTCGGACTCGGGTGCCAGTATCAGAAACCCTGCAGCGTTCTGTGGCGTTGTGGGCATACGGCCTACACCGGGACTTGTGGCGTCGAAGCAGCGTCCCGTCGGCCTATCTCTCAACGGCGTGGAAGGTCCATTAGGCCGTTCCGTGGCAGATGTCGCGCTGCTGCTCTCGGCTCTCGCGGAGTACGACAGCATGGACATGCTCTCTCGTCCGGTTGACCCGTCGATCTTCCGCTCCCTGAAGCATGTCGATGTCTCCAGCTTGCGGGTGGCCTACAGCGAGGATCTCGATTTTGCCCCTGTTGACGCCGTTGTACGAGACACATTCAAAAAGAAGCTGCAGGTCATCTCTTCGAGCTTCGCAGCGTGTGATGCCGTGAATCCGGAGATGAAGGACGCTGAGTCTGCGTATTGGGGAGTCCGTGGGCTACACCTTCTTGCAGGCTCGAGAAAGCTGTATGATCAGCACCCGCAAGAGATCAGCTCGAATCTTCGCGAGAACATTGAGAGCGTCAAAGATCTCACCGCGCAGGACATGGCCAATGCACTAGTCCAGCAGACTCAGACGTATCAGAAGTTCCAAGCCCTGTTCGACCAGTACGATGTGCTTATCACGCCGGTCGCCAACGTTCTGCCGTTCCCTCATCAGCAGCTGTACCCAGAACAGCTCGAAGGGAGGCCGGCTCGCCACTATGCCGAGTGGTTCAGCTTATGTTATGGTATATCACTCGTCGGCCATCCGGCGCTCTCGATCCCAGCCGGTCTGGACCCACAAGGAACACCATTCGGTCTACAAGTCGTCGGGCCTCGCTTCGCGGACCATCGTCTACTGGAGATCGGACAAGCATTGGAATTCCTCTTCGCCTCGTTTCCCGAGCTACGTCGACCAGTCCCAGACGTCGAGGTGCTGTCGGCGATGACGAAGGGCACGACTTAGACAACAGGAGTAGCTAGCTAATAGGGTACGATAATGAGTCATGAATTACGAATCTTGACGGGGTATCAGCAAGCTCCAGGGCGCGTATTTCGTTTGTGATGCTGGGCTAGAGTACAGCTTGGCGAATACTAGACTTGACGTCCACCTTATGCCGATCCATGGGGCTATTATCAATGATCTCGTGCCCCTAAATTCCGGCGCAAAGCTCTTGGCAATAACGAGCTCGAAGTGTGCCATACTCTACACTCCATGTTTGAAAACGCGTCTGCGAACCAGGCGCGGTCTCGTTCTCGGCTGTCGCCAAGGACGGTCCTTGACTCCAGCCACCTCCATAGCGCCAGGCTCGACAGGGATCCGGATACGAGAAGATGATTGATCTCAAAGTTGAGGCACAATAGGCGCGACGGCAAGAACTATTGGTCGGGTAGGAGCCTTGTCGCTCTGCATCACGACAGACTATCATGCTGCAGGTGGGTATACTTATATTATGCTGTACATGGTCTGTGTGTGAAGCCATATCAGACGCCGACTGCAATGCACAGCTTCCCACATCCACTCGGAAATACCTGCACATTAACCCTAGTCCCAAGACCACGATTATGAACGAGCTTTGTCAAGCTCACAACGCCAAAACGAGCACACCGAAGGCGCCCACCACCGCGGCGCCAACCTTTGCAACAGCGACGTCCAAGCTGCCCGCACCGCTGGACGAATCGCTGCTGACGTTGCTGCTGCTTCCGCTGTCGCTGTCGCTGCTGCTGCTACCAGACGAGCTCGAGCCCGAAAAGTTGTTCGACGTGCTGGAGGTAAGGCTGCCGGTTGATGTCGTCGAACTGAAGAACCCGGATGTCAAGGCGCTCGACGACAGGCCGGATCCAGAGCTGCCGCTGCTGCCAGAGGAGGAGCTTCCTCCAGTGGGCGTGGAGCCGTCTGGGCAGGTGTCGTACTGTGGGTCTGCGGTGTGTGTTAGCATTGGTGCGAATCTTGCAAATGTGTGAAAAAGGCCCAGGGGGGACCATGCAAGGGACTCACCATTGGGATTGTAGCAGTGCACATCGTCACCGCAGTCCAGGTATCCAGCGCCGAAGCAGCCCACGCACGTGGCGCCCTTCTCGCTGCAGAAATCCGAGTCGCCTGCCGAGCCGGTGGAGGTCGGGTATGAGGAAGTGTAGGTGTCGGTGGAGGCGCTAGCGCTGTCGCTTCCACTGGAGCTCGAGTAGGGGCACGAGTCGAGGCCATAGTCGGCATCACCAGGCTTGTAGCAGAAGATGGAAGACGACGGGCAGAGCGTGTAGCCGGAACCGAAACACTGGGCGCATGTCCCAGAGCATGTGTCGCGCTCCTCGAGGCTGCGTGCCACCAACTGTGGGGGACTATTGCCGGTGGGTACTCGGCTGAGTGCGGAGGAGAGAGCGAGCAGTGAGGAGACGGCGAGGACGGTGTTGAAGTGAACCATGATGGCGGAAGTCAATGAGGGTCTGGAGAGTCGAAGGGCGAAACGAGTGACTGTTCAGCGGGAGAAGTGATGTGCAGGAAACATTTTCCCGCTCGTCAAGGGGGTTCCCTTTTCTATATCACTCTTCCGGTCACCATCCAGGGGAACTAGATCGTAAAGGGCAGGGCAACATGGACAGAAACTCGACGGGGTCAACCTTGAAGGGTGCCTGGCGTCGGTTCCTGGCAAAAGGGTGCGAATGCGCCATGCGCGCCGCGCCGCGGGCTGCTGTGCAGCTGTGCGGGAACCGGTGTGGTGTGTGGTGTTGTAAAATGGCCGTGAACTGCCAATCCGCGATCGGAGAGACAGCCACCACTTTGGCTTGCAGAGTGTTCAAAGTATTAGCGGCATCCTTGCCAAGAAGGCGGTCCCTTGGATCTGCTTTCAGACCAACAGACCGGCAACGAGGTGAAAGGGCCTGGGACCATTTCCACCAGTAGCGTGGGAGGGAGAGGCCATGGTGCCAACTGGCAAGCCTCGTCGCGTGCATGAAAGCAATCTCATAGCGGGCGATCCTCGCTAAGCAGAGGCTTTGGCGTGCCACAAGCTTCTCAGGCTGATTGCTTGGTGAACTTGGGGGCCGTTTGACCAACGGAGCGGAAATCTCTCGTTGCCCTTGGAAGACTTTCGATTGCGCCGGAATGACAGGTGTGTCGTTGGTCTCTCAGTTCACGACACGCAGACAATAATTGAGATTCAGACTGCCCACAACGCAGGCAAGAGGACGCTGACAGGGGAGATTGCAGCGAGGCCGGGCACCCATCACCTAGCAGCCAAGATTTAGGGAGCTTGTCTAGGTTTGCCGGTACCTGAAGCCCTGCAGCATCGCCAATCGCAGGGCTGAGATTTTACGACGTGTTCGGCTCTTTTGTGCTGTCATCCCAGTTTCAATTTATTTTGGGGTCCAGGACCTTAGGGGCCCACCCCCTCTCGCAGGGCTAGCTTAGTCACCGGTCGACAATTCGAAACATATTGACATCCCAAAGTCCCAAGGCAGATTTTGCGCGCCGGCCAGCTGCATGATGGGGCCTTTCCCGCCGGACAAGTCCGGTTTGAGTGCACCCGTCGGACTCTGCAAGATGTAGGTGGGAGAAAGAAGATATTGCTTCTCGTAGAACCAAGGCTGCCTCAGGCGTTGAACTTGATCCCCTTGAAGTCTTTGGTGATGTTTGTGATCGCGAGTTCGACCGGCAGACGCTCCATGCTGCTCGCCCCAAAGAAGCCGTGGACACCGTTGGTGTGGCTCACTACGTACTCGGCATCTTTTGGCTCTGCTATTGGCCCGCCGTGGCAGAGGATGAGGACCTCGGAATTGATCTTCAGTGCGGCGTCCGTCATCTCTTGAATCAGGTCGACGCATTCGTCGAGCGTCTTGCCCGTCTTCGCACCAATGCTACCCGATGTAGTCAGGCCCATGTGGCACACAAGGAAGTCCGCACCGGCCTTGGTCATTCGCTCAGCCTCGTCAACGTTGAAAACGTAAGGTGTGGTGAGTATGTCCAATTTGTGGGCCTCGGCAATCATCTCGACCTCTTTGTCGTAGCCCATGCCAGTTTCTTCAAGATTAGCCCGGAACGTCCCATCGATGAGACCGACCGTAGGGAAGTTCTGCACGCCAGAAAAGCCCATCTCCTTGAGCTGCTTGAGGAATTTCGGCATGAGTCGGAACGGGTCCGTGCCGCAAACGCCCGCTAGAACCGGTGTCTTCTGCACCACGGGCAGAACTTCTGACGCCATATCGACGACCACAGCATTGGCATCGCCGTAGGGCATGAGACCTGCAAGACTGCCTCGACCTGCCATTCGGAAGCGTCCAGAGTTATAGATGATGATTAGATCCGCACCGCCGGCTTCGATGAACTTGGCCGATAGCCCGGTACCCGCCCCAGCTCCGATGATGGGCTTGCCATCCTTGACCTGGTTCCGAAGTTGAGCGAGCAACTCTGTACGCGACTGGGCAGACATGATGTTGAAGGTCGTGCTGAATGAATGCTAGAAGCAGGAAGATGCGAGGACCCAGGACTCGCAGAACACGTCACTCTACTTTGTGGTGAAGCCAGGCGGGGTTGCACCATTGGGCTCTGTGCGCTACTGTACTACTGCCTCCCTCCAATATTATATCAGCAGCACACCGTCGAGCATCGATGCTAGGGTCAAGTTCTGCCACGATGTGCCAGAGTCAGATGTTTTGCTTCGATTCGACCAGACTTTTTCAACGACCTCGATCAGATGGCTAACTGTTGCTACAGCTTTGAGGCCGTCCATGGCTCGAAAGATACGCCTGATCGAATCGACCTCCTCTTGCGTGTACGTTGCGCAACCCGTGACGCAAATGGGCCATGCCAGTGCTCTGAGCCATGCCGGGACCGTGGAAGTATCTTGATCGCAGAGATCGATAAGCAAGCTGATCGTCTCGGAAATATTGGCACGCAGTTCAGGATGGCCAAGCTGCCAGCCCGAAACCGTGGTGTACAGGTAGGCTTTAGCGGCCCGCGCCCAAATGCGATTGACGGCGTTGATGATGCTGGGTGGAGTCGGAAGTACACCAGCCAGTCCGTCAATAATAGTTGCTGGTTCCGATGTTGTCTCGGTGCGGGCTGTGTCCAGCCGGTCGATGATATGCTGCAGACGCACTTCTAGATCTGCTCCTCGTCTAACAAGCTCTGGCATCGAAAGCCATTGGCGAGCGGTCTGCATCCGCTTCCATTCGGCAAGGGCAGCAATATCGGCTATCATCACAAGTATCAAGTTCTCCACCCCGAAAAACAGGAGAAGATTCAGCTTCGGCGATTCAACACGTGTAAGTTCGGCAGGGCTGCACAGAATGTGGGCAAAGTGCGGTCGAAGTATCGGGGCTCGCTCTAGTGCAGTAGACGCGACGACGTCAGAAAAGACGAGCACTGCGGTGTAGAAGCGATACGAGGCCTGAGGAGGAGTCCATAAAGGTGGGTGAGGATTCTCATAGCTGACTGTTACGCTCAGCTGTTCCACCACCTTGCTCAAGCCGGTATCCGGGCCCTCGCCGAAAGAGTGATCCTCGATTATCTGGCTGGACAGCGAGACAGCCGCATCCAGGTGGGGTTTCCAGTTGTTCGTGCCAACATAAGTCTCGACTGTAAGCAGTTGAACAGTGTTCGCCAGAACCCGTGATTTCTCCAGGGCGTCCTGGCCCAGGGCACTGATTCTAACGGCCTGCAGGTCACGTTGTGCACTCTGTAGCGCGATCTCAGTCTGACGCTGTAGTAAATTGCCATCTAAGGCACCGCATACAGATTCAGTGGACCCTGGAATGACCTGCATGGTACCGAAACAGTAGGTGGCCAGTGCCACAATGACGTGACGAAGGCAGTCGTGACTTAAGGCGATGGGCAGTATCCAGCAACGACCCCCTTCCAGCACACTTGGGCGGTGAAAAGGGTAAAGAATGGGATGGATATGGTCTATATAACTCATGAGCATGACATGCTCCAGGATAAAGTGTGGATCCGAAAGATTGTGTGAGCGAGCCCTTGAATCAGGCGATAGCTGGGTCGAGAAGCCAGCACCTGAAACTGTGCTGCTGCTGGAAGGCTGTGACTCAGTCCACGCCTGCCGTCGACCACGATCGGAGCCGACATCTGCAATCAACTCTGGTGTGGTCGATGATGGCGAGGCAGGCCGGATGGACAGCGCGACAGACTCGTCACTCTGGCCGTCGCCACCAAGTTCGTGAATAAAGCCTTGGAGCTTGGCTCCTGTCCGACGGCGATTAGCAATCAACTTGATTTTCGCCTTAACATCGGCAGCTTTGCGCTTCTGCCTGCTGCCATTGTCCATCCAGTCCGGCTTGGTCGGCTCAAAGTAGCATTCGATGCCCAGAGCACGGCAGCACTGGCATTCGGGGGCCGCGCCATCGCACTTCTTGCGGCGTAGGCGGCAGGTCCAACAGCCGTTCGACCGGCCCAAATTTGGCATCGAGCAATTCTGGTGAGAGCAATTCCGGGTAGTTCTCAGTGTTCGATCGGATGATCGGTGGAGTGTGAATAAGACAAGAGTGAGTTGCGCGCGGACAGTTTTGCGCGCGCAACTTTGTCTTGGCTTCGATAGGGCGCGAAGATCGTGATTGGCTTGCATGTGAGAAGCGAAACGAATGCAGACGAGTATCTGCAGGCATTCTCAAACAGGGCACTAGACTACGAAGGCCGCTGAATTTCTCGTATATGGAGGACTCAGGATGGATGTTTCTTCTTCGATCACATCACTTAGCTTGGACTTCCCTTTGTATCAAGACTTCCCACCATCAAATTGTTTTGTCGAACATGGCCGGCTCTAAGATTCTTGTTCTTGGAGCAACAGGGCCAACCGGCATCAACGTCCTCCGCGAGCTCATTCATCGAAAGTTGTCGGCAGTGGTCTACGCTCGAACTCCATCGAAAATCCCTCCAGAACTACAATCGAGTCCCTACATTGAGGTATCATTATAATCCGTCTCCCGAAGGCTGGAAATGCAACGAATAACCTTGTGAAACAGATTATTCAAGGGGAATTCAGAGCCTCAGATGAGCCGGCTCTTTCTCGCGCGATAGCTCAGTGCTATGCCGTGATTTCGCTCATCGGCCCTGTATTAGGGGAAGTAAGAAGCTACACCCCAACCTTTTTCGCCGATATCTACACTCAACAAGTGCTTCCATTGATGATACAACACTCGGTTCCTAGGATCCTGGCCATGAGCACAGTCTCCGTCTACAGACAAGAGGACTCATTTTCGTTCCTGCGATGGCTGAATTCACTCGTGATCCGCCTATTGTTTAGCACGGCTCAGAAAAACATGTTTGCCGTCGAAGCTGCGTTCGACAATGACAAGCAGGCTCATGAGTTGGACTGGACTGTATATAGAATGGTCATAGTCCTGGGCGGCTGTGATGAGCAGAGTTGGCAGAAGGATAGGGCTGCCGGCGAGATGTATGCTGGCCCAGTTGGGGCCAAAGGTTTCAGTCTGCTTTCAAGAAGAGGACAGCTGGCGCGTTGGCTCGTGGACGCTGCCTTGGATAAGAATGGACAGTGGTCGCAAAAGATGCCTGCCGTGAGTCGCGTGGCTGGCGGCAAGAGCAGCAAGGCAGCTTGAATGCGACTCATGGCTTGTCGGGCTTGGGCGCAGATCCTGATCTTCCCAAGCGACAACATAAGAGCAAATGCCTGTCTCGTTAGAACAGCCAACACTGTAGCTCAATCCGATGATTATGACGATGATGTTCCACGATGTTCCACGATGTTGCCGCAGCAGCGTCCCCTGCATACACCTCTCCCCGCCTCTCGCGGAAGTTATAGCAAGAGCCTGCCAAGACTTTTACTGCCTGTAGGGGATTGTGGACTGCTTCAGATTCCGCTCAAGGATATCCCGTTTGGAAGTTGTCCAGGGTAGAGTTGTTGAAACCAAAGAGAAGGTCATCGAACGTGAAGTCCACGTTCCCCATCCAGCCCTGTCCAGCTGTATCTCCTGCGAAGACAGTCGGAGGGGGACCAGTAAAGCCGGCCTGATATTGGGCACTTTCTGTGGCATCTGCCTGCGCCAAGCCAGCACTTGCGCCTTGCGGCTGATCTTGCTCTCGTGCAAAGCTCTGAATGATAGCGTCCACATCCATGGTTGGCGAGAAGCCTTGTTGCCAGCTCGGATCATTGTGGCCATAATACTGCTGCTCTGCATTTGCTGGGAGTGCTGCCGGCGTGCGACTTTGCTGTGCTTCAGCGTTGGTAATTTCTAAAGCACCAGTGGTTTCCGGCAGCTCCACGTTGAGCTTCCGTGCCAGACTCTCCACGATCGTCTTGGCGCGCCTGGCGGCCCAATTCGTCTCTTGATTGATGCGGAAGACCTCCAGGCATGTAGCGAGCGATTTGTGTGCGTCGGAGCCAAGTGACCGCTTGGCAGCTATGCGAATGTGGATGGTGGAGGACACATAGGTTGCATAAGCGATGAGGTAAGGTGCGCGTCGGATTGAGAAGGCCTCGTGGTATAGTCGCAGGATTTGTACGATGGCTGTGGCTGCATTGGCACACACAAGGAGAGAGTTGACGGTGATTGAGCGCGCGTTGCTGTGGAGGTGTCCGTCGGAAACAAATGGTCGATGAAGCAGGATGAGCAGAACGTTGTACATCGCCCTGCAATAAAGTCAGACACAGAAGATAGTAACAAGCAACAACCACTGACATGAGGGACAGCACGTGTGGCGGTGGTATAACAGGCGGTGGCTTCGAGGGTTCGAGCTTCAGGTGTTGGGGCAGCTGACCATACCAGTCTCGTAGCCGAGAGTCGAGTTTCTTCTGAAGCTCGGACAGTTCGTCTGGTGACTTATCGAAGGTGGCTTCGGCGTAGATGTTGTTAAGAATGCCGTTCATGATGACGGACAACTGGCATAGGCCGGTGAAGGTGCTAACACTGTAGGCCGGGCTCCCAGGATAGAATTCTTGGGCGGTCCGATCGTATGCAAATGGCATCCAATGTTCGTACTCTTCGTAGGTATCGAGAAAGGATATCGGGACCCGAGTGTCACTTTCCTGGAGTGAAACAGGACGCCCTTGATACAAGCTCTGCATTTTGTCGACCACTATGTACTGTCAGTAAGGTCGTGCGTCTAAATGTCTGCTCACCGAGCTCACCAAATGCTCCCCAGAACACCCGCCTCCTAATCTCCAAGTCCTCGTCAGAGAGCCGGATGGTGCCTTGCAGAGCTGAGGTATCAGCATGAATCCCCAAATCAATCAACATCCTAAATGCAATCCCAGCATACAGCCAGGCGGCGCTTCTTTCATCACCAAGCGCGAATAACGATTGTGCCATGACCAACAGCGCCTGTATAGTGGTAATCTCACTCGAGTCGAGCGCGCTTCCCAGGAGCTCTTTCACCCGCTGTCTGTATTTCCAGCCGGCTGTTCGCACTTGTTCAGGATCCTTCCGTACCTCAAGCCGGGGACTGAATTTCGACGCGCCAAAATAGATCGCGTTCAGCAGGATCTTAGAGAAGTAAGGACCATTACATGCCATATCCCGCATGAAGGCTGGCCGATAAGTGATGCAGAATGAATGGTGCTGTCTGTTCCAATGGAGGTTCAGCAGGTGCATACCCAGCTCTGGTTCCACGCCATCGAAGTCGAGAGCTCCTTGCTGAAACTTCATTGTCTCGAGCTGCCGTTGCTGAGCAGCCTCCGCAACGAGAGCCTTTTGCACCCAGTCCAATGGCATGCGCGGACCTTGATTGGCCGGCACACGAGGCTCTTGAACATTGTCCTCAAACAAGGCGCTGGTGCGGCCGTGGTAGCTAGAAATGCCATTGGGAGAGAATACGATTCTCGATATAGATCGCTGCTGCTCGACAGGTGACTCAGGTGGCGGCAGTCCAGGTCCTAATGCCACAATATTGCCATCAATTCCAGCAGGACCTAGTCCAGACTGACTGTCGTCTGACCTTGCGCTCTTCCGCTGCTTGGCCTGAACCCGTGAAGGTCTTGGCCGGCTTTTCAGCCTCTCAACCTCATCAACAGGCTCGAAGACACATGTCTTACCGTACTGTCGGCAGTTGGAACATACCGGTCGTTCATTGTTGCACCGGATCTTTCGCCTTCGACAGAACGCACATGCCTCTGACACCCGTCTCCGTGGGGCACCAGATGCTGTGGTCGCGTGTGGCAAGTTGGTTCTCATCAAGGTACCCGTGGCTGAAGCACCTGGACCTTGTTGTAGCCAACAGTGGCTGCGCCCGCGGCAATATCTACGGGCACAAGCAAGCTTGGGAACGCATTGAGAAGACCCAACGGGTGTGATGAGAAAGAAAACGAAGCTGGATTATCCGCGGGACGACCGGGTGTCATGGTCTGTTGGAGAAACGGCAGGGGTCGACCGCGTACCCGACGGGTACTATCTTGGCGTGCGGTGCTGCCGGAGCATTGAAGACCCAGCGGCAACCCCCATCCGCCTTGGCGAGATGATATCCCCGGTCGCAGTCTGGCGGAATGCTTCACGGGTACGTGACAAGCGAGTCGCGGTATCTTGACATGAGGAACTTACTACAAGCTCCTGATGGCGGCGAATGCCCGAGCATGCCTGCCGAAGCCACCCCAATATCGCTCCACAACGGGGGCGGGATGAGCCTGTACTGTACCCGGGGTAACTACAAAGACCGGGGTTAGAGAGGTCTGACTGCCAATACGCCGTGGCAAAGATATTTTGATCGTCTTCAGGGAAAGATGCGTTGTGTTCATGGCAAGACCACTCAGTAAAGCACTGTTCAAAGCCAATTCTGCCCGCCAGCGTGCAAGTCTCGCAACAGCAGCAAGTAGCAGCTTCGACCAGCCTGTTGCGACTCATAGTTGGCCTTCTTCAATCATAGCCACTATGGCAATTCCAGAACCGGCACCGAGCCAACGAATATGTCGGAGACACAAACTGCCAGCGTCGCTCATGCGTGCGGGCACATCCAGAGGCCTCTTCATTCACCGGAAATATCTGCCTGCCTCTCAAGACGATTGGAAGCCGTGGATTCTAGCCGCCATGGGGTCTAAGAACAACGATGCAAGGCAGATTGACGGTGTGGGTGGTGCCACTTCCACGACGTCGAAGGTATGCGTTGTTTCTCCTTCCACGAGGCCGGGTATCGACGTCGACTATACCTTTATACAAGTCGCCGTTGGAAAGGAAAGCCTAGATTTTAGCGGAAATTGTGGAAACATGGCTAGCGGTATTGGTCCTTTCGCAGTCGAAGAAGGGCTTGTCAAGGCGCAGCCTGGAAATCCGCAGCTCGACATTTCGATATACAACACCAATACTGGGAAACGGCTGATTGAGACCGTGGAGATCGATGAAGAGGGCCACTATTTCGACGAGGGTCAATACACAATGCCAGGAGTCAAGACACCGGGGAGCGAAGTCAAGGTCGCTTTCGTGGACCCTGCAGGAAGCATGAGCGGAGCATTGTTTCCAACTGGTCTTCGAGAGGAGCAATTGGTGGTTGCCAGTCCCCGAAACGGAGTGCTTCCTTTCCAGGTGTCGGTCAGCCTAGTGGATGCGGCCAACCCTTTCGTGCTGGTTGATTCACTCTCGATGCCTGGCGGACTCACTGTTGGCTCCGATACTTACCTAGACCTTGTCGAAGATATTCGGAGAGCAGGCGCAGTCCAGATGGGTCTGGCAACGGACATAGGTTCAGCGGCACAGGTGAAGGGCACACCGAAGCTTGCTTTTATATCCGCTGCTCAACCTTCTACGGATGGACATCGCCCAACCGACGTATTTGTTGCAGCGATGAGCATGCAGAAGCCTCACCCTAGTCTACAGCTGACTGGAGCTGTGTGCATTGGCGCGGCGGCCTGTATGCCAGGCACGGTAGTTTCCAAGGCGGCTGAAGGCAGTCAGCGACTGAGCGGTCTGCTAACACCAGATGGGTCTGAGGGTTCGGGCGCCGAGAGTGATGACTCTGGGAAAAGCGACTTGATCACTGAACGCAACGAATCTGGGTTATTTGGGCCGAATAAGCGGAAGATACGGCTTGCGCATGCAAGCGGCCAGATTGAGGTCGAAGTCAAGCTACGCATGGGCTCGGAGGGTGAGATGATGGTAGAGAGTTGTAGTGTCTCACGGACCGCACGCAAGATCTTCGATGGCCAAGTATTGATCAACCTATAGATGGCGTGTGAAGATAGATACCCGGTAGGTAGGTGTACAATTTGCATCAAACCACGCGTGTTCGCTGCTTGTCTTGGCGCCAAGCAAGATATTGACTCAACTTCGAAGTGTCTCAACGTTCGTTGAAGCGGAATACTCGGTCTCTACGGTCACGATCTCAATCATGGACCTGAGCATCATCCTAAGTAGAAGTTGTCTAGTTCTGGTACGCATGAGTCTCGCGCTGTTGCGTACTATGTTGCCGGCCACGGGTGAGCGGGCGTTGTTCGGACGGCTACCTAATTGAGCTCAACTCGGGATTTGGGTCTCTGCGGAATCAAGTCTTGTAAGCAATATTTTGACCGCTGGTGATCCGCGGGTACAGTACTCGCTGGCTAAGTCGCAGCACCTTTTCCCCTGAGGCTACTGATGGCACTAGGTCGTCCGCGCTCTTGTTCTTGGCGCGTACCTTGCAGCTCCAGCGGGTACGAAAGATGGCAGTACACGGCGCGTCGCGTGTGGATCTCTGGCGTCTTAATGGGAATCATACAAACTACCATGTCATTCTCACCACCAGCTAGGTTTGCGTTCCCTACAGCAGCATTTCCTAGTACCACACCATAGTCCACATCGCTGCTAGCACACGCAAAATGGCCACAGTAGCAATATCAAAGGCCGAAATTGCTCTTCCAGCATCACCAGTACCAATTACCTCGCAACAGAGTCGAAAAAAGCAACTGGTATCGCCAGGTCTATCACTTTTTGCTGGTGCCGTCGCTGGTGGAACTGAAGCAGCCATAACATACCCATTCGAATTCTCCAAGACGCGCGCGCAGCTACCAGATGTGGCTGGAGGTCGAAAACCAAACATTGTTTCTATCTTGGCAAAGGTCGTTCGAGAAGATGGCCCTCGAGCTATCTACACTGGCTGCTCGACCCTGATCATTGGGACTGCATTCAAGGCCTCGGTGCGATTCCTCACATTTGATTCTATCAAGAATCTCCTAGCCAATGACCAAGGTCAGCTGTCACCCATGAGAGGTGTCGCTGCGGGTATGGCGGCAGGTTGTGTGGAAAGCATAGTAGCAGTGACGCCGACTGAGCGCATCAAAACAATACTGATTGATGATGCGAGGGGTCAGCGACGTTTCCGCGGCGGACTACACGCCGCACGAACCCTGGTTCAAGAGCGAGGCTTCAGTGCTTTGTACCGAGGCCTTTTGTCGACCACAGCAAAGCAATCTGTGACGTCGGCAGTCCGCATGGGGACATACAACGTCTTGAAAGAAACTGGGAAGCGCTACGATCTTCGGCAGAACTCTGCCACAACATTCGCCAATGGCGCAGTGGCTGGCATTGTTTCTGTGTACGCCTCCCAGCCACTTGATACGATCAAAACTCGAGCACAGTCTGCAAGTGGTTCTAGCATTGCTGAGGCTGTAACCGGCATTATGAAAGACCGTGGTGTTACAGGATTCTGGAGTGGTAGCACGATGAGACTTGGCCGTTTAGTCCTGAGTGGTGGCATAGTCTTCAGTGTCTATGAAGCAGTCGTCGGTGTGTTCAAGCCACAATAGAATCCATTTCATGTAATGAGAAGCGTGGGAGGACTGAGCCATTGCGTTAGGCATGGTACTGATCTACCTTACCTTGTACCACAACACCTACGCTACCAAACGCGCAAGGCGTGGGTCTTAATCCGCCGCTACGGCAAGTCTTATCGCTTATACACTTTTGATAACGGGAGACAACTCGGAGGCTACACCGAAGCCACACTGAGGCCAAGACCGCTTGAGGCGGGTACCAACAGACCCTCCACCTGTACCCGTCGCGGCAAGACCTCCCGTGCGACGTTACGCCCCCTTCCCCAGATCAAGTGGCCCCAGATTTCAACCATGTGCGGGTGCCAGTCGCGAGGCTCCGCTCCCTTAGGTCGCTATCTTAGCGCATATCACCCGTCTCGGACCCGTGCTGAAAGTTGGAGGTGTTGGTTCACACCACCGTCTATGTATAAAAAAGCACGCGCCCACACCCGCCTTCCGATCAGAGGTCATCTCGCTTTCGCTTCGGGTCACGCGCAGCCTGTCGCATTGTCTCCAATTCTTGGGGTTCTAGTATTCCAAACGGAGACCCTCATCACCATGGCAGCCATAGATGAGAAGGCCAAGCCTACCGTGACCGGCACGGAGATTGAGGAGGCCGAAGTCACCGTTAACTACACCCCCGAGCAGATCCAGCATCGGTTCGAAACCCTGCGCGGCTTGAGCCAGGGGGAGATGGAGGCGCTCAACAAGAAAGTTCGCCGAACCATTGATTGGCGCCTCATGCCATGTATCACAATGATGTTCCTGATGAGGTACATGCCCTGTGCCAGGACCTAACGTTTCCTTTCGCTTCTCTAACACGATGCCAGCTATCTCGACCGCATTAACGTCTCCAACGCTCGTCTAGCCGGACTCCAGGAGGATCTTCACATGACCGACACGGTAAGCACCCTCTACCTAGTCTAGCGTGGCCCGGAAACTGACAATCGTAGGTCTGGAATGCAGGTATATCGACCTTCTACGTCGGCTACTTGATCGGCCAGCTCCCTGGAAACCTGCTCCTGGCGAAGACAGACCCCAAGTACTTCCTTCCTGGCATCATGTTGTGCTGGAGCGCAGGCACGATCTGTATGCCAGCCATGACCAACGGCGTCGGCTTCTGCGTTGCCAGGTTTTTCGTGGGCCTTACCGAGGCGCCGTTTTTCCCTGGCATTACCCTCAGTAGGTCTACCATGACACTGATGGCCTCAAGCACTATCTAACAAACCCAGTGACGTCCTCCTGGTACAACAAGGAAGAGAACCCAATCCGCATGGCCATCTGGCACGCCGGCAACACAATCTCCAACATCATCTCCGGCTTCCTCGCTGCCGGCATCCTCGAGCACATGGATGGCGTCAGCGGCCTTCATGCCTGGCAGTGGTTTTTCCTAATCGAAGGTATTGCCTCCATCGTTGTTGCCCTGGTCGCCTTCTTCGTGCTCCCATCGTGGCCACACAACACCAAGTTTCTCTCCGAGCAGGAGAAGGAGATGGCTCAATACCGCATCCTAGTCAGCAACGGAGGTCGTGAGGAGACTGTCGGCGGCACTTGGGACGGCCTCAAGGACGCTGTGAAGGACCCCTTCACCTGGCTGTTCTGCGGCATGCATTTTGCTCTGGTGACCGCGCAGAGCTTCAAGGATTTCTTTCCATCGGTGAGTATTATCCCTCCTGAGCCCTTGTGAACCCCCATGTTTCCGGCTTACTGACCTGGGGGCCACACAACAGATCGTCAAGACTTTTGGCTTCGACTCCATGACGACCTACCTCGTACAAGCGCCACCCTACGCAATCGCTTACATCTCGGCGTGCCTCATCGCCTGGTCGTCCGGGCACTTCCAGGAGTCTTTCTGGCACATCGTAATCCCCATCGGGCTCGCCGCCATTGGCTGCTCGGTCCTAATCTCGACGCTCAACGTCGGCGCTCGGTACTTTGGCATCATTCTCTTGATCTCGGGCACGTACAATGGTTTGAACCTGCAGCTGAGCTGGGAAACGACGCTAGTGCCTGCACCGCGCACCAAGAAGGCAGCCCTCATTGCAATCGCTAACTGTATCAGCCAGACGAGCCACTGGTTCAGCCCATACTTCTTCCCCACCAGCCAAGAGCCGTTCTATCGGCTAGGTGGCGGCCTGATTCTCGTGGGCTGTCTCTTGACCTTGGCGGTGTCACTGGGCATCGTCTGGCGCGCGAAGAAGCTGAATAAGAAGATGGATCTGCAGCAGGGATGGACTCCGGATTGCGGCTTTGAGAGAGGCTGGAGACATCGTACCTAGGAGCAAGAGAAATGGGATGAAGGGCAAGGTGCTCAGGCTCACGCGAGTAGCAAAACAGTTGTATAGCTCATGATACCCACGAATTTTCAAGTGACCATGAAACAGATTGCGACAGCTTGACCATTTGTGAGTACGAGCACCGTGTCCATGCAGCACGTCAAAGGTCTGCTACAGCTTCGCCTTCCCGTCCTGCTTCTCCTTATCCACTATCCTGACATCCTCAAACTCGACACCCAAAAACCGCCACATGTAGGCAAACCGATCACTTCCGAACAACGGTTCCTCCTCGCCCTTCTCGTTCCGTAACCAGAACCACGGCGCTCCAAACGCGCCAAGGTCCAGCGCCTTCTTGGTGTTGGCCGTCAGCTTCTCCTTGTACGGCGGCGTAGCCATCAGACGCATGATCTCCTTGACTTCCGCTGCGTCGAAATGCTCGCCGAGCATCTTCGCCAGGGCGTCGGGCTTGGAGATGTCGATGTGCTTGATGAAGCTGTACTCCCAGGTGGAGACGAAGCATTTCTCGAACGCTTCGTTGGAGTGGCGGTCCTTGACGACGAGCATGGCGCGCTGGGGGACGACGCTCAGGATGGGGAAGAACGGCGGTGAGGAGATCTTGGGCGTTTGGAACTGCTCAATGGCGCGCTTGAGGTCGTAAGGCCCGTATTTGGCTTTCGCGGGGAGGGTCCACGGTGGCTTGTTGCCGGAGCCGACGTTTATGCCGCCGAGGAACACCGGGTGGAATCTGTGAAGAGCACATGTCAACATTTGGAATCGCAACCAGAGGGTTGAGACGTACTCAACCTCGACGCCATATTGCTTCAAGAGCGGTCGCACCTTCCGTAGGTGTGTGATGGCAAAGTAGCTATAGGGTGACGCTGAAATGTGTCAACAGAGAGGCCGGATAACGGGGGGCCTCGTCGTCGTCCTCATGCTCTTGTCCAGATACTGAATTGGGGTGCGTACTGCAGTCAAGATATCCATCAACCTTCCCACCCATAGTGGGCTCTCTACAGCGCTTGCACAACGCAGCGGGGTCCCGATGTGGTATCTGGTCGACTCCAAGCAAAGTACGAGTATCTGTACTTTGGTTGAGATGATAGCGAAAAGACCGAGGTCGCTGCTGAGCTAAACCACTCAGACTCTATGCCTCGTGTGACGTGAGGCTAACTACCGGGCTAGTTGCTCGATCGGCTTCCTACCACTTGTGCACGCTGGCCTTCCTTTGCCGAGGCCTGAGCTACGCTGGTCGCTAGGTCGGTGATCAAACAGCAGTGACTTGGAGTTTGGACGAGGCGACGAGATTACTAAACGTGGACGCCTCGTTCGGGGGTGGAGCGAGTTACCGAGGCAGTGGGCTACGGCGAAGGGCAGAGAGCAATAGTGCCGTTCTGCTTGTCAACGTCCAGTAATCTGTAGACTTTCCAAAGCCTGGCTCGTAGATGCGATGGTTGATTTTCGTTTCACAAGACCTCTAGCGATGGCGACCCACCAGTGCAATTCTCTTCCTGACCTGAAGAAGTCAGGATAAAGCGTATTTTTGGGTTGTCTGAAGAGCGTCTGATTACCCCATTATCTAGGGCGGGTCTACCGCGAGGTCAATCTCTCCCTCGTGTACAGCGTTGCTTCGACGTGATACCAGTGAAGTACCAATCAGAATCAGAGGGTACAATTTGACTATGAGACGCTGCACCAGCCCGAGTGCCCATTTCAAGTGCAGGCCGGTGGAGCTTATGGGCTCTGGGCAAGCTTTCAGCTGAGGATGCATCGAACTCTCACCCACTCCGATGACTAGAACGTGTGTGTTGCTCCCACGTGCTGTGTGTTGAGCCTGTCCTCCGTGGGAAAAGGAGAAGCGGCACGCACCAAAGCAGATCGAGGGGTACGCTGCTGTGTTCAGGTCCTTTGTCACGCGTCGCGGTATAGATCGGCGGCAGAGGTTCCTTATGAACGGTTCGTTACCTTCGTCGAAGTCCCTTCTAGCTTCGACATTTATCCTACCCCGCAAACTCTCTATAGACCCTTACGAACTGTGTTGCTGCAACGTCGGTTCCGCAATCTTGCAGCCGTACATGAGTGGGCATTTGATGTCAGTATTACCAAGACCACGAAGAATGCAGTGTGGGTCCCAGAATGTGTTTCAAGTGATGGATGTACAAGCGCAACTTTCAGCTCTAGGTAACCTCGGCCTTTCAACTACCTCCTAGTCTGTTGATCGAGTTCCCGACTGACGCTGGATAATACGGGCTATAAATGCTCGAACTGGTCTGTGATGTCATTCGGGAACGCTCGTTCAATGACGCCAGATACGAACGAGGCGATTGCAGAGATGTGAGTCGGAACCTGTTTTCTCGACTGAGCGCCGCTCACAACATCAGCTGGCAGACAGAGACGACGGAGACAATACGGTCGAGCATCTTCGACTACCCCATCGAGCATGGCCGGCAGTACCACGCATACAAAGCTGGTTCCTACCACAGACCGAATGATGAGGTGAGATGTTTTTGCATGCGAGCCTGTTCCTGCTAATGACACCATAGGAGGAGCTCACCCGAATCGATCTCGTGACAGTAATCTTCAACCTCGTGAACAAGGGCAAAATGCATCACGTACCGCTAAATCCCTCTTCCAACCTGAGAATACTCGACATAGGCACAGGGACAGGAAGCTGGTGCATCGAGATGGGCGATGCTTACCCAGCAGCCGATATCACTGGCATTGACCTCAGCGCCAGCATGCCTGAATTGGTCCCGCCTAATGTGCAATTCGAGATCGACGACGCGGAAGACCCCTGGACGTATGATCAGCCCTTCGACTTCATCCACTCTCGGTACATGTTGGGCGCTATCAGGAATTGGCCGGGCATGGTGCGACAGTGCTTTGACAACCTCACGCCAGGAGGATACATCGAGCTTCAGGACTTCGACCTCGACTACTATTCTGTGGATGGTTCACTAACTCCGGATCATGCGCTGAAAAGGTGGCTGACGGCATCGTACGCCGCGGAAGAGATTACTGGGCGGACTCTCAGACCTGGAAGGCAACTGGAAGGGTGGTTGAAAGCAGCTGGTTTTGTGAACGTTCAAGTCATTCGAACTCCAATACCGCTCGGACCATGGCCGAAGGACGAACGTCAGAAGAGGATAGGTCTACTCAACTGGACTCAACTGTGGGAAGGCCTGCCAGGTCTCAGTTTACGGCTCTTCATTGACGTCCTTGGCTATACACGGGAAGAGCTTGAGATCCTGCTAATGGAAGTACGGAAAGATATGCAGTCGCCGAGTATTCACCCCATGTTTGATCTGTGAGTTCTCGTTGTCGCGGCGCAATCGGTAGTCGGCTGCTGACATGATGCAGGTTTACGGTATGGGGCCAGAAGCCTGAGGAGATGGGGATGCCAAAAAGGCTTTGATCAACTGCAGAACCTCTGCTCTATCCCTCTCACTTGCAAAGAAGCAGTGAAGTCTTTCGCTTACAAGCTACGCAGTCACATTGATGATCTTGGCTCTGCGGCAAACGAATCTCTATCACCAGTTGACATCCGGTGACTCACATGAACGATGAGGATCGACTTCTATCTCAGGCGATGCTACAATGAAAGGCACGGTCAGCCCGAACGCCTTCACATTCCCAGACCTACCAGTCGAGCTATACGCGCAATACCAAGGATTTTATCAAGGCTGTGATACTAAGTCCATGCTGCGTCTAACCCTTTGCGACGACCTCGACTTCAGAAGCCTCAGGGAGGTTCTTCCTGGGAAACTGTCTCACAGCGTTGTCCAAATTTGGATCGAAGATGAAGCTATTGTACGGAATCTAAGTCTCCCCAGCAAGGAGCTTCCAAACTTACGCGAAGTCATGGTTGCAAAAATCCATCTCGACCTCATGACGATACTTTAGAAGGCTGATTATGCGTTCTGGGCGGCGGTCTCCGACGATCTTGAAGCTAAGCTGCCGGAACACCAGATTCCACAGGTTGTCCTCGTGACTGGGGAGGTGTCCGTAACGTTCAATTGCTCGATCTGCAACGAATGTGACGAACAGAAGGTACGCTCTAGCCCCACTAGAGTCTGCAAACTGACCAAGCAGTATTTTTACATCGTCGATTACATGAAAGAGCGTGTGGTCCGCGACCTCTCCGACTACAGTAATGCTCCGAGGTTCTTAACCGTTGAGTAATATTACCCAGCATGCTTTGAAAGCACTTTCTGGAGTCGTACAAGGCGTTGATTGCGCACGAGAAAGCAGCGGTCATCGGCCACTGAGCGGCTTGCTAGCGCTGTAAGCCCTCGCACGTTTCCACGTTGCATGAATACATTCAAGAAACCCATCTTGTCTGATGCCGACATGCCTGAAGACAGTCACCATTGGCCTAGTAGAGCGGAAATCCGCAGATGGAAGCGTCCATGGTGCTTCGTAGGTAGCTGAATGAGACCATTGCCTGACTCATCGCTGCTTCGATAGATCGCTCGATAGTCTTACTATCGTTCAAACGTAGCGTTGCACACCACAACCTTGATGCTTGCCGACTTTGAGGGACTTTGTTATACTGAACTACGTTATGCCGATTGTATTGACATTGATGGTTGGCAACTACTGAAGTACTTATCACAGATGCTGAGTAGCCTCCATATGATGTTGTACGGCGGCCTAAGAAACAGTCTCGCCTTCAGGCAGTGAAAGCTCGGCAAGGGGGTTGCACAACGGCGAGCGGTAGGAACAATTCCGCAAGTTCCAAAGCCGCGAACGCTGCGGCAGCGCGAAGTCTCGGAAATGGTCGGGAAAAGCTATGGCGATATCCACGCTTGGAAACAAAACTGGTCTGATTGGAGACCGCCGACTAACCTGTGGACATTCATTGCTGTCGGTGTTGTTGGTGTCGTCGAGAGATGGACTGACGTTGACGAGGAATTGACGACCGCATTCGTCATCTGTCAACCGTGTCTTCTTTGTGCACGCCCCGTGTGAGGTGTTCATCAAATGCCGTTACCGCATTTGGCCCGCTATGAAACGCGGTTCCTGCGTCTTTCGAGATCCCTTCAACTGTCGGTCCCCTGCACGCGATCGATAACCTACATAGCTGGCTGCGCTGCTGCACGGAATGTGCTGAGACGACAACCACTACCCTCGCTTTCAAGACAGCCTACGGTCGTCAGTCGCACCGCCCCCCTTGCTATAATGGCCAGAATTCAAAAGCGCGAGCATGCGGGACATGCTCATGGACATGGACACAGTCATGGACACGGAAATACCTATCTCACATCGTCAAACAAAAATGATGCTGGCGTCAAGATTACTCGAATTGGTCTCTTTGTCAATCTGGCTATGGCCATTGGGAAGGGGGTGGGAGGATACGCCTTCCATTCGCAAGCATTGATTGCAGATGGCTTCCATGCCTTGACCGACCTCGTCTCCGACTTCATGACCCTCGCCACGATCTCCTGGTCTCTACGGCCCCCGACCGATCGCTTCCCTACTGGCTTCGGCAAAATTGAGAGTCTGGGTGCGCTGGGAGTTAGTGGACTACTTCTTTTCGGTGGAATCGGTATGGGGTTGAATGGCATTGACACACTTTACACCCAATTCATGGTCGACCATACGCACGAAGCACATGAACACTCTCATGGTCTGTTTAGCTTTCTGGGGCACAATCATAGTCATGGCGCCGGCCTACCCGACCTCAACGCAGCTTGGTTAGCCGCAGGTTCCATTGTGGTTAAAGAGTGGCTGTATCGAACGAGTGAGTCTACATCGCCCCGAATGTATGCTTCGTGAACTGACAGGGTGCAGCAATGAAAATCGCCAAAGAAAGAAAGTCCTCGGTCCTTGCTTCCAATGCCATCCATCATCGTATCGACTCACTCACCAGTATCGTCGCTCTGGCCACCATTGGCGGCGCTCATCTCATACACGATGCCTCCTGGCTGGATCCCGTTGGTGGTCTCCTCATTGCCGGTATGGTCATAAGAGCTGGCTGGGGCAACACCGTGAACGCGCTACTCGAATTGGGAGATGTCACGGTTGAAGATGAAATCAAAAAGAAGGTAGAGCGTGCTGCAACCAAAGCTCTCAAAGGCGACGAGACGAAAGGAATCGCAGCTGTCGAGAACGGCTCTCAGGTCGAAATCCGAGATGTTCAAGGCATCAAATCAGGCCAGAATTACCTGATCGATATCGAGCTTGTCGCACCAAGCACGTTCAACCTGCAGCAGCTCAATCTAATCGAAGATGCTGTTCGCGAAAGAGCCGGCGCAAAGGTCCGAGGTGTGCGTCGTGTACGCGTCAAGTTTGTTTCGTCTGAAAATGCGGGAAACTTGATCAGCGATTTCATCCCGCCCGATGTTAGTCCAAGAAGCAGTCCTGAGCCTGAAGACGAGCACAACCACACCAACGGCCACGCCAACGGACACACGCACGATCACAAAAAGCACAGCTAGGCATTTCCTGGTGAAGCAAACAGGAACACATGCCCGAGAGGTTGGCTCCAATTATATCAGGCTGATATCATATGCCCCGCTCACGAAAGCCTTGAGTGGCCACACCGGCGTTTTACTCCGCTCGGACAGCTCCTCACTTCTCATCATTCTAACATCACTCTGCTTCTCGCCAAAATATTTGAGGTGTAGTGGGAGGCTACCGAATGTCGATCTCCTCCAACTTACCCAAGGAACACTTCTCAACGCTGTACAAAATGTCCGGTCCGCTGTATATAGGAACAGATCTTTCCACCCAACAACTCAAGGCGCTGGTGGTTGACTCCTCTCTCAAGAAGGTGTACGAGGCCAAGTTTGACTTTGACGCCGATGCGACGGGCTATGAGATCAAGAAGGGTGTCATGACCAATGAGGCGGAGGGCGAGGTGTACGCGCCAGTTGCTTTATGGCTTCAGGCCATGGACACCGTTCTGGCGAGGTTGAAGGATGCCGGACTGGACTTCTCGCGTGTGAAAGGTATCAGTGGTGCTGGAATGCAGCATGGCAGTGTTTTCTGGAACGCGCAAGCCGAGAAAATGTTAGGCAGTCTGGACCCTTCCCAGGGCTTGGAAAAACAGTTGCAGGATGCTTTTGCCCACCCATTTAGCCCCAACTGGCAAGACGCGAGTACTCAGAAGGAATGCGATGAGTTTGATGCCGTGCTAGGCGACGAAACGGAACTGGCTAAAGTCACCGGCAGCAAAGCTCATCATCGGTTCACCGGCCCGCAGATTCTCAGATATACCCGCAAGCATCCAGAAGCGTACAAAAAGACGCATCGCATTACCCTTGTATCCTCATGGTTGGCGACGATCTTTCGTGGCAAGTTCGCACCATTCGACATTTCAGATGTATGCGGCATGAACCTGTGGGATATCCCCAATGGACGATGGCATCCAAAGTTGTTGCAGCTCGCATCTGGCCAGTTTCCCGTGGACGAGCTCCGGCCCAAGCTAGGTGACGTACCAGAAGATGGCGGCGCTCATTTGGGCTCCATCTCGAAGTACTTCGTCGACAGGTACGGCTTCAGTTCGGACTGCGAGATCATTGCCTCAACAGGCGACAACCCATCCACCATCCTAGCTCTGCCCCTTCGACAGAACGACGCTCTCGTATCTCTTGGTACATCGACCACGTTCCTGATGTCGACACCACAGTACAAGCCCGACCCAGCAACCCATTTCTTCAACTCTCCTACCACTGCGGGTCTATATATGTTCATGCTGTGCTACAAAAACGGCGGCCTTGCACGCGAGAATGTGCGCGATGCTATCAATCAGGCCACATCTATCGAACAGAACTCCTGGCAACAATTTGACGAGAACCTCCTTTCAGTCAAGGAGCTAGCACGGGACGATGAATCAAAGACAATGCAGCTAGGGCTCTACTTCCCACGCCCCGAGATCATTCCCAACCTGCCGCAGGGCGAATGGCACTACGAGTACGACCCGAAGAGTGACAAGCTAAGCAAGTCAGAGAAGGTCCGCGAGTCACCAAAGGAGGATGCTCGAGTCATCGTTGAATCGCAGATGCTTTCTCTCCGCCTCAGGTCGCGTGAGCTCGTCAATAGTCCTGGTGAAGGTCTTCCACCTCAGCCACGTCGGGTATACGTGGTTGGCGGCGGTTCCCGGAACAAAGCCATCGCGAAGGTTGCCGGTGAGGTATTGGGCGGCAGCGACGGTGTTTGGAAGCTCGATGTCGGGGAGAACGCGTGCGCCTTAGGATCAGCTTACAAGGCTGTTTGGGCAGTGGAACGGAAGGAGGGTGAAACATTCGAAGATCTCATCGGGGAACGCTGGGATGAGAGTCAATTCGCTGAGAAGATTGCGGATGGCTACAACAAAGACTCGTACGAGAAATACGGCCAAGCGATGAAAGGATTCGAGCGAATGGAGCGGGAGCTATTGAAGGAGCATGGCAGATAGGTTAAAATCCGTAATCAAGCCCAATTGGAACTCAGCCGCCTCTCAGCCATGGTTGCATATATCTGCTTGTGGTTTGCATCGAGCAACTGAGTGAACGGAATGGCGTGCAAACAGGTACAGGCTGCTTATGCTTAGAAATGGGACAACGTCCAACACTTACTTTTCACAGCAATCACCTAGCAAGGTAGCAAGGCAGGAGATCTCTTTGCTTGGAGTGAGGGAGTTCGGCTACCCACGGCTTCATTCCACTCCTTGCACTCTGGATGTGGTAAGCTGTCTCGTATATTGACGCCAGCACCAAGCTTTCCTATACCATTCATTAATGACCACTATGTGAAGCTGCGCTATCACAGGCGGACAACAAGGTGATGGTACCTGGTCACCACTTTCACACTCTGCGCCGAGCTTTATAAGAATCTATACTTCTGAACGAATGTTCCACCGTTCTACAACATACAACCCTACAGCAATACACCAAGCCTACACAGCAGCTAATTCTCCTACAACTACTACATCAGAGCTCTAGCTATATCATACCTATAGCGCACTCCAACCACACATTCAGGAAGCATGTCTTTCACCACGAGAGTCTTCAGCGTCGGCATGCTCTTTCTGTGACTCTTGCTCTTGTCTTCCACAGTATTAGCAGGCCAGGCTCGTGTCCACATACACACACTGTCCATAAGATGTCTGGTGCGCCATCACCAAGGGCTGCCCGATCAACGAACCGGACTGCGACCACTCTGTCTTCCACTGCATCTCTTACGGCAACCCTTGGACTTCTCAGTTCGCAGACTTCGGCCCCAGCGCTGGCGTGGCTAATAAGTGCTCTCGCGACCAGTCTGGTCCCGATGACACTTATGATAACAAACCGACTGTCGCGTAGCTGGAGTGGACATGGGATCCCGACCACGGCATGACCTGGTTTGATATTAGCAACGTCGAAGGCCGGCCATTCATGAATGAAGGCCAGACCACGACCGTCAGTTAGCTGCAGACGGAAGCATTGAACACGTGCATGGGAGGGAAAGCTAGGCAATCATGATTGTCTTGCGTTTTATGACGAATGGAACGACGATCCATAGGGGATGATGGCTTGTTCGCCGAACGTTGACATTGACTGGCGTCTGTGCGTGTGTGATCCGACTATGCAGGAGCATATGCCTCTGTCACCAACATCTGAGAACATGAAGTATCTCGAATACATTGTCGATGGGAGAGACTGAACATCTTTGTGTCCGGGCTAGCAGTCCTACGAAACGGTCTAGGACTTGGACCGAATGGATTTGCCTGCTCGCATCTCACGCTCTCAAATGCTACGAGATGAGACCATTGGCGAGGAGTCCAATGGCATTGGGCCGAACGAACGACTAGAGCACCGACAGCACAGCACATATAGCAATGAAACTAGACTCTCTTTTCTGAACAATGAGCCTACGTACAACAAATCTCTACAGATCATTTCCTAATATGCGTCTAAACCTCACTAATGCTTTTCACCTCCTTCCAGTTTACAGCCTCGTCAGTCAGCCTGATGTCGCGCCAAGCCTCGCAGCCCGCCAAGCCCTTCATTTGCCGGCAAACCTTCCATGTCGAGCTCCCCACATTCGGTAAGCCAAATTGTTCGAACTTCACCACATCGAACATTTCGCAGATTTGACCGACAACTTCGACCACATACCCCCCGTCTCGATCGAATACCGACGCGATGGCCAGTACGCTACCCTCCCCAAGCCAGATATCGTGAGGAGCAAAGAATGAGGAAGATGGGGGTCTGCGCCGCATGTTTGAGAGGAGGAAAGCCTAAGCCACGCCTGCGATACATTTGTCTTGAAGCAGATATTGCAGCATGGCTGGGTCTGCATTGCTTTAAGACTTACGATGCTATGACAGAGCTGGACGTAGCTATACAGGCAAAGCATGCGGCGTGGACATCTACCATCTCCCTCGGCTCATGCGGCGTTTGGAACATTGAAGATCGAAATACTGATGTTTCTCCCAATAGAATCCAAGAACTCGTCCCAGCACAACCAGGCCAAAAAGGCGCACAGAAATGGGTAAGGACGCTCCTCATTCGATTCCAGACCACTCGCATTCGCCGATTGCATTACACTCCTCCCAATCTGTCCACCGACTCGTACCCTACTTCCTTCTCGCCAATTACCCTCCATTAGCAACCCGCCTGACTGACATCGCAACAGCATCAAGAAGCCTAAGACTTTCCGTTATCCCAGCCTGAAGGGTACCGACCCCAAGTTCCGCCGCAACCACAAGCACGCCCTGCACGGAACGATGCGCGCGCTCAAGGAGGTCAAGGAGGGCAAGCGGGATGCCGCATAGACTCGGTCTCAGAACGAAGTGACGGTGAGGGATTGATGTTGTCGTTGAAAGGGCGATACTTCGAACTGCCCTTGACCCGGGCAACGAATGCAGGTGATACGATGATGGCGAGGGTCAACGGCGCTCGACGGATTGCACGACATGCGGTCGAGCTTTGACGATGGCGACCGAACAAGCGAGCAGACCACGCATTGACGGCGTTCACGATACAACGAGGACGTGACCCGACCATAAAGCACTGAGCAGTCGAGTCAGGTCGTCTCAGAGAAGAAAATTCGAAGCCCTTCGACGATTTCCATGATTTTCGAGGAACTCTCGGTCGCAGACCTCCTCCAGCGACCATCACGGATGCGTGCCACCTCCGTTGTGATCGAGTGTCTTGCCTTGCGTTTCTGCCAAAGCAGCCGCTCGGGAGGTCGCCCTCCCATTCATCAACACACCAGCCCCAAACGCGCATGGCTCTTGAGGTCCGCTACTTAACTGACCCAATACTTTACCCCTACACCTCCCCTCCTCAGGCTCACACCCATCCCGATGCCCCTCCCCACCAACTTTCCCCTTTCGGCTTCCTGCAAACAAACGGCATTAGTGTGTACAGCATCACCCCTCTCTCCCGTGGGTGCCACGCTGAAGGAAAAATTCTTCGTGCCTATATTGATCTTCTTCTCCGCCCAATTACCAAGCACGGCTTCTTTTGAAATGCTATGTGGGAGGCTGTGCATGAATGGCGCGGAGACATTCCTTCCCTTCCTCTCTTTATCCGATGATCTGGTGTCTGTGTGGAATATACATGCGCGTGCAGCCTGTGAATGTGGGTTCGTGTGTATCCTCTGACGTTTCATGTCACTCTCGCCTTATGATGTGAGGCTGCGTCTCTGCCGTGCCGAGAGGGCGGAGTAGAATAGCATTCCGTCTCTGAACCTACATTTGCGGTTACCTGGCCTGATGTGTACGGCGGCTTGCTTGGAGCCACCGTCAACCCACATCTGAGCATTGAAAAGCGAGCACCGCTGGCACTCGCCGAGTCCTGTAAGTACACGCCTACCGTTCACACAAGCTTGAAGCCTGCCGTCGCCGCACGGTCGCACAGATATCTATGTCACCTTGGAGGGCCTTTCAGCTCCATCTGAAACAGGTCTTCCTCAGAGAATGGCTTTCGGAGAATGCGTCGGCTTCCACAGGCTAGTGCTTGCACATCAAAGGCGAGCTGCCGAGATTGCAATACAGGTATATGCATAGCCGGTCGGGGTTTTGATCGCTGGAACGGGAATTCCCATACAGTTCCTGGACACGACTAGGCGAACTGTACGCCGTACTGGCAGCCACATGTCCCCGGCCAAGTTTCGGTGAGCATGGTGAGTGTTGTCCGCGGACCCTGACATGAGGGTGCAGCATGTCGTTCAACCTCACCGCCTGTCAAGCCTAACGCCTTTGGCCGCATCACATGCTAGACGACATGATTTCGGGACGAAAAGTGCCGAGGTGGAACGGTCGCTGCAAGCAGAGCCGATAGTCGACAATCAGTACAGGGCCTGCGACGCACTGAGGATAATGGGCGCAGTGATCGCAAGGACCGTCTTGAGAACGATCGAGGACTGCCCTGACACAGCGTCTTTGCTCGCGCTGTGCCATAGCTCCAATGTGAGAGATCGTTCGCGCCAGAAAGAGGTCCACAGCCGTTCGGGGCCGTCGCCAGCGAACCATTATTGCCAGCAATATTGCTATCGTTGTCCTCATCGTTACCACTGTTAGCATCTGCGCCCTTCCCATGCAGGCCTCGGGGGACTCGCATCAAAACCCCTACCTCTCCTGCCAACTCACCTGTGACAAGACAATGCTCGAACAAGAGCTGACCAGGCCAAAGAGTCCGTCTCACGGGCGACGGGACGGGCGGGACGAAGACACCTCGCGCAGCCTGGGGTCGTATCCATATTCATCTCTATGTCCTCGTCCCTACCCCCGCCCATGTTCCCACTGACCTTGGGGCTCCGTCAAGGAACGGTCGCTCACGCGCGGGGAAAGTCTGCCCTCGATACCGAGCCAGCCCTGCATGACCCCCGGTCGGGGAGGGAGCAAGCAAAGCTAGGCAGCCGGGGCCAGCCGCATGCAGGAACATGATGCGCGCTGCACTTTGCAGTAGCAGTAGCAGCCCCCAGCAGCATCCTCAATAGCGAAGTCTTGTACAGTAGTTGCAGTGGCTCGGCAGCATATCCCATGCCCCTTCGCCCATTTACCATGCATGCCCCCGGGGGGGATGTACAAACCCCTCGGCAGGAGCACAGGAGACGATTCCCAACGGGGCCGACCTTTTCAGGGCGTTCGCCCGCTTACCCCCCTTCGCATGACGTACAAACCTGCACCTCAGGGGTCGTGCGAGCATTTACAATACAATCTACCTGGTAGTGAGTGTAAAGTGTGATGCCTTCCCCAGTCCGGCAAAGGCAAGCAAAGTCTGCTCGATTGACGCTGACGCTTGACACAAACATGACTGACACTGATTCGTGTTCACCCTCAACCCCCGAATGCCGACGAACGGACGGCATTGTAGGCGCTGGATGCAACGTCAAGCCTACATAGATGTGTTCATACTCCGTACCAAGGATAGGAAACCCTGGGGGTGGGGGTTCGGCCCCAGTCGGCTATCGAGATGTACTGTACTCTATCCGTTTCCGAACGGCTTTTGTACTCTGGATATGTGTGTGCGTTCATCAGGAATGGTTTGTGGCATGAGAGGGGAGGAGGGAGAGGCGGGATGGGGTGACGAGCGCAGGGGGGTTCAGGCATCAGTTCAATAGGGTCCCATAGTAAGGGTTTAAAACGCCGGTTTCAGAGGGCTGGGAGATGAAACGAGAGCGGAGGGGTGTGGATGTGACCCTTGGGAAGGTTGGATTTTGGATTTTGGATTTTTGGGACTTTGGGACCTATTGGATCGTTCGTGTTTGGGAGTCTTGCATTTCCATCAAGCCACTACTAGGTACGGATACTGACTTACTGACTTACAAGGGACGCATGACCTGTTCATCTCAAGGGTGTTTGGTAAAGTGTTTCAGACAGGGCGGGCCGTGGCTCAAAGTTCGAAATGCTTCCCTTGTCTTGCCGAGTAGCGCGATTTGCTCACCTCAGCGTACTTGTTTCAGGATGGCAACTGGGCACACATCACATCTTTATTACGTGCGTGTGACTTGTCCCTCTTGCGCTGCCCCGGCATCCAGTCACTTGCCGTCAGATGAGATGGTCAGCGAAGGGACCGCTAGTGGTTACTAGCCTACAGGACTGTGTGTCACCTACAAGAGCTTATCGCTTTGCAGTCTGATGGTCAGAAGTCGAGGGTGCGGCAGCCCTGGCGTCTTGACTACATGGACTTTGCATGTCTTCACTGCCGGTAGATGCAGAATACGAGGCCGCTCGAGCTCGCTTCCGCGGTCGCTCTACGGAGTGCGTTTGCTGGTCATCGAAAAGGCGCATCTGACGGCGATTGACCACTTTGCCCGGCAGCGACGGCTGGTGGCGATAATATCTGAAATTGAGGCTCTGCGGATCGAGGCGACCGTCATGAACAGCAGGACGGAGATGATGTCAATTGGGGGCTGAGATCATTATTGGCGGCGAAGCAAGCCCTTTCTTGAGCATTGCCTGGAAAGAGGTCTTGCGCCGTGAGGCTTCGCGAGAGCTTCGAGACCTTTGCCGCATGCAGGCAAGTTGGCGCCTTGTTTGCAGTGTACATGGTCGGGTGGCGCTCAGGGGGCTGCGGCGTTGGCGCAATGTGGTATAGAGGGTACGGCACAAGTTCTTCTCGTAGGGGTGTGGCTGGCTGGGTATTTCGTGCTTTCTGTTTTCGCTGAAATGTACGTAGTGCCTGGTAGGGTGGAGAGTAGTGCTCGGCACCTCAGCCTGAGGAAAGGCGATGGGGTTTCTCTCGAGCGTTGAGGCATGCACGCAATAGCAACGTCCCTTGGCGTACTTGGTCGCGAGAGACGCCACCAAGATCCAACGACAGGGGTCCATAACATCAACAGCCATGTTGAAACTTAACACAAGCTCGTTCACTAGTCTCTCCGAACATGGACAAAAGCCATTCTCCTGCTCCCTGGTCTGCACCCACGTGGACGATGAACACCTCGCACTTGTTAGCGACCAGCAACGAAGGTTTAGAGGCGTCAGTTAATCAGATCTGGCGGTCGAGGAGCCCCCTCGAGCGCTACAGGGTCCTAGTAGCACTCCCCACAAGCCGTCCGCAGCTTTTTCCCGTGCATTTTCTTGACTTTTTCCCCGGGTGAAGATTTCAAGATGCACGCCCTGCGAGAAACGGTGAAGAGTTCTTGTGGAGGCACGCGATCCCTCGCCGGGGTAACGGAGGATTCGAGCCTCCTGGCCCAAAAATGCAACTCCGCGACTGCCGTCGAGCAACGGTGTGGCGATCGACAAGGCTATTAGTACTGTCTATGCCACTAGGAGCGATAGATCTTCCCGCAGCGTCATTATTGCTTGAGCAGGACTTCTCAATCTCCTCTCACCAGAAAGGCTTAATCGAAATGCCTTAGACAGCCAGAGTCAGCGACTGAAGATTTGTCAATCGCTCGCATACTAGTCGGGTGTGGTGGAAGGACTATTCGGCGTTTCTTCAGTAGTTGACGAGGTACTCCGTACAGACTACAGTCGTAGTCTAGCCTGAGCGATCGTATTCTCCTAGCATGCTGCATCTCGGTAAATGCGGGAGGGGCAGCTTCACGGCTGCAAAAATTGATGATGGGCTTGCTTGGGACCAGCTGTACTGGCTGGCCAAGCCGCCAGCGTTCCTTGTTGGTGTGAGCATGGCGAGATTCCCCTCAGAAGCTTCGGGTGAAACGATCCGAGATAGAACAGCGACATACGGAGTACAAGTCGCGAAGGTTCAGTCGGCTTCTAAGCTTAGTACGTAGTACCAGGCGGGTGTTTCGCGTTTGTTGCCCAACGCTCCCTCTGAGCGCGCTAGTTACAAGAGCCAGACGCACACGACGTCCCGCTTTCTTTCGAGACTCCGGAGCAGAAGGGATGAAACACGCTCAGACGCAAGCGAAGAACACAGCGATGTTTCCAAAGCCGCCAAGAATGCATTTCTAGACTCGCACAAGACTAGTGGCGGTAGGGAGGTGGTGTACAATAGACACTATGCCCGGCTTCGGAATGGCGTTTGAACAGGGATGGGATTCTTCAGCATTTAGGGCCGAACTAGGGATGCGCCATTGTGGTCCATGGCCCTGGAGAAAAATAAGCACTACTCGAACACGGCGAAGACTCCTAGAACGGGCTAGGGGAGCGAAATCAACAGAGACCATGCTCTCGTCGATACTCGCCGAATTTGGTCAAGGGCTGTGTGTCCTCTGGCGTTGAATGATGATGTGCAGGAGGAGCAAGCACTCTGGGATGGCGTGAGAATTGCATCCAGCCACCGAGAATAATGACTCGTTGGGAGCCGGTGTCGCTGATCGTCTTTAGCCCTGCCAAAAGTGGCCGCGGTACCTGATCTGCAGGCACCGAGCTTCGGGGAAGCACGGTCAGTGGTACGGAGTAGGAATTGTCCCAAGGGCGCGGATATCCTGTGCCGCAGTTCTGGCCCCCTTGGAACAAAAGACAACGGCAAAAGTATGTCATGGCCGCGGGTACAGTGTACCAATGCATATGATTATTCTATGCCACGTTTTACCTTGCCATGTGTCTGTGCGGGATGGGGGCACTGGCGACAACGACGTAAGGTACCTTTGCTTTACCCCTGTGCAGAATGCCAACCCGGGTACGGAGTAGGGTGACGAGGTACCGTAGCACTTGTGTCGATGTTACCCGGGCTGCGGGATTCGCGCCGTTTGCGCCCTGGACCTGATTCGTGCGGAACCGAAACAGGAGGTAGGCTGGCTTCTAGCCATCGAATATGTCGCGTGGTGCATTGAAGTTCCAAGCCTCGCTTCCTGTCGCTGGCGCGGCAGACGCCTCTCGGTTGAATGGGTGCTTGTACACCATTGCGTGGGACGACACAGCAGTGTATCTTGTCAATTTTTGGGCACTGTGGAGCGCAAGCCCCGGGGCCGGCCGGAGGAATAAATTCTGGGTACCTTTTTTGGGACACAGTTGCCGACTAGAATTCCTTGATGCAGCTTCCACCTTCTGACAAGCGCCGTTGAGACAACAACAACAAGGCTGCTAGTTGTAGAGAGTTGTAAAATAAGTGGTTAGTCTGCTGTTGCAAAAGTGATGAACAAGGCGTGCTATGGCCAGGCACGAGCGAGATGATGCCAACCTCCAACATGGGTATTCCCTATCAGCAGTCCATAGTATGTCGGTTAATATGTATGTTGGGTCTGCAGCAAGTGGAGATCTCTGAACTAGCTGAAGACCGGTGAAAATTCAGCGTGCTTTAGCACAGGGCATAGCGGCCCCAAGGGGCACTACCACGGCCTCTGGGCAAGCCTCCTGCATGACACCGGCTCATCAGGGGATCGACCGCTATCCATCTGTCAAGAGCGGGAGCCGTCTGCATCATTTTATGTCAAAAGAAGCAAGGATGGTCACTGCCTTTTGAAGCTGGGCTGCGCTACTGCTGAGAAGCACGACTGGCAAAGGATTGGGAGTACAGAAGCGAGAGGTACCGGCGTCTGGAAAGCCGGGATCGTCCATAATTCGTGGCGGGGAAGACGCAGAAGTATCAGGTTGGGATCATCGCTCGCTTGGATGAATCGGATGCAGCGCAGTAGAGCGAAGTCGAGGATGGATGGAAGGCCTGCGGAGTGAAGAGGGCACGGAGTTCCGTAGCAACAAGTGGTAGACATCGACCATGTTTTGGTGGATGCACGGTCTCTTTTGTTCGAAGCCGTGAAGCTCTCTAGCCTGTATCAGAATGCAAACCACACTCTCCCCCATTAGCTAACCAGGGTCTGTACAGTGAAAATGCTCAATACGCTCCAGCCTCTCATGAATTCATCAAAATCTGTCGCCACACCAGAGTGGTATACACAGAGTCCCCGTGTGTAAAATAGCTGGCGCAAATGCTCTTCCACTCTTCCTCCAGTTTCCAACGTAAAAAAGAAAAGGGGGTGCACTGTAGACATTGGCGCCCGTCGCAAAAATGCACTTCATATCCTCCGGTAGTATGTACAAATGGTAGAGCGCAACTCTAGTTATTGCCAAAGTCTTTTGGTCTTGGGTATCCTTGAGGCGGCGAGACCGGGTGACTCTTTGCCCAGGTCATCCTCGGATCCCAGTCTTTGTTCATGCCCGAGCTGGGCGGTCGTGGCACCGAGTAGCTCGCTGCGGGTGTGACATATGTCCGTACGCCGCCGTAGTAGCCGGCTTTATCGGGGTCATCCCATTGTTGCGAGTCTGGCGATATTGGGCTTTGATACGATCGATCTGGTGGGTTCAGGTTCAGCGGTTGCGGTGTACCACCCAGCATCTCGTACGTACGTGGATCGTTTCTGCGGGCATCAGCCGACACAAATTCATTTTTGCGGAGCAGTTTTCTCTGGAACAGGTCCATCCATCCGAGCACCATCGACCAGCGGCCGAAGAAGAGGGCACACCAAAAGCCCGACATCTGGTCTCATGTTAGCAGGCTTCCTTGACCCATTCTGAAATCACTTACGCCCAGACAGATCAGCACCGCCAGGACGACACCTTCCGGCTGAGTCATGCCGCTAACCAACGGTAGGCAGTCATCCTTGGTTTGCTCTGGATCAACGAGACAGGTGAGCCAGGGAGTCGCCTTTCGAATCAGGTCGTCGCTAAGTTGGAAAGCGTTGTCCATAGAGACGAAGACCACAGAGAAGAAAACGACTTCTCCAATGATCAGAAGCACGATGCATGCTCCGCGCCATTGCAGCTCCACCACTCTCTTGACTCTTCGGAAGGTCTGTTTCGCTGTCCTCGTGGCAATCGATCCAGAGTAGCTTTGCATATTGGAGCTGGTCCCGGTCGTACTAGACTTGTCGTCCATTAGTGATTTGACGTAGACATGGACGCAGTATCCGAGGGTGATGAATTGTAGAACCATGCCGATCGCGGCAAAGGCGAGTAGCGGTCCCCAGAAGTCTTGTAAAGCAAGCTTGTGGTTGACGTGACAGACGTTGCCGAAGCGGAATGAGACGCCTGTCACGGCCAGTACAATGGCGAGAGCAATCGTCGGGATAAGCCATCCAACGACAAGTGATGAGAGGAAGAACTTGTTCCCAGGAATGACTTCCCAACAAATTTGCAGGTGCAGTGACAGTGCTCGGAGGAAGACCCAGATCACTGCTCCCCAGCCGCCAAAGAGCAACAAGGCGCCGCTGAGGGCACACACACCACTCGATTTCATGAAATTCGGCGTTATTTCGTTGAAGCACTGGTCGGGGTTGGCGGCTAGTGGAATGATAAAGGCAAGCTGAGCCGGTCAGTATGCTTCATAGGTAGCCACAGTCGGATAACATACTTCGATGAAGACCACGGAAATGGTCAAACATATACTGAGATAGTGTCGGTGCGTCCATTTTGTGTCTAGGACCGCGAACGACAGTAATAGAAAGACTGAGACAATAAGGGCCCCCACGTTGACCCAGTTGGCGATTTCAGTCCGTTCCTCAAAGCCTGTGCGGTTAGCCAGCGTGGACCGTGAGAGGGCGGCGCCTATAGTACCTTCTGAGTAAAGGAGATCCGTCAATGGACACGGCAAGCAGCATGTCAAGTTTAAGAGCTGTGGTATAGGTTGGCAGAAACGGCCTGGCAGGACTATAGGCTGTGAGCGCGCGGCCCCGTGGAGATGTCGACGGGTACATACATCCGCCAGTTTCTGGAAAGGTGCTTTCTTGAAGGAATGGAGGGGGGCAGAGCCCTTGATGTTCGTTACGGTTCGCCATAGTGTAATACGGTCTGGGGGCTTTGCGCCTGTTCGAATAGTATCTCTCCTACCGGCTCATAGTCGTGGAAGCGTAGTATACATGAGTGTCCAGAATCCAAATGTTCGAGTTACAGTAGCGAGCGTGAGGTGGGTATGCAGTATGCTGGACAGGTATGGTGGGACGGGGAATCGATATAGGAGGGGAGCACAAAGTCTACAAAAGTGAAGAAGTGTCAGAAGGGGTAGGGAAGATATGACATGAAGTGTAAGGGAAGATGCCAGGGAAGGGCAGAGTTTAGGATCCGGGTCTACTGTAGAGCAGCGGGGTGGTACCTGCGGGTTCCTGGGCGGGAGGATTAGACCAATTGCTGACTCGATGGCTCGAAATGTTCAAGTGTCTCGCTCGAGACAGAGCAACACGAATAATGAGCCAGTGGCAACTGAAAAAGGCAAGACGAGGTTTGAGCTAGATCCGCCGGGGGACAGAGGATTGCTCTGGGCCTCGTGGTACCGAGGGGAAAGGCTCCAATGACAAGGTGTAGGAGAATTGCTGCGCACGACGCCGTTTGGGTATAGGCAGCGAATGACGAGGATCACGTTGGCGACATGGGTACGGAGTAGTGAGGAAGAAATTGGCGTGCTCAGCAGTCGGGCGGATCCAGATGCAACACTGAGCCGGGGGGTATAGAGTGGTGGAAATGGGGAGCGCAGTCACACATCGTCTCAAACCCTGACCCCTGTCGCCATACCTGCCGGCACCAGGCACCGCAGCTTCTTTTTCGCCTTCCAGCGCTAGCAGTAAAAGACAATCGTGGGCTCCATCAGGCTAGCGAGCGAGAGTTCCAAGCTAAGCTCGCACACTCGACAGGGGTTTTAGTTTTCAGGCTCTGTGGAGGCATCAAGCGATCTCGGCAGCGTGATTTGCTGGTGGCCTTGCTCTTGGTGGCCTGGAAGAGCGGCTCATCTTCCCTTTGACGCGCCTGTTACTGACCGATGAAAGCGAGAAAGGCATTCTTCCGCACAGGGACCCTCTCAAGACAAAAGGAGAGACTCTGGTGAGAGTCTGTACCCAGTCTTGCGTAGGACGCATGAAGCAATTCAGGCGGGACGACTGTGTCCCGCAATTTGCGATGCACGCGATGCCTGTCTATGTTCGCACACCTCGCGTCTGAGCTTCGAGAGCGCGTTCGTTGTTGGGCTTATTCCTCGGGACGATCGACCAATATCGATGCTGCTATGGGGGCACGCGAGGCCAAACCGCGCAATTTCCAATACGCGGCTACTAGGCACTGACTGAGCATACCAGTACATGGATGTGTGCGCGCAACAGTGAGAGACGCGTCTCTGAGAGGCCCGTCAGAGGCCAGCCGGGTCTTGAGCAAACACATGGCCAAGGAATCCTAGACTGTTCCTTTCAGCCTTGTTCGGACCATGGCGGGCTGAAGTTTGTAGGTTTCTGGGGACTGTCAATGCCACCATGTGGACGGCAGACCAATTGTTGGGCCCGTTAGACACGGTCTTCGTGTCGACTTAACACTACGATGATGCTAATTCCGATTTGCCATGCCGACTCGGGCAGCTTGCAGAAGCAATGCAGCTGCGAGATTTGTGTCTTACTGTATATCGGGCCCCATCCTAACAGCTATGAAAAGAACCGTGCATCACATCATTCGGATGCGAGATGGCCTGTGCTTGCTCATCGGTCGGCAAGACAAGAACAAGACGTCGGACGTGTCCCTGAAATAACGATATCGACTGCCAGTCGCTACGTTCTCTGCAGTGTCTCCTCCGACGCTGTGCATCCTGCATCCCTGAACCTTGGCAGAAAAGTCGCGGCTTCAGCTTTGACTCTCCACGCTCGGAAAGCAGCATCAGCTCAACTTACACCAACAACCTGCTAACCTCCAGCTTTCAAGGTGGATATTGCGCGTGGAAGCCTCACAGACGCCTCGTGCCGCCGCCAGGGTCCGAGATCAATTCATGGTTTCTCGAAATTCGTCGTGTTGTTTTTTGCTATTGGTCCAGGCATAAATCCAGAACTGCCTTAGCGCCAGAATTAGTTTCCGCTGGGCTGCCCAATGATGACCCAAAGGACGCCAATATCGTTGATGCGCGCGCGCATTGGCCATCCTACCGGTTCGACGGCTCAATGTCTTTGAATATTCTTTAAACAGCTTCAGGGGCCGCACCCGGTCCTCGTCTCCGACCCCACGATCGCCACTTCCGCGCCGTGACTGGTAACGTCGGACAGCGGGACCCGCCGATGGAAGATGGCACCTGCTCTGACCAGGCCGTGAAACGGTCACCTAACGTCAACCTGTGCAGCTGTGGACATTTTCCTGCTAATCGCTTGCATGGCAGCCCCAATTGCAACCGTCGATGCCATGGTGGGTATTATATATGAATCATCTGACCTGCTCATTGTCAACTAGTCGATGCGATTCGAGCCTCAGGCGATCGGACTCGTGTCAGATCCCGTCTGTGCAGGCATTCTGAACGCAGGTCAAGCCGTCTGGTAGACAGTAGCAACGTAAGAGGTGGTTTCCAGCATTTTGGCTGGGTCAGGGCTTCAAGAGGCGTTGAGCACACGATCCTATAGCGTAGTCAGTCCAGCGTGGCGCGTTCAAGAACCCATCATACGTACAACAAACTGGCTCAGGCTGAGCTCAAACAGCTCATTATTCACCCCCAGCCCACCGGGATGCTCGACAGGCGATAACGGATTCTTGACCACGTATTCCACATAGCAGTTGACGTATATCTGTTGCAGCGCAATGCGCATGGAGCCGGACTTGGTATCGGTGAGCATGACAAACTTGATGCTCGTCGGCGTCTCGTAGTAATGCAGCTTGTACTGTGAGGTGCGGTAGGACAGGAAGCTGACCACATCAGTCGTGTGTGTGCAAGGGTTGCTCGGAGCAGACACACCTGTCGTCTTCACCTCCCAGTTTGCGCACCATATTCCTGAGCGAGTACACGGTGCCGAAGATCAGCTTTGCATCGTCCTCGGGCGTCAGGGGAGTGCGGACACTCGCGGTTCCATTGGCATAGGCTTGTGAAGACGGTCGAGAGCCTTTCCCGCCGGCAGTGGTAGGGAGCTGCCAATTCTTCTTGTAAATGCATTCGGCTGCCGCGCGTTAGCTGCGCACCCTCTGCTCTGCCGAGATTCATACCATGGCGATCGAAGATATAGAATGAGTAGACCACCATCGCGTCAGCTCTGCTGCCGGTACACGCTTGTCCTGGCCGTGGAATACTGTCTGGTCATCGGCACATACCATAAACTTCGCGTGCAGGAGCTGCGAACTGATCCAGAAATGTGTCCGAGGGGTGTCATGGGGTACACGGAAAGAGATGCTGGTGCACGGTAGGGCAGTTGCTTATCGATAGCTGCCCTAAAGTACCCACCCTGTGTGGCCGCTCTCCCACGGACTGCTCTACCGCGATTGACTCCAATTCTGACGAAATAGGAGCTGCGAATTGCTATCACACCTCAGCTTGTAGATGTCATCCAACAAGAGATCTCCTCGCGTCGCCTCCGAGCATCTCTGGACGATTACCCTCAATGTCTCATGCTAAATGGACATCGTGGATTTCCCCACGACTATGACAGCCCGCGGGGCTGAAGAACAGTCCATCGAGAGCAACGTCAGACAACTCAACCTCGCTCCATCAGACGCCGTTGCTGTGGACGTGAACCATGGCCAGTCACCAGAGCTCAACAAACCTCCGTTGCTTAAACATGTGTAAGCTGTCCCTCTCGCGTCCCGCTGATCTGGTAGAAGCTGAGCTTGATCGCAGCTCCACCCCCGCCTATGACAGTCCGCTCCGCCACCATCGTCGCGTCGCCTCTGCCAATCCTAGGCAGGTCAAGGTAGTCCGGTCCGCAGCACTTACTGCAAAGCCTCTGATCCATAGCAGGAGTCCCTGAATGCTCGCTCCGAATATGTGACCAGTCAGGACGATGGGGTTGCCGAACATCGTATCAACCAGTATATCATCAAACAAGAGATCGGGCGCGGCTCTTTTGGTGCCGTCCATTTAGCAAAAGATCAATATGGCAAAGAATTTGTACGTTTCATACTGGGCCTCAGCACCTTTACTAAATGTCCTCAGGCAGTCAAAGAGTTCTCCAAGTCGCGACTACGGAAGAGAGCTCAATCACACATCTTGCGCGGCCCTCGAAGGGGCGGTAAGCAAGGCTTTAATTCTCCCCTCCATCGCGGAGTCGCCGGCGGCTCCATGGACGAGGTCACGCCCAACTCAGTGGATCTCATTAAGGAAGAGATAGCAATTATGAAAAAGTTGAACCACCCCAACCTTGTGTCCCTCATCGAGGTACTTGACGACCCGAGCGAGGACTCCCTCTATATGGTTATGGAGTACTGCAAGAAAGGCGTTGTCATGAGCGTCAGCCTCGAAGTGCGAGCAGACCCATACCCGGAAGACACCTGCCGCTACTGGTTTCGCGATCTAATCCTGGGTATCGAATATCTTCATGCTCAAGGTATCGTCCACCGAGATATCAAGCCAGACAATTGCCTCATCACCGAAGACGATGTGCTTAAAATTGTGGATTTCGGCGTTTCCGAGATGTTCGAGAAAGAATCACAGATGGTCACTGCAAAATCCGCCGGTAGTCCCGCTTTCCTGCCGCCCGAACTGTGCGTTGCGAAGCACGGTGATGTATCAGGCAAAGCAGCTGATGTCTGGTCCATGGGAGTCACCCTCTTCTGCATGAAATATGGTCGTCTGCCTTTCGAGAAGGGCCAGATTATCGAGCTGTACGATTCGATCAGAGCCGACGAACCCGACGTAGCCCCCGAGACCAATCCGGCATTCATTGACCTTATGCATCGGATCCTGGAGAAAGACCCTACCAAACGTATAAAGATGCCGGAACTCAGAGCGCACCCATGGGTGACCAAAGGGGGCCGAGATCCACTACTCTCTGAGGAAGAGAACACGGCAGAAATCCTAGAGCCGCCGACTGAGGCGGAGATGAATGCAGCCATCACAAGCAACATGCGCAATGTGATGACCGTAATCAAGGCAGTTGGCCGCTTCAAGGCACTCTTACACAAGAAGCGACCATCGGTGATGAACTCGATCCTAGGGGATCACGATGATTCTCGCTTCTCGTTGCCCCCTGGCAGAATGGCCATTGATAATGTGGCACCTCCACACCTACCACACAAGTCTCACAGTGTCAATCTTTTCGATCGTGATCGCAGAGAAGGTGCTCTTGTAGCAGAAGGCGTCCATCGGGATTTCCCAACCACAGACGACCCGGTACCGGTGGTCTCTCAAAAGGTTGCGCCGACGTTAGACATCCCGGGCCGATCGCAGCACTCCAAGAGCGAGCCACCAAAGCCAACCTATGACTACAGCTCAGATTCGGAAGACGACGATCTGCCACAAGTTCCGATGGGGGATGATCCGAGTCCAGTCGAAATCAAGAGGCTACCAAAGTTTCGCTCCATCAAGCGGCATGCACGGTCTGAGGGCGGCACGCGAGGGCAGGCGCGAAACCCGCTGCAAAATCAACTATTCCTCAACATTGGTCCATCGACTTTTTCCGGTGAACCAACCGAGCACGACCCGGACAGCAGCTTTGCACCGGGTGACGAGGTGTACATGGTAAGCGAGAGTCCCGGAGCAGCAGACGTAGACATCTACGAAACAGCCTATCGTGACGAAATTGAGCGAATCCTTGCTCGAGCTAAAGAACAAGAGAAAGAGCCGCAGGTCTATCTAACACGACGCGTGGACGAGAGACTGCTTGCAATTAGTGGTTGGGCAGGCCGGTGGATGGCGGGGGCTGAGGAAGCCGCGTCCAACATCGACTATTACACGCAATTTTCGGCACGCAGGGCAAAGGTGACTGAAGTCAGCCGAGCTCTGCGACATGCCGCTAAAGAGGAGTATGAACGGCGTAGACAGGAGAGGCGCGAGCTGATCGCAAAAGCGAGGGCGGAGCGTGCCAAACAGAAAGGCAAAGACGGGCAAACTGACTCTCCCACTCCTGGTTACGATCCAACATCGCCAGACGTAGTGGAATCGCCAGCAACGATATCGCCACAAGCGAGTCGATCGTCGGGATCTATGCTCAAAGGTAGGGCAGTCGACAAAGGGCGACAAGCACGCGAGTCGCTCATGGGTTTCGTGGATCTGATGAAAAGTCGACGCACCAGATCGAAGGACGACAATCCCTGAACAACAGCTGGAGTCGATGGGATCATACTAGGCATGCGACTCTTCAGCTAGACTCCTTCCACACCGCGCTGGAATTTCTGTGCGCTCAACTGTGCCCGTAAGCAGCCCGCCAGAGCAAGCTAACTTGGGCGGTGCAAACGCAGTTTTTGGGGGGCAGCATATGACCAGGCTCGGCCATGATCTCAGGCTTGCAGGGCCCGCCGGATGCCCGACGGTGCCGCCAGTCAGGGTTTAGCTGTTAGGGTCCGTCGCTTCACCAGGGAAGGCAAACCACTTCGGCTTTCTTGAGGGACATAGATATGATGAACACGGCGCGCTGTGTCCGGTAAAGGTCTGTCTGCTCGAAAACGTGGAAGCTCGCAGGGCCTGGCCCGTACCCGATTCTGGACGTTCACAGCAGCAGCAGCAACACAGGTACCGCAGCCGAGCAAGCTTTGCCTGAGGGCCTCTGACTTTCAACCGTCTTACAATGCGATGTCCGGCTCAAAGTGTAACGTTGAGCTGTTTTGAGGAGAGGACTTTATGAGCAGCAGTAGGACATGAATCGTGGGAGAGAGGGTTTGCTGGCAGATGGAGGAGTTGGGGCCCTGAGGGCCGCTGGCAGTGGCGACATTTAGCTGGGCGCAACTCGCGGCTTGGCGGGCTTATGCCAAATTGGGAGCTTGGACAAGGCAAAGAAAGGCCAGACGGCCAGGGAATCAAGATTCCATCTCTGCACAGTTCACATACTCGATCAACAAGCCATTCTGCCGTCCTTCGTTTCCTTTGGGTCGTCCTCGATTGATTTTGACCAATGCGAGCTGTGAGTGCCATTTGAGAATTGGTAATTGAACCCGTCGCTGGGAGCTTGGGGATGCTGGGCGGAGGCAAGGTGAACTTTTTGACATGAGCCCCGAGAGAGCTGGAAAGGGTAACAATTACTGTTGAGTTGTCTATCTCGGGGTGGTCCTACCTTTCACCACAGGTCATTGCTGTTGTCCTCATCGCGCTGCGACTCTGTTGGACTTTTTTGGAAGAGGGTTGGCCTCCGAGTACCCCGTGCCTGATATCGACGCCCCTCGTTTGGTGCCATCATCCTCGATCCAATTCCCTGATCTCCGGAACCTCTACTAGTTTCATCGACGGCATCACCGAAATTGTGTCTCTTTGGTGGTGGTTGTCTCCGTGAGCCGGCCGAGAGGCTCTTCTACCCGCCAGGCAGAATTTGATGTGGTGCGGCGGACAGCGGTGGTGTCGATGACGGTTTCAGCCTCCGCTACACCAAGAAAAATTGTCACCCTTGCCCTGGCGGGGCAGTCACTTCACAGACGGCAAAATCGTCACCAGGCATTATCACAATGGCTAAAACAAAGTCTAGCGCCTCAACTCCGGCGTCCTTAGACAGCCACGAGGCTAATGGCACAAAGCGTGAAGCTTCGCCTGAAACGGGCCCAACAACCGCCTCTGTTGTCAAAAAGGAAGAATCTACCAGTGCCGCGAATTCACCCTCACTCGGCCCCAACCACATTAAATCCAGTCGCTCATCTTCATCCTCATCCCGGACCAGGCCTAATTTGAGCGAGCTCGACAGTAAGCCCAAGAACGAATCTAATGGGAGTGCCGTTCCCATCAGAGCCGATATGCCCAAGAAATCAGGTCGGGCGACCAACAAAGCGCCTCCACGCGTAGCTCCTCTCTTCGACAACTTGCCAGATGTAACTTCCGAAGCCACCGCCAGCTTCCAGGTCATCACGTCTAGCACTTATCAGAACAAGTATCTAGGTTTCACCGAAGCCGCTTTAGAATGCGACTGCTCAGAAGAATGGGGTGAGTCGCCCTACGCCTAGCTTGCGGCTGTACTGACGACAACAGATTCATCGACGCAGACCAATCATGCCTGCGGCGAACACTCAGACTGCATCAATCGGGCGACGAAGATGGAGTGTGCGGATGATTGCACCTGCGGAGCAAAATGTCAAAATCAACGCTTCACCCGCCGTCGCTTTGCTGATGTCTCGGTCATCCAGACGGAGAAAAAAGGCTATGGCTTGCGCGCCAACACTGATCTAAAGCCCAACGAATTCATCTTCGAGTACATAGGCGAGGTCATTGCCGAAAACGCCTTCCGCAAACGAATGGTCGCCTACGATGATGAAGGCATTAAGCACTTCTACTTCATGTCGCTCAGTCGAGGCGAGTTCATCGATGCCACCAAACGCGGCAACCTTGGTCGGTTCTGCAACCACTCCTGTAATCCCAATTGCTACGTCGACAAATGGGTGGTTGGCGATAAGCTGCGCATGGGCATCTTTGCCGAGCGATATGTCAAGGCTGGAGAAGAGCTCGTCTTCAACTACAATGTCGATCGATACGGTGCCAACCCTCAACCCTGCTACTGCGGCGAAGACAATTGTACTGGATTCATCGGCGGCAAAACCCAGACCGAGCGCGGCACCAAGCTGTCTGCGGCCACTATTGAAGCTCTTGGTATAGAAGATGATGAGTGGGACACGGTCGTCGCTAAGAAGCCCAAGAAAAGAAAGACTGCCGAAGATGATGAGGACTATGTCGAGAGTGTTCCTGCCAAAGCCCTCGATGCAGACGGTGTCACCAAGGTCATGGCTGCCCTTATGCAGTGCAAAGAGAAATGGATTGCAGTGAAGCTGCTTCAGCGAATACAGAACGCTGACGATGATCTGGTACGGCACAGAATAGTGCGACTCCATGGCTACCGCATTCTGAACTCGCAACTATCGGCATGGAAGGAAGATGAGAACATCATCCTGCAGATCCTTGACATCCTCGATCACCTACCACGCCTGACGAGAAACAAAATCGTCGACGCGCGTCTTGATCAAACTCTTGATACGTTGAGGGAGCATTCTGACGGTCGCGTTGCATCCCGCGCTACGGCTCTAGCTGAGACATATGCCTCCCTGGAGCTGGCATATCGCATCCCGAGAAGGAAAATCGAGAAAAGTGAGACTTCGACCCCAATCAAGACCGAAGCGTCCGTCTATGATCGCCGCGAAGCTTCATCCCAGCGGAGAAGGTCTAGATCGCGGTCCAAATCGCCTCCCAGGGGGCCCGCGGCCCTCAATGCGCCAACCGGACCACGATCAAGCGTTCGTCCTACCTTTCCCATTGCACGACCGTTTCCACGGCCTCCACCTCCATTGCCTCGTGGCTGGCACGCTGCTGTAGATGGCGGGAGGACATATTACTATACAGACAAGGGCGTGACGCAGTGGAAGAGACCAACACAACCAGTGGATCTACCTCCGCCCCCACCAAGAGAGCCATCTCATCAAGACGTTCTCAAGGGTATTCTGGCCAATATCGTTGACACCAAGAAGGATGATGCCAAGACGCCTGAGTCTGAACAGCCCAAGAAAGAGAAGAAGAAGGAAGAGAAGTGGAAATCGTACGACGAAGAGAAGAAGATGAAATTGTACGAGAACACGGTAAGCATGACACGAACCCTGATAGGCATGCCTCTGACATTGTGGCAGCTTTTCCCTCACATCTCTCACGTCATGAACCGATACAAGCACAAGATCCCCCGTGAAGACCTCAAGCGATTTGCCAAAGAAATAGCCAAGAAGCTTGTGGCCTCCGACTTCAAAGGCGGCCGGGTCAAGGATCCAACCAAGATCGATGAGAAGCAACAGCGGAAAGTCAAAGAATATTGCAAGCAATTCTTTGACAAGGCCGCACACAAGCATAAGAAGCACGAGGAGCAAAAGGCGGCGAAGAAGACCAAGAAAGTCGAGGGCGGTCAAGAGACACCATCGCAGTCACCCTTGGTGAAGGCGGAGTTCGCAGACGACGATGAGGATATCAAGATGTCAGATCACGAGCTCGATGACAAACCCACACTGACGCCGGAACCTGATACGCCGTCAGAGGCTTCACAGTCGCTCAAGCGCAAGCGAGAGTCTCCGAGTATCAAAGATGAAGATGTGGACGCTCCACGTTCGCCCCTCAAGAAACTCCACCTCGACACCACCGATGAGAAGGACACGGCTCCGGCACCTCCCCCGCCGCCACCGCCGCCTCCAGCGACCGACTCTCCGATGGACATGACGCCTAACGGAAGCACACCTGGCCCAGACCAAGACGGAGATGGCGAGGCTGAGATGGAGATTGACGCTGAGAACGAGGAGCAAGCAGAGAAGCAACTGCATGCTCATGGTGGCGAGAGCAAGTTCAAGGAGATGAGTGTAGCAGATGTCAAGGCTCTCGCGCAGATGGGCGATGAGGAAGACGAGGTTGAGTGGTAGATGAGAGCAGCGGCCTCTGACAGAGTATACGGCTTTGGTCGTGCGGCTTGATTGAAGGTGTTCTCTGATGGGAGAGTTCAGGAAGTATTTGCATGTGGGGCACAAGTAGTTGTCCTGCAGAGTCGAGGGGCCGACAGAAGCTTTTGGGCGCATTGTACGATAGCATCTTATCTGGTCTGTATGGATAGCCGGACAGTGGCATACCGATTGCAGAGAACACAAGATTTTGGCTGCGTATCTGGTCGTCGAGTCTCGGGGCATGGGTGACCTCCAGCCGCAGAATATAAATCCACACCTCAAAAGACTGCTCTTCCGCAGCGGGAGAACGCTGGCGTTTCCAGCCTAGGCTTCCCTATGATCCTCGAGCTTCGATCTAACCTGGCCTCACCTGATGAGCAATAGCCCCTTACATGAGCCAAGGTCGAGTCGCTGCAAAGATCAGTATGAGTATGTTGGGCGACATTTCCTTCCAGACGCCACGGACAGTACCAGATGCCCAAAACAGCTAGCGCCAGATCGCGGGGATGCAGTCACAAAAAAGTCAGGATGACTCGTGCTTCAGCCTGTGTGATTCACAAGCCAATCTAGACCTACAGTCGCCATCCTTGTGACTCAGCTACGGTATAAGACCTGTCTTGCAACAGCCCTGCACCGAGACCATCCATCTCAGCCGTGTCTACAGCCCGACCGACCTCAAGGCAAACTTGCAGTACAATTGTTGCCCCTCACCTATCGCCTGTCGTATTATCAACCGCACCTAGAAAAATTCAGGCGGCTCAAACGACCGCAGCTCGGGTTCACGACACGCTGCCAGCGCTCTTTGAAACCTCCTTAGTAGCGAAAGCAAACATACTCGCGACTTCAAGTCTCCTAACAGCACCCACAACCACTTCCAAGATACCCTACCTCGTCTCTTCCCTCCAACTCCCCTACGATCCCACCAATATGGCTCTCCGCGCCTCGCACGAAAACTCCCACGAGATCGGCGTCTTCGCCTCCCTTACCAACACCTACTGCCTCATTCCCGTCGGCACCTCGGCCTCCTTCCACTCCATCTTCGAGTCCGAGCTGGCAGACCTCATCCCTCTCATCCCCTGCACCATCGCTGGCACACGCATTGTCGGCCGCTTGACCACCGGCAACAAGAATGGCCTCTTGGTGCCCAACTCCACCACCGACCAGGAACTGCAACACCTACGGAACAGTCTGCCAGAAAAAGTGCAGCTCAAGAGGGTGGAGGAGCGATTGAGCGCGTTGGGCAATGTGGTCGTTGCCAACGATCATGTCGCACTCGTGCACCCGGATCTCGAGCGCGAGACTGAGGAGATCATCGCCGATACGCTGGGCGTTGAGGTCTTTCGGCAGACTATTGCCGGCAACGTGCTGACCGGATCCTACATGGCACTGTCAAATCAGGGTGGCCTTGTCCATCCCAAGACGTCCATTCAAGACCAAGATGAACTATCGTCGCTACTACAGGTTCCGCTCGTGGCGGGTTCGGTAAATCGTGGCAGCCCTGTCGTCGGCGCTGGTATGGTGGTCAACGACTGGTTGGGTGTATGTGGACTCGACACTACCGCTACTGAGCTGAGTGTCGTTGAGAGCGTCTTCCGCCTGGGCGAGGGCAACATTCCTGGCGCTGCAGGTCATGGCGAGGACCTAGAGAAGCGCATGCAACGGAGCAAGGAGGGCATTGTCGAGAGCTTCTACTGAGCGGCGTTTAGCCTTGATCAGATTTCCAGGTTTGCTGGTCAGCCGAAAAGTATGCCTTTCGGTTAATCGAAGGCTCCGAAGTGGAGGGCGGTTCATCGACCGCAAGGACGTAAGGATCAGCCACTCGCGTATTACATCAACGACCGGTGGCGTATCCATGCGCATATAGCCCACCCCGGTCGTCCGTGTCCCGGCACGCTACATGTCGTGCCCAATGTTCAACGGGCTCTGCTCACAACGCTGGCTTTCGAAGTCTGAGCCAATTCAACGCGAAGCAGCTGCAGAAGATTGGATAACTGCCACCCCCGGGGACGGTCTTATGAGCACTCCTCGATACATGATGAGAAACGGGCACTATCGAGACGAAAGTATTGCTGCAGAAAGCATGGCGAGAGCAGAGGGAAACTGGCGGCGGCGACGGCAACAGCAACAGCAACAGCTTTCGAGAAGCCAACTGCCGCCGTTCGGCTTTTAAGCCTAACAGACGCGCTGTATCCATACTCTGCAAAGATGCAGACACCTCGGATAGATAGTAAAATAATCATATCCGAGGAGCGCTATCAAAGTCCTGTTCCGAGTCATACCATGCTATTCCAGCCCAGCCATCTATATGGATCGTCCAAGCATCACATGCATTCCATCTCATATAATTCCGCTCTCCCTTGCGCATGATACAGTACCAAATCCCGTCCCTCGCAACAACCGACCAACCATCCTCTTCCATCTCACAAGCATCCACAGCCTTCACGGCTCCCTTTCATCTCCCATCTCCCATCCCCCC